AAATAAATATTATTTTATTTATAGTTTCAAATAAATGATTTATTTGGCATAGTATATTGAAATAAATATACTTATAAAGAAAATTAACTAAATTTTTTTTTAATATGATTATACAATATAAGCGCCAAATGAATCATTTATTTATTTATTTCTTTTTATTTTCTTTTAATTTTTTCTAAAATAAATATTTATCAAATAAATATTTTTCATACCAAATAAATATTATTTCATTTATAGTTTCAAATAAATGATTTATTTGGCATAGTATTGAAATAAATATACTTATAAAGAAAATTAACTAAATTTTTTTTTAATATGATTATACAATATAAGCGTCTCGGCGTAGGTGTGCGCGACTCGGTAGGAATGTAGACAGAGATTTCTCGGTTGAGAGCACGCTCGCGGTGGTGGTAAGCAGCGGTCACGAGAGATAGGTGGTGGGTGAGACTCGAACCTCGAGGTAGAGTCGCGACACCTCGCGCGTTTAGTTGGCGCGCGGGGCCCCGGCGATTGGGACGGCCGAAATAGAGAGACAATCCGTGCAAGAGAAAGAGGGTAGGGGATAAGGGAGATATTTTACAAGAGAAACAAGAGAGAGAGAGAGAGTGACGAGCGACCGCACGACGAGTGACGACGACGACCTGAGACGAAGACGAAGACGACCGAATCTCTCTGAGAGAAAAAAATAAGAAAATTAATTAAAAAGTCTCTCGCTAATTTCCAAGTTTTGTTTATTCTCGAAATCGAGTGTGTGCGTCTCGTTTGTCCGCCTCGGGAGGGTTGAGAGTGATCCAGGAATAAGCGAAAAAAAAAAAAAGCTCGGCTACAGGTGCCTCTCTCAGAAAGGGAAAACGCTCATCCTCCTCTTTGGATATCCGGATACACCCGCTTCAAGTAAGTCTCTCGATGATGCGGATGTGACGTTGCGTGGGAGCGTGCGCGTGTCAGTGCGACTTTCTCCATCATTAAATCTTTGAGGAGTGTTCAGCAACCCCCTTACGACCCCTTCATCCTTCTTTTTTCTTTTCATCCTGACCGCTTGTTAACGATCGCGTGTGGATCAGTGTCGAAGTGTGAGCAACAAGTGACAGACTGTATCTATCGGTTTCGCGCACGCTCACCCACGCGAGTGATTCGCCATATTTAATTGAAGGGCCAATTAAGGAGGTATGTCACGTTATCATGACGCAGTTAATCCCGGTTATCCTCGTAGATCAATTCATTATCCGTAGGTAGTTACTATTCGCTTTGCGGTCATCATTTTTTATTTTAAGATTTGCAATGAAAATTTTAAGCATCGGCTGTTCCTCGATTTATCTTTAGATTCTGGAATAATATTGGAGAGACAGGGAGAGTAATATCAATAATAAAACTTTTGAAACTTGAATATTATTAATTTAGTAATATAGCAATGTTCAGTGAAATTGGTTTGTATATATTTTAAAGTCGAGCAAAAGTTACACATTATTTGTATCTACGTTTCTTTTAATGGTTTTAATTAAAAGACATTTTTTCAATTTTCGCACGGATCAGAGAACAAGTAGTAGCGCTCGATGATTAGCCCGACGTTAATAAAGTAATATTTTCTAGGCTTCTTCTAGATGCTGCACGATTTATAAAAAAAGAAAGATATTTATCTACTCGATGAATTTCTATATACTTTGTCATGCGCAATACAGAATTTATAATTAATTTTATTTATCTTGTTTTATTCTATTTTATTCACACATTACATCAATTTATTCATATATTTTTTACATCTATTTATATATATTGTATTTTTTATACAACTTTATTAATATTGAGAGGAGAAAGAGAGATTTAGCAAAGAATATAAATTGCAAAAAATGAAACAATCTTTCACGATAACACTTCTTATCCCGTCATCTAATAATTCTTTTAGATAAATTATAAGCTTCAAATCAATTAAGTAGAGTAGCAATTTTTACTATAGTAATCGTGTTTCTTTTGGATATATTTTTCCAGCATCTCGTTATATTTTCTTCATCGCGTTCCCAAATTTTCCAAGATCATAAGCTTCAAATCAATTAAGTAGAGTAGCAATTTTTATTATAGTATTCGTGTTTCTTTGGATATATTTTTCCAGCATCTCGTTATATTTTCTTCATTGCGTTCGCAAATTCTCCAAGATTATCTGACCGGTCGAGAAGCTGTAAGAGTCCAGTTATCTTCTTCAGGAGCTTTGAAACTCGTCTCCTCCAATACTCTCGGTCTAGACGGATTTCTCGCGTTCGACGATTTCACATGACTAATCGCCACGAGTTCCGTCGCGGCGGCGCGGCGGACTATTCGTAGACTACTATCTAGGTATCTAGGCTCGGAGTCCACTTATTTTTAGGAGGCCGTAACGTGAGGAGCGGTTCGTCGTTCGTTCCGACGACCATCTTTTCGCTCGTCGTTGTTCCATCCGTCGTTCCGTCCATCTTCACGTCATCGTGATGCGTCCGACACTTTGTCCGACGCATCATTTGCCGCTTCATCCTCGCGTTGACAACCTACCGCGGCTACCTACTCGTATTTATGCGTCAATTTTCGGAGACTCTAATGACGGTCCTATTTACCTACGTCTTCCTCTATCACGTCGTTATAACGATTAGATCATCAATCCAACGCGTCATTGTATGCATATATTTGATTTTATCTTATCGATATTTTAGTAGATTTTCAAAGATATAGATCGAGGAGTTTCAAACTCCTGAAGAAGATAACTGAACTCTTATAGCTTCTGGAAAATTTGCAATGGGAACGCGATGAAGAAAATAACGAGATGCTGAAAAAATATTTAAAAGAAACACGAATACTAATATAGTAAAATTGCTACTCTACTTAATTGATTTGAAGCTTACAATTTATCTAAAAAAATTATTAGATGACGGGAGAAGAAGTGCCATGTTGAAAGATTTATATTCCCTGCTAAATCTCTCTTTCTCCTCTCAATATTAATAAAGCTGTATAAAAAATACAATAGATACCATATATAAGATAGATGTAAAAAATATATGAATAAATCATGTGGATGTAATGTGTGAATAAAATAGAATAAAATAAGGTAAATGAAACATTAATATCTTGTTTTACATTCGGGGATTTTGAACCTTTTTGGGAAAGAAAGAGAGACTCTAATTAATTATTTCGAGATTCTATACAAATGTAGAACGCGCTAACTTAATGCAAAATTAATTCTCGCCGTTGTAGAGTACTATAGTTCTTCTCACTAACTTTGCAATCGCTCAGAATCCAAGAATGTGCTCGAGCGATTTAAAAATATCCCGCATAGTTCCGCAAGATTCGACGAATCCAAGGAAGAGAGCTGGCTGAATAAGAACGCGAGAAAAAGATAAATCGATATGCTCGCCGAGGAGAAATTCAAAAAATTTGACTAGTAAATCGATATTAAATCAGTTACAACAGATGTATTTTTGGAATTTCCACTATATGAAATCTATATGATTTAATGTTAAAATATATCTATATAGAATTCTTAATATAATTATATTGAATTAAAATACACTCATGTCTTATATTTAAACGTAAATTTTAATTAAAATTTATGTTTAAATATAAGACATGAGTGTGTATAATTTTCTATTATTAAAAAAAGTATGAACGTGTCCAATAGTAGTACACAAAAACAAGAAATATATATAATTCTGAGAAAAAATTAATTAAGCTATTCTATAATATAATAATTAAGCAAGATTAATTTATATTTTTTGATAGCTACAGGTTAATTACTTGAATCTTAAAAAATTCTTTTCAAGCTTTCATTTATTCTAAGAAATTCTTCGAAATTCTAAGAGAAAGATCTCTTTCCTGAGAATGACATAAAAATTATTCTATAATCAAATAACTGATCTCTTATGATGCAAAAATATTTATCTACAATCATCTATTTTGACTGATTAATCACTCGATGCAATTGCATAAATAAATCGATGTATTTCTGGATGCATTGTCGGCCAAGCGGCACGTTTCACCTGTTGATTGTCAAACTCAGTTACGATCGGTATATATGAAGTGACTAATATATTATTCTTGGCATTGTGCTCGTCACTGTTCAATGATTTAACTCGCCGAAATTTGTCAACTCTGTTTGCGCATAATTAATTAATGTTAATTATGTAATTTGTGATTAAAGTAATTATTAATAGTGAATTCGGTTGGATGCACTAGTGCGCATTGAGTGCACATAAAAGTTATCGCACACAATTTTACAATAACATAAGTAATTAAAAAAGTAAAACAATTAACAGTAAAAGTTATTATTATCATTATTTATATTGAACAATAATAATAATAGCTCCTACTATTAATTATTTTCCTTTTTTAATTACTTGTGTCATTGTGAACTTGTGTGTGATAAATCTTTATATGCATTTATAAGTTACTATACATTTTTACATTTTATTATAAATAATGACACTATAACAGTCGAGAAGCATAGATTTCTATGATATATATCTTCTTTTATTTTGAATTGTTTAATATTTTGTAATTAATTTCGCAATATATTCCATATACACATATCAGTAATTTTTTAAAATCTATTCCAATTTATTTATTTGACTGCTTGTTCAAGAATATTGAGTTGACGACTAATAGCAAAAGATTGATCTAGAAAGCAATCTGCTTGAGTGTCTCTCGTTACGAAAATATAGTGTAATTAGTTTAATATTTTTATTTTTTTCCTTTAGTATAACTTATTATACGCGTTCTATTTTAATTTTTTGCTACAGCCAAAATATCGTGTTTTTTGCTTGTTTTTGAAACGCGAATTATATCTTTCAATTTTTATTCCCGAAATAAAGCTCAGTTTTCTTGGAGAAAAGAGGAAGGAGTAAAATTCGAATAAGATGATATAAACATCCTAGTGTATAGTATTTGTTTTTGTACTCGATAGACAGCCTATCAATAAGAAGCAAAACACAAGTAGAAGGGATAAGATATATCTTTCAGAAATCAAAATTGAAGTCAGTCGTCGATGACTGAGCGCAGAGACAAGAGCGTAAGTAAGAAGTTTTGCGATGAGATTATATTTTACAACAAGGAGTGTATCTGATTATTTATTAGAATAATCCAATTGAGATTCTCGAGTTAGAAATCTCGCATGGATTTTTTTCGTCGTCGTGTTTTCCCTCAAGGCCACTTCTCCGTTATTGACGAATTAGTTCTGCGCGTAGAAATTTTCCACGAATGTGAAATATCAGTATGTATTTTCCAAAGCAACTAAATTAGTAGCTGAAACGGAGCATTTTGTGTGTGTACTCGTTTAATGTTCGAGTATCATTCGATGTTGACGCGTGTTTATTTTTCATCGCGTCAAATCAAAGAGAGAGGATGTTTTAGTTTGCTATTTAGACTTATCAGATTATAGCTTTATATGAATACTATTTTTAGCATTGATAGAAATTAGATTCTTTCAAGGATTAATTAGTATAAAAAAATCTCTCTTTCGATTTTTTTGTTCTCTGTATTCACGCTCAAATACTTTCTAAATCGTTAATATTAATTTGCTTTTTTTTTATTAGGTTTATTAAACAATTTTGTTTTTTTATTTAATTACAGTTCTCATTTTATTTTAAAATTATTTTGATTATAATATTTCATAAATAATATATGTATATAACACACAACAATAATTATAACGTGTTGTTATTACAAATGATTCAAATGAATTCTGTTCCAACGCAGCGACGGTATTTTACATAATTTTTGTTTTCGGCGACTGTTTTGTAGGGTTCTGCCAAAATGTCGAGTACATACATACGTCTGTTTTCACAATTTCTCGCGTTTTATCGCGAATAGATCGGGACCGTCGATCGGTGATTTCAGTGCCGCTGCCGACTCGTTTGACTCAGTCGACGAAAATAGATCGCGGTGCGACGCAAGTTACGCGGTCAGTAGTATAGACAGGAAAGAGTGCGCCCGCGAAAATGCACCGCTCGATATATAATAATAATTATGACTCTCGCAAATAGTTCAGTTCCGGATGTAACTCGAACGTGGAGAGGTGAATCACTGTTTACGTGACAACAGCTTCTTTGAACGATGTCAGAATCGTGAATGTTAGAAGATCGATTTCGAAATCCGGATTCTTGCGATTATGTCAGAAATTTGATCCAAGAAATATTAGTGCAGTCTGATCTTTATTAAGCAAATATTTAAGGAAAATTAATAATAATTAAAATTAAAATAGTTTACTTTAACTCTTTGATATTAAAAATGTTACTATATTTTTATATATTTTTGTATGATTATAAAATGACAATTCTATTCTCTACTATTTTTTTCCGAGGAAAGTACGTCATATTAAAGGTATATATTATTCTTCTACGACAAAGTACGTTATATATAGATTGCTAAATATATTTTGCAATTCATTTCACGTGATTGCTAAGGGTTGGTGAATGTGTCAGAATAATCGCGTTAGTCACGATTATAAATGATACAGCTAGTTTGGTTAAAATAGATGCAATGCAGTATAGAAGATTATTTATTTATACTTGATGATTTTCGTTGAAAATTCTACGAATGTGAAATTTGGCAAAAATTTAAGCGTTATGTCAAATTTTATAATATTTAAACGATTGTTTTATGCGCTATATTTTAGAGTAGTCACATAAACATGTGATTGCTCGGTGAATCCGTGAAGAAAGGAAATTGTTTCGACGCACGTGGCTTCGAGCTTTGCCAGAAGTAATTACGTTTTCTTAAAGACATTTTCATGCCAGTTCATTGTCAGACACCATAGGTATTTAATTATACTTATATTTATATTTTTATATTTATATATGTGTTTTCTATTTTATTTTTTATTTATTCTTATCAAATAAATTTACTGATAATAAAATAGATATTGTAATATTGCTTGTATTTTTCGCTTCTCAATTCGAATACTTTGGTCATTATCATGCATATTTTTTGAAACAAGATAAATTATGTATTCTCTTTATTTTAACTACAATATATCTTGAGATTTTTTAATTATATGTATACTTAATGGCAATGTGCTACTTGTTTATTGGGTCACAGTGTCATCAAATATGCATTGTATCACAAATAGCCGACAGAATTATGCCAAAGTGAAGCAACGCTTTCTATATAGCCAGCAAAAATATTAGGTCAGTCGGAGATGCCGACAATGTTTCTTATACATAACACGTCTATATTACGACAATTTATATGGTATATTTCTCGATTGGTATTTTCACGAATTACGTGTTACCAGAAATTTGTATGACGTTTCGTATTTGAAAATTAATACAATATTATTTAAGATGATGTTTTCGAAGTTCCGTTTTGACGTTTTTCGGCCATTTCTTTCTTGCTTGATATCTCTTTTTCCATAATATGGGAGCTTTTGTCTTTAGTCTAATTTTTAAATATAATTTTTAAAAACCGGGAACATTATTATTATATATAAATCAAAAGAAAGAGAGAGAGAGAGAGAACACATTGAACAAAAATAAAAAAAACAATGCAATCTTAAATTATAAAAAACTTTGGACCGTGAAATTGAGATAAGATCTATATGCTCATTAATTGAGTTTAATTAAGGCAATATTTTAAAGCATTATTTTGTTATAAATGCGTGATTAATAATATAAATATAATTTTCCTGATAAAAATATTCTGATCTTTGTCTTTCTTTCCGAAAGATCGATCGGTCGGATGACAAGTGCGGCGCGAAAATCAGACGCGCGAAAGAGGCGGAATGCGAACGTGCTATTACGATGTGCAGTAATCTCGGGAATGCATACGGGGCTGTTTGCCAAGTCTTACCGTGACGTTGTAACACCCGGTCCCCGTTCGTTTTGTACGCCGATCTGTCAGATTCCTTTTCGCGCGCATCTGCTCGCTCTCGTCAAAAATGATCAACCACTGGCTGTAGAATCGCGCGTGTCGACAATATATCTCATGTCTTTACATTGTGAGCCGTAAGATAAAATTTTATGCTCATTAATTAATCTTTCCCTCTCTCTTTTTTACCCTCGCGAAAAGAGAAACGAGATGACGGAGATTTTAAATTTTAGAACATTCGAAACATTGATTTTTTGTTCAAATCCGTGGCCTTTTTTTATGCATAATATAAAATTTTATGCCTGTCATTAATCCCTCTTTCTTTTTTCATTATAAATTTTAGTAGATTGAAGACTGCGCAAATTTGTCTTTGAAATTCACCCTTGCGAAAAAAGAATCGAAACGAGATGATGGGTTTTAAATTTTCGAACATTCGAAACATTGATTCTTTCAAATCAGTGGCCTCTTTTGTACATAATATAACATTTTATGCTTGTTATTAATTAATCTCTCTCTCTCTCTCTCTCTTTTTTTATTAAATTTTAGTAGATTGAAGATTGAGCAAGTTTATCTCTGAAATTCACCCTCGCGAAAAGAGAATCGAAACGAGATGATGGGTTTTAAATTTTTGAACATTCGAAACATTGCTTTTTTTTAAATCAGTGGTCTCTTTTATGCAAAATATAAAATTTTGTTTGTTATTAATTAATCTCTCTCCCTTTTCATTATAAATTTTAGTAGATTGAAGACTGCGCAAATTTGTCTCTGAAATTCACCCTCGCGAAAAGAGAATCGAAACGAGATGATGGGTTTAAAATTGTCAAACATTCGAAACATTGATTTTTTGTTGAAATCCATGGCCTCTTTTTTCTGCATAATGGCTTGTTTATTTGGCACTCTTCGGCACAAGCAGGCAGCCAGGCGTATCATATTTCCATCGCCTAGCTGGAGCTGACATAATCGGATGATTTGTTTCACAATTTTGCGGCTTGAACGGTGGCAGTCGACCAATTACGCGGATCTCACGTTACCGGAAGGATGCCGTGTCGTGTCCCGTCGTCTACCCTTGTAGTTGGCAGTCTTTTCCCAGCGCGCGCGTGCACGGAAAACTAATTCATAGCTTCCGAAACGATTGTTATTTATCGTCGAACACAGTTGCAAAACACTCTTATTTTACATTTACGAGAGTCGTTGAAAATTCTACAAACGACACTTGTCGGAGATCAATTAAGCTTGCAGTATTATTCTTGAAGTTCATTCATGCACAAATTTCTAAAAGTGTTACCAACTTTCTCTAATCTATATATCTATCGGACAAAATAATTCGAAATATCTTTTTTTGAAAGCAGTGCAAAATTCATTTATACACTTTATTCTTATGTTAGATGCATTAATAAATTTTATAGTTACAAGCAGTGAGAAATTGATAGATTCGCCAAATTTAAATAATTATTCTCAATTATAATTTCAATGAATTAAATGCATTATATATACGCATAGAGATGTGTTAGAATTTTAATCTAAATCTTGGAACTGAATTAATATTTTTCCGCGAGAATGTATGAGACTGAGACATTGTATAGTCGAGAAATATGAAGCACTCAATCAAGGCTCGCGGGCAAAACAGGTGCAAATGTCATCGTACGTCAAGCTATACGTCATACGACATACGTCACCGGCGAAAATCGTCTGGGAAAATCGACACTTCTGGCACTTGGAGGTGTCGCGCGAACGGTCTCGGGTCTCAAAGGAACGATTGTCCGGACTTGAGACCTGAACGAACATATTACATCCGACGGGTTGTATCGGCGACCCAAATGTACACGGCTTCCACGGTTAGATGCCAAACATAATAACCGATTACCAAGATAACTGGCCCAACCTATTTTCGAGCCAAGAGCCGCATTAATAATAGTGGCCTTACGTCATCTCCAAGCAGCGGCGAGCTCCCTCGGCCTTGGATCGTCGCGGGAAAATACACCCGCGAGCGCGAATTCCGCGGCGCGTGAAAACTCATCCGACGAGTTTCGAGCTGCTCGCTCGATTTGCGATCTGGTTAAACGCGATGATGCTAATGGTTCCTCATCGCTTAGGACCCGACCGAAAATAGGCCTGACACTCGTAAATTATGAGGTCCTTTCGACGCAGCGCGCTTTGAGAGGAGGCAGGCGCCGAATATATATATATATATATATATATATATATATATATATATATATTTCGCGCCCGATATATTATTATTAGATCGACGCAAAAATAATTCGTCTCTCTTTAGACACACTTTACGTTTCTCTATGTCTATTATAGAGAGAGAGTACTATAATTCTTATATTTTTTACGAGGTAAAAAGGACAGAAAGAAAGATTAAGCATTATTATAATTAATAATTTTGATATGTTCGTATGTTTTTGCGCAAACAGTAATAAAATCGAACTTTATTTGTTCAATTTCCATCGATTATTAATCTTAGATGCGTATTTCAAGGTACGATTATGAAACGATATCATTGCACATGCTATAGTTCGCGGAAAATGTCTGTTTTCCGCCATTTCCAGAGCAATCTGAAAATACAGACGCGCTCGGCAAAATATATCGTCGAGGGAGAGAAGCGTTTTCTATTCGCTCTATAAACCTTACCGGAACGTTTAGCACGCACGAGCGTTATTTACCGTCGTATTATTTGGAGGGATTCGCGTTTTCTCATAGCAACAGCTGAATATCTCACAAGACGAGAGATCGCGTTTTACAGCCAACAGCGATTTCGAATCGTTCTGTATTTCCTTGAATTATGCAGACGCGTATTTTCACTTTACTGCACGCGATAAATCATTTCTTTTTTATCATCTCGACGGTCGAAGTGTCTTCTTCGTTTCGTCGTTTCCTGGCGACTTGCGAAATCGGTCAGTATTATTGCAGCGAAAAGTCCGGGACGTTTTATTACAGATTTTGTTCAAGAGAATGCGTGACTTATTTTTTTACGAGCTAATCTTCAGAGATCATCTCCGAGATTTTTACACGGCTAAATCTTCTTCCAAGTTTTCAGTAACAGCTGACGTTTAAGAATCATTCTAATCTAACATTCTAATCGTAACGTAGTCGAATTTTTATCGCGATAATAAACAGAATGATTTCTTCTTAGCTTATTATTCCAATCTTTTTTTAACGCAATTTTACGGTTGATTTTTGTGTCGTGGTTTGTGTAATAATTTAGAGATTTAAAAATTATTCTGATCTGACAATCAGTTTTATGCGTATCTTATTCGTCTAGAATGAATGCTAATGTAACTAAGAACTTTATTACACGGTGCTACGATCGTAAGGCAACATTATAGAAGACTAAGTATAGGCATTCGCGCAAAAATAGCCGTCGTTGAGGCAACTACAGGTGACAGCATCTCAGGCTGCCAAAGTTTACTGAACCACGATAACCGAAGGTTCAAAGTATTATTGATGTTGTCATGTCGAACTTTGAACTGCAAATACTCCGTGTCAAGCAAAGCAGATTAGCAATTATTTCGATATCGAGTTGTTTAAAACATAAATCATTTTTAATATGAAAAATCAAGAAAAAATCACGATTATTTTTTGTTGTTTCATAAGCATTAAATTTTAAAATAATTTTCTTTGTACAACTCTATTATAATTATATATGTAAGAGTTTATTGAGAAATGTTATATAAAAAAAATAATTAATTTAAAAGTTATTTATATACAAAAATGGCGCTCTATTATGTATCATTTTTCTCTACAATCATTTATTCAGAAGCAAAACTGAAAGCAGTGTCCTAATGTTTTAAATTATATTTAATCATGTTTTTTTACCTTTAAATAATTCATTATGTACTCTTTCGCTTTCAGTACTCTGAGAAGTGGATTAATTCTATAATTCTTTTACTAATTTCTTTCAAAATTATTTATATAGAAATAGCGCTATTATATGTATATCATTTTTCTCTACAATAATTTGTTCAGAAGCAAAACTGAAAGCAGCGCCCTAATTTTACAAATTTTAAAAAATTATATTTTTGTTACCTTTAAATAATTAATTGTGCACCCTTTCGCTTTCAGTATTCTGAGAAGTGACGAGCTACGGTAGACGTCGAGCTCAAAAAGAAAGCGCGAAAGAAGGTTGAATGGTGCCGCAGGCCGGCGCCATTTGAACCGACGAGCCAGGCGAAGGGACAGATTTCCTCTCTCTCGAACACGCAAACGGGACCGGGTGTCCTGGTGTGTAGGGACAGGTGCGAAGGCGTGCCTCCACGATGGGGGTCGCCGACGACTTCGCGCCCAGCTTCACGCAGAAGCCGCAGCTGCGGCAGGAGGACGACGGCAACCGGCTGATATTCGAGTGTCAGCTGGTGAGCTCGCCTAAACCCGAGATCGCCTGGTTCCGCGGCGAGACCGAGCTCAGCCAGGATGACAGGACCAACTTCAAGATGCAGAGCGTCGGGACCAACAAGTTCCTGGTGGTGCTCGAGCTCGACGACGTTATCGAGACCGACGCCGGCCTCTACAAGGTCAAGGCGAAGAATAAGATGGGCGAGGTCGCCGCCTCTATCAATCTTAACTTTAGTCGTAAGTTTTCATATGCTGATTTATTATTTTTCCTCTAGCGATATTTATGTGAAAGTTATTATTTCATCCTCGGGCGATATATTCCACTTGTGGTCGGTCCATATTTGTTTTTATCTACTTCTGACTCTAGAAAAAGGATCAGTTAAGCTCATGGGCGTTCGCAGGATTTTTTTCAGGGAGAGGCGTAATTAAAAGTTCTTTTGGTTTATAGTATTATTTTTTTTTAAAATTTTTATTATTTTGTTATTTTAATATTTTTATATTAAATAAAATTGTAAATAAATTCCAGTGTTTATTCACAAGGAGAGCAAATGCTTAATTTTTTTACTGATTCCAGAGAGGGGCAAATGCCTTCTCTGGACGCCCATGGTTGAGCTATATGATTAAAATTAACGAGTATAATAATAAAATGAATTATTTGTTAAACTGATTAATTATAGTACTTTTAAAACAAGAATATTTATTTTTTTAAATAAAAATAATAACAAAGTTGATTTCATGTTAAATGTGAAAAATGAAAAATTTCGACAGACTTTAATCGACTCTTGACAGATATTTACATACATAATTTTCTTATTTGAAATTTCTTTCTTTTGATTAATATTTCGTCGTTATACCTTTTCTAGCAATGGATGAGCCTAGAGAGAAGTAAGTCTAAAGTGAAGTTTAAATTGAGAGAATGATTCGTTTGTCGCTTCTCCAGGCTCTATAAAATTAATTCGTTTTAATTAATTCGCTTCTTGCTTACGCATTAATATAATACGCTTTTATTATTTCTGCTTTTTTCTTTCGTTTTTTCATTTATGATTTTAGCTGCCAACCAATCTATCAGAAGAGGGTGAGTGTGTCGCTTACGCTATGTTTTGCGATTCGAGTGTGATTGTCAATCAATAATTAAATTGTACGATTAATATAATTTGATAATATTGTATTCATATCCCTCTATTTTAAATCAAAAACCGTAAAAAGGAAATGAATATGCTTCGCATATTAAATTTCTTAATTTAATTAATTTTTTGAAATTGTGCCAATAAAATAATTAAATAATTTCTTCATTAAATTACGTCTCGATTCAATCGTTCGCGAAAGAACTGAAATTTGTCGGCGAAGAAACTTTGGAAATCTGACAGATGAAATGATTTTTCGGAAAATGCAGTGTATGTAAAACGCTTCGTTTATCGATTACTGTATCTGTTCGTCGATAACGTTCGAATGAGAATAATCGTCCGATAGAAATCGCGAAGAGAACTCGCCCTGTTTAAGTCCGACGACGCGATCAGCCGCTCCTTTCCGATCCGCCCACGCAGATGGAACCGCGAACGCGAAACCCGGATGGAAATAGAATTAAGGTCTTCTAGTTTTGGACACCGTTCGTGCTTCGCACGCGCGCGATTCGACCACAAAGTGGCCGGATTATTTCGGACCCGCGAGGAAGAAGCCACTAAATCTCGCACGAACTACGATCTGTCTACATCATAACTACACGATCGAGAGCGAGAAAGACGAAAGATGGATCGACTGCACACTTGATTGAAACTTGAACAACGAAAGAGAGATAAGAAATCGCTACAAAAGTTGCGTATCCTGAAATTTTCAAAAATATTGAGAATATAGTATAATTTGGAAAAAAATGTCTATTTCAATCAATTCATAAACCAGAAGCGCAGATTTAACATTTATTTTTATTTCTTGCAAATTAGAGTAACGTATGATTTTTTTTTATTTACTCGTGAAAAACTATGTATTATATTATGTCTTTTATACCTTGTATTTTTTTTTGACCAAGAGAACATTTTTTTTTTTTATAATCGCGCAAGAGACTATTCTTGTCTTCTCGTGATAATTTAATTATAATAACAACGTATGATTTACTTTCGCGGAACAGCTGTTAAAACGATCACGAAATCTTCGTGCAATCTTTAGGAGCGGAAAGCATTTATCAGTCTTCAAATCACTTTTCGCGTACCTCTTGCAGTTAAACCTGCATCTTGGTACGACTTTATGCGATTTTCGAAGATAATTTGAAATTGGGTCGAGAGTCTTGACGACTCTCTCTATCTCTCTCTCTCTCTCTCTCCTTCAAGTCGACGATACGATGAGAAGTTGTATTTTCGGATCGCATCGACAGACGTGATTCCCGTGAGTTTCTAAAAGTAACGCGAGGCTTCTACGCGTCTCCCAAAACGCGTCGCGGTTTGCATCCGATGGTGCATGCGAAAAAGATTTTCGATAAACCGCGAGGGAATAATTCGAAAGCGTGACTTCACGTTTCAATCATGCGCGTAACTTTGTCGAGTCTCGTTAGTTTGCAAATTCGTCGAGAGGAACGTTCGATCGAAAATGAAAGCTCGCGAATCGCGAGGAAACGCGAAGGAACTATACATATATATATGTACATCTATCCCGGTTAACGACAGTGAAAGTCGAGAGGAAACAGCCGCAGCCTACTTCCTCGCTAAACTTAGCTCCAACGTGCACCCGTGCTAATGCACTTGTGGTCCAATCGCGTGTTGCAAGTGTTAAGCACATGCTTCTCGTCCTGGCTCGCAATTTACGTGAATAAACACCGGCGATAATTTTGATTACGGTTTTGCTATAAAGAGAATGCAGAATAATAATTTTATTTTTAACTGTACCTATCACAAATAAAATTCTATCATATAATTACGGGAAATTTCGCAAATTGACAGTCTAAAAATAATATCGGTACAAACTCGATTGATTTCCATAATAATATGCAATTTAATCAATTTATGTATTTTTTGAAGAAGAGAGTTAAAAATTATATGTGCATAATAATTTTAGAAAAATTCTTTTCAAACTTTTAGCAAATCTAGAGCTTTAGACCTTATGAAAAGTCCGAGTTGGATATTCGCGACATTGACTTATTAGCAAAAGCATATCTTGGCAAGAGAAGGAAAAAGGAAGAGCGAAAGAAAGCAATATCGATTATGATGGCAATGTACCCAACTCGGATTTTAAAGTGGTTGTTAACTGTCGGATGGCCATCCGAACGAGCTGTTGAACGAGCCTCCTCCCGTCAGAAAACGTCGACTAAACAAAACAAAAGTTATTCCTGGCAGCAATTCGCGAAAGTCGCGATAAATGTTTCAGCAGAAGCTCAACAGCCGAACAAAGCGGCTCTTCTCTTATTCGCCTTGCCAAGTCTCGCTATTTTTCTCACCTTCTCACTCATCTAACTTCTCCATAGAAAAAAAGGAACTCTAATTTCTAATCTTTAATCTCTGTCACAAATAAACCAGAACGCGCAGTTTTGATTCTCATTTTTTCAATCATTTTATGTATCATTTTTACGAGCATGCGATTTTATGTAACAATGTGTGTGCGTGATTTGATTTTATGCCATTCAGTTCACTGACGCGTTGTCGGTCGCACCGGAAGTGCGATTGGGAAAGTGGTCGCTGATGCGGAACACGTGTTGACATTTTCGCGATTTTGATGAATCACGGGGGCGACGAGTAACGCGTTAGCGAACGATCAATTGGCGTGGGATTGATTTCCGGATTCCACGACGTTTTATCTCGCGCTTGCAGACAAATTGACGGCATCGCGCCGACTTTCGCGAAGAAACCCGCGATCAGGCAGGAGGACGACGGCAAACGGTTGCTCTTCGAGTGTCGCATCACAGCCGATCCCACGCCGAAAATCACATGGTTTCACACTGGGAACATGGTCAAGGATTCGCCAAGGCACAAGGTTTGTCGATTCTTTTATACGCGAACTTACCCCCTCATTTTTTAACGTCATATAAACTCATAAAAGATCACAGAAAAAACAGTATCCTTGAGAGAATGCAAATGTGCCTTGATTCAAGTATATTTTATCCTTATAATAGCGCCAAATATAAATAATTTTGGTTAAAGGATAATTTATCCTTAAAACAAAGTGCAAAATATTCTTGGTTGAAGCTGAAATTTACTTATAAATATTGCAAGGACAAGTGACAAGTGTGCATCGGATATAAGCGGTACTTTCAAATATATATAATAATTCTTAGTTCAAATGTGACTAAGTTTTTTTTTACCATATGCGATTTTTAAAACAAGAATATATCTTAAGGATAAAATATACTTTACACAAACTTATTTATTATTAAGGCAAATGAAAATTTGTGATTACAAAAAGCATTCTATGCTTAAATCAATCAAATAGCGTTCAAGAATAAAAATATACTTGAATCAAGGATTTCTTTTTTTCTGTGATCAAATAATACAATTATAATCGAATAAGATGTGAACATGGACCGATTTTTCCTTGAAAGGTCCACTGAAAAAGTTTGTTGATTAAACTCTTTCAACGAAATTTTATTTTAATTGAACATATATAAAAATATTTAAATTAAATATAGCGGATTAAATCTAAGAAAATGTATATTTGACTTAAATATTAATATATATTCAATTAACAAAATAGTAATTTAGTTGAAAGGTGTAACATAAATTATAGATTTAATACAGTTAGTGACAATTTTGTTATGCAAATATACATTTAGGCAGAAGTCCATTTTTTTACTCATTATCCTGTCTTCATTATATTTAAGAACTTTTGATCTCCCTCATTTTTTACGCATTTTTAATTTTTTAATTTTCTTGTGCAAAAAATTAGATTTTGAAGTAGCCGATAATTGTTTAATTGTAAATTAATTTTGTTCGAACCATTTCAGCTGACCGTCGATAAAGATGGCCACTCGTACTTCGCCACCCTGGAAATAAAAAACGTGACCGTCGAGGATGCTGGCAAATATAAGGTCACAGCGAAGAACGAGCTTGGCGAATCTAACGCCACGATTTCCCTGAATTTCGACAGTAAGTATTTCTGCTATTCTTGCTATAAGTAACTCATAAACCCATGTGCATATATACTTTGACCGATGATCCGCTTTACATTTTTCCTCTGCTTAATTTTTTATTTACAAGTATATATGCTCGATAATATTATTACAGATTTTTGTGTGTGATTATTATATGAATTTACACTAGAATTAGAAGACTGCAAAATTGTTTTCAAATTGAACATTGAACCTCCAAAATCTAATTTGTTTGTATTATTAAAAATATCTTCACTACAGTGTTAATAATTTTTCTATTATTTTCTAGACTATCTGAATTGCAAAAATTTCCGAAGAAAAGATAAAACAAATATTAAAAAGAAAGTTGTCCCGCTTAATTTGATAACGGGAGATAAAAAGCGAATCATCGGTTCCTCCAATTCTTTTCTCACATTCTCACTCGGGATGTATATCGATGATCTCTTTCATTTCCAACTCTCTTCTTCATCTCAATTTCTCTGCCCTGTTTATCTATTTCCTGAATTTACAACTTTACACCAACATATATGTATATAATATATATATCCGCAGTTTATTATATAATTTTTTCCGTTCCATCAGCTCTGCCCATTCTTCTCTCTTTCTTCTATACTTTTCTTTCTTTTTGTAACTATTGTACATATACATATGCGGAATCTCTTTATTTTTTAATGGTTTGTCTCGGTCGAGCGATGAGCACGTATCGATGTCGGCTCGACGCGAGCCACGATATACAGCCCGTTGATTGATCTTTAATCGACTAAACGGCCATTTGCGAGAGAACACACCATATATGTATAGTTTGTCTCTCACGAATCTTGCACCGTTGAAATTTGCGTAGAGAGCGGACCAGAATAATCAACTACTCGTAACAACTCGTATATATTTACTTGCTGCTTCAATCACTCAATAATTAATTCGAATCGCATCTCGGCGGACTTATATTCTCGTGCACTAGAATTCTCTGAAACGAGATTTATATCATTTATTTATGCACGAGATGCGATCGCAGATTAGCCTTACATATTGACGCTTCGTTAGGTTGCTTCGATCACATCTTTTCTCTCTATTCATACGATACGTGCTCGTGTCGTGTGTGAGGGTTGACGAGGGTGTGCTACTCAAGACTCAATCTCACACATATACACACACTGTAAAAAAGTATGTAAACTTACGTAAAGAATATATATTTATGTAATTTTAGATATTTTTATATGTAATATATTACATATTTTTTTACGGTGCACACGTAAATACAATTACACAGAATTTCTGTGGTGGTTGGATCCGCTAACGACATGTATTTTCTTACTTGCATACATTTATTTATACACAATTTGAAATTCTAACAGAAAAATGCTATAATTTTTGCCTATAATTACTTAACAAATTTAAATTTTAATATAGTTATCAAATATAAACACTTTAAAAATATATACAAGATCAAATTTTGTAATTCTAGCGATTGAAAATATAACTTGTAAAAAAGAAATATATTCACACGTTTTAGAAATACTTTTGATCATCTATTGTTTTCTATTGAATCTTAAAAAAATAATGGCAAGTACGAAAATATTTTTTACAAGTAGCAAGATGTCCACGTAGTTTTAAAAAGATGACGGCTCTAATATTGTATATATATATACTCACATCTGTCTTCCGTCACGTGCTTCACTAGACATTTTCATTCTAATTCGCTGGTAGAGATTTTTGATGAGTAAAAGAGATGTTTGAACATTTTTATGTGTTTTGTCATACTGTATATATTTTACATCACTGATTAATACCACGTTAACGTACATTGAGACACAACATAAAGACACATATTCTTCCTGGGTAGTCGATAATTTTCCATTTTTATAAATACATCTCAAATTGAGGAAGTAAATTAAATTTTTCTAATTAATACGATCTACTGTTATATACGATGATATTATACATATATACATATTACACCCCACTCACTCACTCGCAAACAGCGTTTGACGAAAGCTTGTGCATAACTGTGCAGTGTTTCGACTTTTGTCTAACCGCGAGCGACGTCAAAGCCGTGCGAAAGAGAAATGGAAGCAGGTGACATTTCGACAACACTATTTTATACTCTCAAAAGCGAGACATCGCGAATAGATGGAAAAAGAGACGTAAGGAAAGCAACCTAATTTACAAGGTGTCGATCTCATCAGCGAAGATCATGATCCTTAAAAGCGCTTTCAGCGCGCTTCTTAAGTGCGGTTGTACAATTATGTGTAAAATATTGATTATAATAGTATATATAGATTTTATGTAAATTAAATTGCGATATTATTCTCTTCGTAGAAAAATAGAATGTTTACAGTAGTGTCTTAGAGAGAGAGAAAGAAACTTGAAGAGAGTATTCAAGCGCGCCACAAATCGATACGTGACTCCCGATCTCGCATCGAACTGTAAAATGCTTCGCTTATTTAAATCTTTCGCTGCTAAATCATTTCCGAAATTTACGAAAGATCGATCTACCCAGAATTTTATTTTTCTATTTTATGTTTATATTTTTTATATTTTATCTTTATATTTTATAATTTTTCTTTTATCTAAGCAATATCCGTTTAAGTGCAATTTGGAGAAAAATAAAAAAAAAAGAATAATTATCCTCCTTCGTACAATGACGCGTGAATTAATCGCAGCGAAAGATTTGAGTAGGCGAGCAAGAAGATGTATGTGACCAAGAACAATTCTCGATATGTCGATCGTTTGTGTCGAACGTAGGCGACGAGGCACCCGTTCCCGAAGACGGTATTAAACCGACCTTCACCGAACGACCGGTTATAAGACAATCCGACGACGGTAACACCATCACCTTTGAATGCCGACTTGTCGGCGATCCGAAACCAAGTGTCAAGTGGTAAGATCCGATATAGTCGCGACGCGCGCGAGAGGAAGTATGTTGAGGAAGAACGTCATCATCCTCGGAAAAAAATTCAATATAACAAGGAAAAAAAGAACATTTCAAATTATTTTCGCTGAAACAAAAATTGCCGTCGAATTTTTTTCAAGCTGTCATTTCTGACATTAAATAGTTTCATTATTTTTCTAAATTAATATATTAATATTATATTATAATATATTAATATATATTAATAATATATAATATATTATAATATTAATGTATTAATTTTTATATATTAATCGCTATATTAATATATCAAGATTGAAAATTTCTCTGATTTGCAAACATATACCTAAACTTCCAAGCGCGCGCTCGCGATTCGCGATGAAGAATCGGTAATGAACGGATACTTGGACCTGGCGAATTTGGCGACGATCACGCAGGTATCACGGTACCGAGGAGGTGAAAGAGGGCGGACGGTTCAACATGTCCCTGGAGCTCGATCAGAAGCTGTATCATCTCGTGAGGCTGAGGATCGACAGCGTGGCGAAGGCGGACGCGGGCGAGTACAGAGCCGTGGCGAAGAACAAGCATGGCCAGGGAGTGGCGACCATTAATCTAAACTTCGAGGGTGGCGACAGGCTTAAGTAGGCATCGAGAGAGAATAGGAGAGAAGTTTATCCTCCTTAACGTATCGTGTCCTGCGAATTCTCGCGCTTCTTCGATTCTCTGACGCGGCGTGATGCACACTTGCGTTGCAATTTTCTCGAGTTAATTGCGAGGCAAATTGTGACGGTGTAATTTAGTGTAATGGATATATTGGTTTACATCGAAATAGAATTTAGCTGAGCGAAATAAAATTTGGTAGTAAGGTATAAACATTTATCTTTCTCTAGATTTTTTCTTAACTTCTTAGTCTTCGTTTTTAATTAGTTGTCAGAGTTATTAGTCCATTACACTTAATTGCATACTGTTGTAAAACAATATTTTAGGATTTTGAAAGAATCTGAAAGTTATTTAATCAAATTACACTAGTCAATTATATATTATAGATATTTGCATGTAAGATTTAGTTCATTTTAAGACAGTCCAATTTTTCAAAATCTTTTATGGAAACTTATATGTAGAAGTCGCAAGCTCCCTTTGAATTAGAAAAACGTAAATCAGCTGTTCGATGAAAGAATTTTGACAGATTAAGATGACGAGGAAAAGAGATCTCGCGATTCCTTTCCGCAACATCGCGCCGCGTCGTTCGAGAATATTACAATAGCAGGAACGATAGACGAGAAAAACGACGTCGTTCATCGAAAAGACGTTACATTCCGCTCGTCCGTTTAATGGCGGAGTCGGCGTTTCTGCGATGTCTGACGTGTCGATTTACGCAGAATACCGGACGGTAAGCCGCCGCGATTCCCGAAGAAACCGACGATCCGCCAGGAGGGCGACTTACTCATCATGGAGTGCATTCTGGAGGCACATCCGGTGCCGGACATAACGTGGTACCAGGGTCAGAAAACGATCGCCGACAGCAAGCGCGTGAAAATGTTGCGCAAGGCCACCGGCAAGGACACGTACCTGCTGACCCTCGAAATCTCGAATCCAACCAAGGCCGACGGCGGAAATTATCGTTGCAACGCCTTTAACAGCTTCGGCGAGAGTAACGCCAACATCTCCCTCAACTTCCAAGGCAAGTCCCCCTCGAAGCGCGCGGGAGGGTTCTCGTTGTGGTGTCCATGGAGGAGGGGGCATAATTTCATTTTTTATTCTTTGGTCTTTCTTCATTTCTTTCAATTTTATTTTTTTGTTATTTTATCCTTTTCATTTTTTTATATATTAAATATTATTCGAAAGGAGAGCAAATTCTTAATTTTTTTACTGATTCCAAGCCTCCCCTGTGGACGCCCATGGTGGTGTCTCATTTGTTAATTTCATCATCTGTATTAAATGCTTCTTTATATTATTAAACCGTTCAAGAATCATCGAGTTTATAATTGCGATCAGGAAGATAAGTTTCGAAGGCAGCTTTGATATATTTACATATTTTTCTATTTTCCATATCTTTTTTTTCGTTTGAAAAATTGAAGCTACAAACAAGTTCGAACAATGAGATCCCTCCTGTCTTCGTTCCATATCGAATCCCGGAATTGACTTTCTCCTTCGTGCGACATATAAAAAATATATTCCATGATCGCGCTTCCGGTAAAGGTGTCAAGCGATTCTTTCGATGAAAAAATCGTGACGAATCGGTTCTAGCAGGTAAGCACAGCCGCGCTATTGCTAACCAATCGTGAAAGTCTCTGTAAGTTCGCTTCGTAACTCTCATTGAGCTGCCAACTCAACAACATGACTAACGTCATCATGATCGCGCTTCCGGTGTCTTAATGCCCGGAAGCGACGCTCGTGTCTTCGTCGACGACGTCTAACCGTGGATCTTTCCAAGATGCAGAAGAGGGCGCGGGTCTTGCTCCGTCCTTCGTCGAAAAACCTCGCATCATCCCGAACGAAACTGGCACGTTGATCACCATGAAGTGCAAGTGCAAAGCAAATCCCAAACCGGAGGTCACGTGGTTCCGCGGCACCAACGTAGTCAAGGAGTCATCGAAGATCTCGATCAAGACCAATACAGTCGAGGAGGACATCTACGAACTTATTATGGAAATTAAGGTCATTCTTTGAACGGGACTTCTATTTCAAAATGATTCTGATTATTTCTTTTAATTAGTCTAAGTGTTCAATAATAAATTTTCGAACATTTTAGAGCCTCAGTTATAATTTATATATATTATTTTATTACATATTTTTACATTTTTGGTTCTATTAAATTTATAAAGAATTCTTTTTGAATGATTGAGGTGACACACGGATATCCAATTGTGTTCTATAAATTCTTGACTTAGTGAAATCATTCTAAATTATTTTTGGCAACAACAGGACCCGTCGGGACCGGATGGCGGAACGTACAGGTGTCACGTGAAGAACGAGCACGGGGAGAGCAACGCCAATCTGAATTTGAATATCGAAGCGGAACCGGAACCGGAAGGAGACGGGCCGACGTTCGTGGAGAAGCCGCGAATACAGTCGCAAAACAAGGGCAAGCTCGTCATCATGGATTGCAAGGTGAAGGCGAAGCCGAAGCCGCAGATCGTGTGGACCCACGCCGGCAAGGTGGTGAAGGAATCTTCGAAGATCTCCATCAGCATCGTCCAAGAGAAGGATGACATCTATTACATCAAATTGACTTTGAACGATCCAGGACCAGACGATTCCGGTCTGTACAAGTGCAACATCAAGAACGAACTCGGTGAACTCAACGCTAATCTTACGTTGAACGTCGAGAGTAAGTTTTTTCTATCTGTGTGCTTTCCTTAAATTAAATTATACATAACACGTATATATATAATATTATCATTTCTAATTTAAAAACTCGAACACAGATTAATGTAAATTTAATCATTTAATTTTTATCTTAAAATTGTATCTTTTTTATATTATTTAATTTAGTTTTTAAATCTAAGAACAGTTTCATACTATGAATAACAATTATAATTTTTTAATTCTTTAAAGAGATGTGAAACATGGATTGCAAAAAATGAATTTTAGAATTAAATTAGAATAGATAAATTAATGATCATTTTGATCGTAATTTCAGTTATACCCGTAATTAAGGAGAAACCGAAAGTTGTGAAGATTGTCAAAAAGAAGACCGTAGTGGTCGAATGCCACGTTCTTTCCCAATTTGCGCCCGACTGCACTTGGTTCAAGGAGACTCAGGTCGTTAAACAGGATAGCAGGCACAAGTATCATGTCGAGCAAATCAAAGAAGTAAGCCTTATATATATGACATAAAATTACCTTGCAATAAAATTAATAAAGTTATAAATAATTGTAGAAAGAAAGACCTTTCTTTAAAATCTAAAAGTTTTGATAAACAATTTTTTTCGAACGTAGGGTGAATTTACCGTCAAACTCGAAATCGAACAAATGTCGGCGACAGACAAAGGCGTGTACAAATTAGTGGCACGCAACGAAAAGGGAGAAGCTACATCGCAAGTAGTGGAAGTGACAGAAATTCCAGATCAAGGAGAGAAACCGAAAATTGCTACCGGCCTCAAATCAATTGTAACTATTTTTAAATCAAATTTATTTAAGAAAAAGATTAAAATTTTTTTCTTAATTAATTTTATCTTCTATCTTTTTATTGCCAGACTGTCGAGGAAGGCAAGACGGTCGAACTCATTGCCATTCTCTCAACACAAGATCGGAAAGTCACCGTCACGTGGTACAGGTATGTGTTTAATACAAAAATAATGTTTTTTTATTAATGTAATATTTTGTAATATGTTTCATTATTTTTAAAAATTGCATTTTATATTATAAAGAGATTAATTTAGAAATAACTAATATTTGTATAATAATTTGATTAATATCTCATAGTTGACAATTTTTGCTTTTTACATATTCTGAATTTTCTTACGAAATTTTCGCGGCTACTTTATAATAATTGACGCGATACAAATGTAGAGATTCGACAGTCGTCAAAGCGACGAAGGACATCATGATCTCTTTCAATGGCCTGGACATGAAACTGACTATTACCTCGGCATCGACAGAATTGTCAGGAACGTATAAAGTCGTCGTAAGCAACGAATATGGAGAAGACGAATCGTCAGCCCGACTTGTCGTTAAAGTAAGTAATAATTTTATGTTCTTAATTATATTTTAATCGTGTACTAGTCTACTACATCAATACATGAATGCAAGTTCTCGTTAAGATTCCTTCTCTATCTTTATGTAAACCCGTAATCCAACGTGTACAAAGAAATTTTAGATTTTTTCGTGAAAGATCAGCATGTTGAATTAAAATTAAACGTCATCCCTTTTTACGTAAATCCGAAATATATAATATAAATATCCTTGTAAAAAATTGACATGTCGAGCTAAATTTTAGAACTTTTGTGTATTTAAACCAATATTTTTGCAACAATTTCGATGATTATTCGTGAATGAGATGTTTCCCCTATGTCGCATGCAAATCCTTCACTAAATTACAGAAGAAAGAGGAGAAGAAGAAGACGAAGAGGAGGAGGAAAAGAAAAAGAAAAAGGTCGAGAAGAAAGAAGAGAAGAAAGAGGAAGAGAAAAAAGTGGAGAAGAAGGTTGAAGAGAAAAAGGAGGAAAAGAAAGAGGAGAAGGTAGCGGCCGATTATATCGGATTGATCAAAACTTTATTTAATGTTCTATTGCTCCCTATTCCTTTCATTAATATATATTTTTGTGATTAACAAAATATTCTTACACTGACTACAAACAACGTAATACAAATATGGAAAGATCGATTGTTTTGCAAAATTAGATACTTCTCTTTATCTTCGCAACGAATATCTAAAAAATAATAATTATTATAATAAAAAGATAAAAGATAAAATTCTTTTTGGAACAAAATTTTAATTTAGATAATTATTTATTTTTGATTGATATTTAATCAATATTTAAATAAATTTTAAATTGCATTAGTAATGCGTTTGTTATAAATAAAAACGATCAGTCTTTCAATTCCTCGACGCGACAATTGTTATATTGTTGAACGCTTATCTCGATATAAAAGGTAATAAGTTCGATATCGGACGACGAGGATGAAGGATCAGAGGAAGAATATGAAGAAGAGGAAGAAGTGGTGAGTGTAATTGAGTCCAGCATTATCAGCACAGAAGCTATTCTCGAAGAATCGGACTCTGAAGTAATCTTTCGCGTCGAGGTACATATATACACACATATACATATATACATATATACATACACAACATATACCGACACTAATATATAGATTCCGTCTTTTTTCAATTTAGACTTCTATTTTTTTTATAATATAACATAATTTGATAATAATAATTATTTTTTACGAGAAAACAAATTTTACGTTATTTGATTTTACTTTCAAATACAATAATAATCCAATAAAGTTTTTATTGATTTATGAATTTATTTAAACTATTTTTTTTTGTTTCTTTTGTATAACTAATTAAAATTATGCTATGCGCATATTTTCTCTGTAGGATAAATCATTTTTTTCTTGTTATTTTCAAGGATAAGCCTGATCTGAAACAGAATGGTATCTATAAACCAGAGATTGGGAAGGTACGATGCAATTATTTTTTTTTTAATTAAAAAAATTAAGTAAAAGTCTATCTACGAAAGAGAACAGTACATAGTCAGAACACGTTACACTGAGATAATAATTATTAATTATTTGCATCTTCCTATTCACCTATCGTAATTTTTGTTTGTATCTATATTTTGTCATCTGTTACCTTGTCGCTTATGTGTACTGTGTGTGCCACAATATTTTAAAAAGTTTTCTATATTAAATATAGTGTACGTAGAGATATATAGATAATAGTTTTTTAATTGGCTATTAGTTAATGATATTAATTTATGATTATTAATTAAATAATTCAAAAAATAATTCAAAATAATTTTATATAAAACATTTAGAAATATATTATATAAAATATGCAAAAAAAATAAAAATTTATTTTTGTTTCAGAAAATGGAGATTTTACAGGTGAGTGTAAAGTATCAAAAACTTGGATTCAGCTAAAATTTAATGTAATTTATGCGCTCGAAAAATAATTCTGCTCGAACAAATTTAGCAATTTGTTCTGCGGCTTGAGGCTTTTGGCAAAATATTTCGTCAATTTGCAAGATAGACGTGTGTAAATAAATCGCTGCAAGCTTTCTTTCAATTGTTTTCTTTAGTTTTTCTTTCAGCTATGAGATCTTATCTTGCAGCTGTAAAATTATCTTTATGCAATTAATATTTATTGGACTTGTGCCATGTGTATCTTTGCTTATGTTATTTTATTTTTCACAGTATATCTGCTTATGATTTTGGCTTATCCGCTATGTTTCTTCGAACGAGTCTCTTGTGCGCTTTAAAAGCAACCGCTTTATTTTACTTTGCTTAAGAAATGCAGGTTTTTGAAAGCTTATAAAAAACCTTTATTCTTCCTCAAATTCCAGAAGCTGGTTCCTTTAAAATTACTCTACACAAAATTTAATTTTATTATCTCGCTCATTTGTGCATGCTTTCTTTTTGCATTGCATGTATCTGTGCATGAAATTTTGCAAACAGTATCGGAGCTTTAGATGTATTAGTTAAAATTGAATATTATTTTAAATTGTATTTGTGCTGTCTTGTATTTTTGACATTATTATTTATTCCAAAATATTACATCAGTTTAATATTTTACTAACGTCATGTTATTTTTTTGCGCATGCAGAAGGACGAAGAAATCGTAAATAATGTGGAAGAAAGAAAATCTATTAAGGTAAGAACATAATCTAATATATGATTTTTTTCTAATTTTTTGCCCTTAACTATAATATATAATGACTAATTTATATCATTTATATTTTAATTTATATCATTTTTATTTGTAGAAAAAACCCGCCGATAAAGTTGAAGACAAAAAAGAAGAGGAAAAAGTGAGTGCGGTTATCTTTGCAAATATAATTTATTTGTTGTTATTATTCTAATTGTAAATCTCTTAAAATTTTAATTTTTTTTCTCCAGAAAAAGATTATAAAGAAACAAGAAGCCGAATCCAAAGAGGTGAATACAATTCGCACATACTAATCATGCAGTCACACAATTTTACTTATTATAAATTATTTTTTAATTTGTACTTATTTTTTTAAATGTTATATTATTTATATATAGGCATCTAAAGAAGCCACGCTTAAAGTTGAGAAAACTGTAGCAGGTCGTAAAGAATCAATCAGCAGAGTGAGCATCAATCATAAATTTTTTTAAAAGATTATACAAGAGTTTTGCAAAGACAAATACACGTAAATTGTTATATTACAGGTGGAAGAAATCAAGACAGAAAGCCGTCGCAGCTCGATCACCAAGACGCAGGTATGAGAAAATATTATTATAATATTGAATCTTGTAAATATATAGTTTTGCAAACTATGACCTATGACTGTAGAAAAATTCATTCTATATTACCAGATATATATTTTTACTATACTTTTATTTTTATTTATTTTATTATAATTGTACAGATAATGGATGATGGCACTGAAACACCACGACGTCTTTCTATACAGAAGGTACACATACACATTTGTAGATACATGTATCACATACAAACATTGTCAAATACAAATTACAAACAATTTTACTACACTATGTTTTTGAAAAAATATTAATAATATAACAATATTAAATTTTATTATTATTATTATTATATATTGTTTGAATGTGAACAGTTATGATATCCGAGTGAATAATACATCAAAACATTATTTTATTATTATATAAAACTAATTGGCTTTATAATAATTAAATACAATTATAATTAATTTTATTCTGAGATAAAAATTAAAAAATACCGGTTATTATAAATTGAGACAGTAAGATAATTAGTATATGATATTAGTGAAAGATATTTATTTAAATTAAATTTTAATTTTAATTTTTTAATTAAATTTTTATTTAGACGGAAGAAGAAGTCAAAGTGGAAAGCAGACGATCCTCTGTTATGGAAAAGAAGAAAGCAACTGTCGAAAAGGTAATAAAGAAAAAAATATATATCAATATTATATCAATATCACAGTCTATCCAGTTGCGACTCAGTTGTCCGATCTCGAATATTTAATGCGTATATGCAAATTCTTACATTTAATGACATGGCTGCACCGAGGTACATATATGTACATTTGAATTTCGTAGTCAGTACAACTAAAATTGGCGGCATAGCGTGACTTACCATGTGACTTACCACGTGACTTTACCACGTGACTTGAGGACAAGTACAACATCAAAAATGAAATGTTGCAACTGGATGTGGTTAGACTGTGTTAATATATCAAAGTTTTCAATTAGTTACATAATGTGTTAACCAAGTGTTTTATTGGTGATTAACTGATTACTATTAATTACGATTTTTCATAAACAAAGTAAGTATAATTTGAGTGAATTATTCTACCTTCTTAAAATCGACGTAAGAAGGGATTTAATATTGCGAATGAACTTTTTTTTATAATGTATTAAAAGCTATTTGATATTATGTTGTTTGTTAGAACAGCTATATATTAATTTAATCTAGAAAATATTTATGTTTCTTCAAGTAGTTTTTAAAACAATTCTCACATAGATCTTTTGTAGAGCTTTTAAAGCGTAAGTTTTATAATACAATAATAATAAATATATAATTATAATTATTGATATATGACACAGAAATTAGGAGATTTGATAACTGTATATCTATAAAAGAAACAAGCGAGAAATAAGGTTTGTCACATATTGTTGCACACAGAATGTATTCGTATTTAGGCCAAGGGCCATTTCGCGAACAATTAAAATACACTTATACACATAATTCAATCACATCAATTAATCTATTTTTTATTATTTTTTACTGGAACAACTATCTTTCCAGAACATACTCACATCGAAGACCAAGCCACACATACACGCACCCGACGAAGAAATTCAGGTACATGATGACACATTACTCTCATTCCTATATTATTCATTAGTACAGTACATTATACATTGCACTGCGTAATTTTAAGACGTATCGTCTAAATTGATATGGCGCGATAAGAATAAACTCGTAAAAAATTACGAGAATGATATGATTCTCTGATTCATTTATCGTTATATTATTCGTTGCACAAATGAGATACATAAATATAAAAATGAAATATCAGAAAACTATCAAAGTAATCTTGTATGTACATCGCGAAATCGATCATGAGCCGAAGAAGTATATTTTGCATTATACAACTTAAATATGTATATTTTATTTAATATATTTTTTAAAAGAGAACGAATATTTTTAAATATTAGCAGTAAAAGATAATAGATAATATCGAAATATATAGACAAGTAAAAGATAAAAGATAATATCGAAATATAAATTTTGTAGGCTACATCTCAAGCTGCAATTAAGCCAAGCGTGCGCGATTCAGATGATGAACTTGAGGTATACAAATAGAAATTATACACACGTATACATATAGCACAAATTATGTATAATAAGAACTATTTTATTCATATTTGTTTTATGAACGCGTCATACATCTTATCAATACTATCAATTTTAGGATGCGTGGAGAATTCATAATCCGGGAGAACGTGATAATGAATCTGCGCCACATTATAAAGTATACGAATATATTATACTTATTACACTTACACATATTAATTTAAAAGCACATAATACTTATTATTTAACATTAATATTTTAGGATACATCACCAGCTAAGACACACAAATCTTACACACAAAAGAAATTAGAAGTTAGATCCAAAGATGAAACACTTCCACTTGACACAATGACAAATAAAACACATCCGCAGAAATCTGATGAAAAAATTAGGGTAAAATTAGAAATTATGTTAAATGAAAAAACTGTCTATTTAATTTTTAATTAAAAAGTTTTTAATTAAATTACAAATATTTTTGCCAATAGTTGAAATTATTTTTTTTATAAGAGAATATAAAATGTTAAATATATTATTTTTAGGATACTTTGACAGAAAAAACACATTTACCTGACACATCTACAAGTAAAACACTTCCACATAAAATCGATGAAGCTACAAAAGATAAGACACTTCCACGTGACACAGCCACACACAAAATACGTTCGCAGAAATCTGACGAAGATATTGAGGTATAGAAATCATATTATTGTATAGACATAAAAAGTATATGCATACATAAAAAACAATTTTTTTAGGACATTTGGGCGAGTAAAAAGCGCGATACTGATTCTAAAAAACCTGACAAAGTATGCAAATATATTTAAATTATAAATCTTTTTTTCACAAGTAGTACAAATTTTTTATAAAATATTATAAAATTGTAAATATATTATTTTAGAACACTCCGAAAGAGAAAACATATTTGCGTGACACATCTACGAGCAAAACACTTTCACAAAAAATCGACGAAGTTTCGAAAGATAAAACACTTCCACGTGACACATCCATACACAAAATACATCCACAAAAATCTGATGAAGAATTTGAGGTATAGGGATCTTATTGTCGCGCATAATCGACATTAAATTATTTATCTTTAAAACATTAATTTTTTAGGACATTTGGGCGAGTAAAAAGCGTGACACTGATTCCAAAAAACGTGACGAAGTATGCAAATATATTTAAATTATACATATTTTTTTACAAGTAGTACACATTTATAAGATATTATAAAACTTGAAATACTTTATTTTAGGATACTCCGAAAGAGAAAACATATTTACGTGGCACATTTACGAGCAAAACACGTCCACATGAAATCGATGAAACTTTAAAAGATAATACACTTCCACGTGATACACCCACGCACAAAATACATCCGCAGAAATCTGACGAAGAGATTGAGGTATAAAAATCGTATTGTCGCACATAGTTATTAAATTATTTATCTTTAAAAAATCAAATTTTTAGGACGATCGAGCGAATAAAAAACGCGATACTGATTCTAAAAAACTTGACCAAGTATGCAAATATATTTAAATCATAAATCTTTTTCACAAGTAGCACAAATATTTTTATAAGATATAAAATTTTAAATATATTATTTTAGGATACTCCGAAAGAGAAAACATATTTACGTGACACATCTACGAGCAAAATACTTTCACATAAAATCGACGAAATTTTAAAAGATAAAACACTTCCACATGATACACTCACACATAAAATACATCCGCAGAAATCTGATGAAGAGATTGAGGTATAAAAATCGTATTGTCGCGTGTAATCGACATAAATTATTTATCTTTAAAAACATAAATTTTTTTAGGATATTTGGACGAATAAAAAGAGCGATGTTGACTCTAAAGAACGTGACAAAGTACGCAAATATATCTAATTTTTGCATATCTTAAATAATTTTTGCAAGTAGCTCAACAATTTTTTATATGAGATTATAAAATCAAAAATTTTAAATATATTATTTTAGGATACTCCGAAAGAGAAAACATATTTGCGTGACACATTTACGAGCAAAACACTTCCACGTAAAATCGATGAAATTTCAAAAGATAAAACACTTCCACGTGACACACACACGCATAAAATATATCCGCAGAAATCTGACGAAGAGGTATATTAATACATATAAAATTGCATAGAGAGCAAGTTTATAAAGTTTATCTTAGATTCATCTTAGGTTCATCTTTTTCAAAACTATTGCTATTTTTAGGATATTTCGCCGACTAAACCCAAAGAGCGTGATGTAGATTCCAAGAAACCGGATAAAGTACGCGAATATATTTATCATCTTATTATCACATACGTATATAAATAAGTTTAATTAAGAGAGAGCATTAAAAAAATATATATAACATTTTTTATATTATTTTAGGATATATCAAAAGATAAAACACCTCTGCATGAAACATTCACAGCTAAAACACCATACAAATCTGAAGAAGTGAAAGACAAGACACTTCCACATGATACAATCATGGCTAAAACACAACCACACAAATCTGATGAAGTATTAAAGATTAAACCACATCTACACGATACAGACAGAACACATTCACACAAATCCGATGAGAAAATTGAGGTATACAACACATTTATTACATACACATACATGTTTATACATCTATTTTTCTTTAAATAAATAAAATATAAATACATGTACATACATATATACATACATTTTATACATATATACATATAATACTGTAGAACAATCAAGTCGAAAGATATTGATTCCAAAATATTTGACAATGTAAATTAATTCATTAAATAAATGTCACATCACCAATAAGAGTATATATGTAATATTCGAAATCTAATATTATAGGATTCGCCAAAAGCTAAAGATAAACCATCATCTCGTCGTCAATCTGACGAAGAAATCGAGGTACACATCACACACTACATATTACATTTTATATAATTTAATTTTTTTTTACATATTTTTAACATCGATTTTGTAGGATGTTTGGTCCAAGCGGAAGGAACGTGAACATAAACCGCACAAAGACGATAAGGTACATCACATAAAACACATTTTCTCATATCTGAATACACACTTATAAAATATCAGATATATTATAAAAATATCATTATTATAGGATACACCGGCAACTAAACTTAAGAGACGTGTGTCCAAATCTGACGATCAAACTGACATAGATAGTTCACCTTTGGACAAATCAAAAGTACGCGAAGTCAAATCCACGCAAAATAATGAGGTAGATAACAGAAGAAATGGAATAATAATAAGATTCGCGTAATAGTAATTGATTCCATTTTTATTTATTTATTTCTTGAGAGGGATAATTTATATAAATCCGAAATAAATATGACAAAATTGTTCTTTCAAAATGGAATATGCGCGAAATAAATGTAAAATTATTTTTACTAAGAAATTCAATGTTATAATACTTTATGCACGCATACGAAATTGGTTTGTTGTGAAAATTTTAGGATAAATCTGCGCCAAAAACTAAAGGACGCGACGATAGACACGTCTCACATCATGAGGTACATACACATAAAAAAAACACAAACACATATAACAATTCGTATACGCAGATCATACTTTCATATCTTATACTCACACACATGTGAAACATTTTGATAAAGTATATACTGTTATTTTAGGACATCTCAAATTTCATAGACACATCACACAAATCTCCACTCGACCGAGATGTAAAAACTTACTACACACATTATAATTACGTTAGTTAGAATAAATATCATCATATCGCGCACAATATGAGCATCCTTTTATTAATTGATTATTATTTTAGGATGTATGGGCACCGAAATCTATCGAACACGAACAGAAACCCGTCACAGTCGATAAGGTACACACACATATTTATACACGCACACATATTCTTACACTGATTTGATAGATAATTAAATATATCAAATACGCATATTATAAAAATTTATTTTTTTAATCTTTTAGGATGTTTCTCTCTCTGTCACTAAACCACAAACGCACGAATCAGATGATGATATTGAGGTATAATATACATATCTTTTTTTATCATATTTTTGTACACTGACTAATTTAATGAAATAATACGCGATTGTAGGATATTTGGGGTTCGACTGAAGATGACGCGCCGAAACCTATAAAAATACTGGAGGTACAAAATACGCGAATTATATTTAATATTTATTTCATATTTGTTTCGCTACTCGCAGTATAAATCGTAATTTATATAATTTTTTTATCGGTATTTTAGGATTCGCGGAACTCCAAAGTTACACCGTATAAGAACGGTCGAGATAAAGTCGAGGTATAGTTTTACAACGATTATTCGTGTATCGTTAGAATATATTTTTACACTTATTCGATGTTCGATAATTTTTAAATCTGTCTACAACAACAGGAACCTACATCTACACCTAAACTTACATCCAAACCTAGGGGCAGCGTAAGCAAGCTCAAAGAACCCACGGTATACACTTTTTACACTTACATTAATGGATATTTAGACACAATAGTTATTTATATATATATTTAAATTAATTATATTATATATTATTTTCGTATCTTCATTTTTTACATCCGCAATTTGTGAAAAAGAGAAGGACTCTTCGATTAGACCTGATCTTTAAATATTTGCAGGAGAGCGATATACCCGAACACGAAATAGACGATAAATCCACAAACACTAAGGTACACTTACACATACAATCACACTCGAACACGTACAAAATAAATATCTGATTTAAATACGTATCTATATAAATACGTATCTTTTCTTATTTTTATTTTAGAACAAAGACACTGATTCTACACTTGACAAGGATGAAGTGCCTAAGGTACAAAACTTTATACTTGGAATATATCATACACGTAACCCATTTTTCGACTATTTTATTTTATTGTATTTTTGCGTAATATTTTAGAAAAAGCTGATCACTAGACGTAGGTCGTCGACTAAATCAACAGAAGGATCTGAGGTATAAAGATCTTCGTAATCTGTCAATGCTAATCATTGACTCTTTCTCTCCTTCTTTTCACTCTATGTGTTTAATCACGTATAATCGATTTTTTTCACTTTTCTCTACAATAATCTTTGACATATTCTTCATTTTCTCTTTCTTCCTTTCTTTCTTTGTTATAATCTTCAAAACTATTTCTTCGCAGATATAATATGTTGATATCTTCTATCAAATTAAACATCTCTATGATGCAATCTTTCCTATTCTTTATGATAACAATTTTCTTCTTCTTGTTCTCTTCTTCTTTTTCTTGTTCTTCTTTAAATCTCTACAATTTTATTATAAACATATTGTTCAGGATCAGGAACAAGTTTTGAAATCAAAGAAGAAGAAATCTAAACCTGTGGATGAGTCTAAGGTATATGAATACGTATTAATTATATCACATTTAATTTATAAATATGTGGAATAAATAAAACTTTAATTATACATTTCACACGCTACAAGAAATAATGCAATATAATTTTTATACATGTTTTCGATGGGGCAAATACTTATTAACAATTGCAGTGCCACTATAATATGCTTTTGAAGTATTATTATTATTATTAATACATTATTAGCATGCAAATCTTTTTATGCATCATACTGCAAATTTATATAAAATGCAAATAAAAAGGTAAAACAACATTATTTATTAATGCAATTATTTATACAAATTTGTTAATTATAACATATCTGTATATTTTTGTATATAACTTATATCTTTTATATATATACAGAATTCATATACATATATAAATCATATATAAATAAACATATACATTTTACATTTTCGTATATAATAAATCTACAATATAAAACTATTTTTCTAGAAAGAGGAATTGAAACCGAAAACCCTCGGAAAACCGGAAACACCTAAGGTACACAAAAATACATTTTCATGTACAAACATACAAGTTGTCTAATATGATCAATTTATTTAAAATTTTTAATTGTTTCACAATTACATTCATATCTCAGGGAAAAAAGCGTATAATATTAAATTTATATTTTAAAAACACGATTTTAAAACATTATTATTACGTTTTAGGAGGAACCTAAGCCTAAACCGGGAGAGGCGAAGGTATACAAAACAATTATATTATTATACCTTCATGCATAACATTTTATCGCTCGCATTTAACACTGTTAAACTTTAACACTTTATATATAAAATATACAGCTATAATTAAAATATAATGCATAAGATGCAATGAGATATTTTTGTCAAGGCCACAAAAACCAGCGATATATTTAACAACATAATGCCATAAAAAATGCGTGACTTAAAACATTTCCGTTCACATTTAAACGCGTTTCCAACATTTTTAGGTGGAATCGAAAGCCAAACCCAAAGCGGAAGAAGTAAAGGTATACTTACACATATTTATACGTACACTATCTTGCAACAACATCCACTTATACAAGTAGCAGAATGCGAAAAATGTTACTTAAAGTACGACATATAAGAGGCAATATTAAACTCTACTCTCATACACTTTTAGGAAGCACCTAAGACCCAACTTAAACCAGATGAACCGAAGGTATACAAAAACACTTTTTATATCACGCTTCTTATCATTGAATTTAATGGATTATATAACCGATTGAAACGAAAAAGAAAGCGTCATTTAAACTTACACTTTTAGGAGGGACCGAAAGCTAAACCAAAAGCAGAGGAAGTAAAGGTACACTTACATTACTTTGTAATACGCTTACATAATTTACGGTTAACGGGAAAAAATACACAAAATATATAACGAATAAAAATAAATGAATGCAGATAGTTAATTGACACAACACTTGTACACGTTTCAGGAAGTGCCAAAGTCCAAGCCAAAAACAGATGAACCAAAGGTACACAAATTATTTATCACACTGTGTATTTTAGTAACAAAGCTAGTAGTTAGGCTTTTAAATTGAGTCTACACTACAGCGATTGACACCAAAAATAAATCTCAACTTGTATACGCTTTTAGGAGGAACCAAAAGCTAAACTTAAGACGAAGGAAGTAAAGGTACATTTACACTTGTACTCTATCTCGCAACACACATATATTAGACATATAAAATAGGAATTACAAAGTACAAGAAAATTGAGCAAAGACAAATTGAAAGAAGAATTTAAATTATGATGTAGTTTTTCTCAATCAATTTCACGTATACATTAAACAAGGCAAAACCAATTCAATACTCAAACATATATGCATACACTTTTAGCATGCAACAACACTTAAGCCCAAACCAGAAGAAGACAAGGTATATTACACGTTTTTTTCATTATTTTTTTATTTATGATTACATCTTTATTATAAGTATATTTATTTTATATTTTATTCTATACACTTTATACTTTATACACGTATATATACGTCAATATTACAATTACACGAACACTTTTAGATCGAGGAAAAGCCTACGGCTAAACCAGAAGAATTAAAGGTAAACGTAAATAGTGAGAAAAAACACACAAAAGACAATATTAAGAAAATTATATGACGAATACGCGATTATGAAATATTATTCGTGCATTTTTAGGAGATACCAAAAACCAAACCTAAGCTGGGTGAATCAAAGGTACACGAAACACTTATTAAGTTACATTTGTTAATTATTTATTTTTATATTTTACTTTATACATTTTACATTTTATATTTTATACACATATACATGTGAATATTACAATTACACGAACACTTTTAGATTGAGGAAAAGCCTACGGCTAAACCAGAGGAATTAAAGGTAAACAATAAATGTTGACAGAAACGCAATATTAGGAAAATTATATGACCAAATACACGATTATGAAATATTCATACATTTTTAGGAGATATCGAAAACCATATTTAAGTTAGACGAACCGAAGGTACACGAAATATTACATTTTACATATTCGTTAATCCTGAATCAGTAGTCATGGTTTTAAACTGGTCAGACACATAATAATTTCGAATTAAATTTTACACATACACTTTTAGGTGGACGTTAAATCCAAAGCAGAAGAAACAAAGGTACACTTATATCACTTTATTTTTACACACTTGACAACAGTTTAATTATTTAAAAGATAACATTCGGCAATTCATAAGACACATTGAGATAGAACATATTTTGCTATTTGTAGAAAGAGGAACCCGCGACGAAACTTGCGGCTAAACCACAAGAACCAAAGGTACACTTGATATATATAACACACACATATATACAAAAGATATTACAATCTAAGATTCATACATGTATATCGACATAATTTAAAACTGGATATAAATTTTATTAAGAAATGAAATTACATGAATTTGTGCTTCTGTTCCAGAAGGAAGAAGAGATCACTAAGAAAAGTCTAAAATCTGTCAAGGTAGTTATCATAATTTTCCCTCGAAAAATTGCTAATAAAAATCCCAAAATAATTAAAATATAATATAATAGCATATAATTTGCATTTTTTAAAGTACAATATTAATATAATTTAATAATAAAAAAGTTATTATTAAAATTCTATAAATTTTTATTTCGAAAGTTGTTAATAAAAATCTTATGTAAAAATACTTATTAAGATTATTAAATTATTATCGTTTGTTTGTTTCAGCAACTCGAGGAAGAGAAGAAAACTCAAGAGAAAGTCGAGCTTAAGGTAGGTTTATATCACTCGTCACATTTATGGGCAATCGTTCAATGTAATGTAATGTCCAATATATCGTTCCCTGGTAGAAATATAAAAACGATAACGAAATTTCTTAGTACGAGTGCCGAATTTTTCATATTTTGTCAGTTATCAATAAAATTTTTAATTTAGTATTATTAAATTAATTCCATTAGATTAGCGTTTTTTTGTGCATTTTTCTTTTTGCGACTCCTTGCATGCGAAACATCAAAAGTATATCTATATGTATACCTGTAGAAACCTGTTTTTCCTAAAAATGACGTATTAAATACAGCCGAAGGATGCCACGGTGACCAAACTGAAATCCCGTATACCACCGAAACAGGAAGTTAAAACCGAAAGATTTCAGGGAATTCAGCTTAAACCTGTTTCGAAGGATGGGAAACAGCCTCAACAGGCTGAAAATGGCAAGGTGGAACTTAAGGTAGCCCCACTGAAGGGGATCAACACAAAGATCTTGCTGCAATCTCTCTATGTCGCACTTTATGTGTCTCTAAAACTTTCCTAAATCTCGATTATTTACGGCGTCTATTAATTCTCCGCAATTAAACAGCGCCAAAATATATTTGTGCGCATTTTTATTTCTGTATATACTTCGAGATGTTTCTCACACCATATATTTATTCTCTTAATACAAGCGAAATTAATTTCTCAGTGTTCTATCTACATGTTATCTTTTTCTATATATACTTTTCTTCTCTGTGAATAATATTTATATTCTCTGTACATATCTCGATAGATTTCTATGTTACACTCACATCTTTCACTTCTCTGATATGTTCTAACGTTACTGTAATTTACATATAATTTTCTTCTTATTGTTAATAATACACTGCACAGGAAATTTTTCTCTCTATCTTCTCTCTATCTTCTTCATCACATGCTCTTCTTCTTTACTCTATCTAGAGTGAAGAATATTATCTGCACTACTTTATCTATTGTATTTAAACTTTTCTGATCTCTTTCATAATTTATGTTATGAATCTGCTATAATTTTAAATAATCTATGTCTCTAATAAATACATATCAATACTGTAAATATTATGATATTGTGTTAAATATCTGCACACTTGATGTAAGAATGTTTCTCACACTAAACTATTATTTATTAACACACATATGTACATACATACACACATAACAAAACGATAAAGCGATTATGTATTTATTTCTACGTACTAGCTTTCGTATCATTATATAACTATATTTCACTAGAATCAAGTTTTTTTTTGCAAAAACAATAATTTTAATTTTTTTTGTCAGAAAAATTATAATTCTAACAGAAATTCAATGCAAAGAAAATTTTAACATTAAAAAGTATATAATATAATTACAGTTATTTCCATTTTTATATTAAATAATTTTATGGAAAAGTAATACCTACAAATATATTGTATTATATTCATGGAATATATTTATTATTTTTTAAATAAGATTTGCTAGAAAATTAGCATAAATGTAATGCATTATCAGAAGTTTTATTTATTTTATTACGATCAAAAATTTTTTAAATTTTGTGTTTGAACAAAAAATATATCGTTTCGTGTTTCTAAAATTGCAATAATTGTTCTCATACTTTTACTGGCAAGTTACGTGGGAATTAATCAACATGGTGTTAATTTTTTGTCATTTTCGTACGATTCTGTATCGCTTATTGTTTATCACGCAGAAAACCGAGAAGGACGAAAAGCTCGATGCGAAGAAGAGAAAGGGATCGAAGGCGGCGAAGGAGGCGAGTTACGAACTTCCGGAGATCCCAGATTACGAAAGGCCTGTTCTTGAGGAAGTACAGAAATTCGATTTTGGAGAATTTCAGCCTCGCGATAAGACGAAGCTCGACAGACCGGTAACGCAGGTAAAAAACAATTCAATTTTTTATATAAGTATCATTCTACAAATTAAGCATGTAACAATCATCTCGCGGGATAATCAGGAATATATTAAATAATATTAATAATTATTACATAATAGCCGTATATACTAATATGTATGTATATTATATACACACGCCTATTATGCAATTCTTATTAATTTTTTATATAAATATAAATTATATTTTATACATTGTTTACGATATTTACTGTGATTTCTATAATTATTTTATATACAGTTTGTAAAGGATCTTTATTAATTTATGTTGTGCTTATTTGTATATTTTACGTAGCAAAAATGATTATAAAAAAATTAAATTTATAATGAATTAAAAATATTAATTTAAATATTCAAAAAATTTTTGATTAATTATATCTTTTTTATTTTCATGGCGCCATGCAGAAATTCGACTCTAAGGTGAGTAATGTCATCATTTATTAATAACGCGTAAAGGGAGAATAATAATTTTGCCAAATCGTTGGCAGAACTGCACACACGCGAAAAATCCTGCGAGTTTCGCAATCGCCGCGTCAGTCGAGGACGCGTTTTGATCGAGGCTCGCGATATGCGGTTCAGGATAATTAATTTTTACGGCCAATTTGCGGGCGGTTTAATTATAACCGAGGTGCAAACTAGACTCGCTCGTTTCGCGAACTCGAAAGGACGGCAAATTTTTACAGAACTGGTCATCTAAAAATATGATGTGCAAACTATATATTGTGATATCCGTGACATATATCCGATTGCTCGAAACAATGTGAACAATTTTATATATATTAAATAAATTTTAATTATTTATTATTTTTAATTTTCCAATAAATATCTTGATAATTCAATTTAAAATTAATATTATACCAGAATTGAAGCCTGCATAAAATCTATCGGAGAGCGAGATTTTATTTGTATCGAAAAATCTTATTTTTTAATTTCTATTTATTAGATAATTATTTTCTATATTTACATTAATTTCATTCGATTACAAAATTCACCATTGGCAGCTCTCACGACAATGCTAATAATTTTTGGATGACAAATTGGTGGGATTTTTCCCCGAGACTACGATAAAACACGCATTGGCAAGGATCTCAGCCGCATAAGGACCATCTTCGTATTTTTCGCGCGCGTCAAAGACCAGTGTCCCCGTGCCATAAATATCGTTCCATCTGCATAATCGCAATTAACGCGTGACGAGCGGGTTGGAGACGGAAAGTGGATATATAGGTAATAATCAGCCGGCCCGAATCTCGCCTTGGCAAGCGATGAATGCCTCCTGTGCGGTGCGCGACCGTTCGCGCTCGCGAGAAAACTATTTTGGCGGATCAAACGCTCGTATATCATCCCCCTTGAGATCGGTATTTCGTCTTCGTCGCCGTGAAACGAAGATGTGGAAAACGTCGATCGCTATTTTCGGCCTTATTGCAACCGAACCTCGCAGATCTGCGGACTCGCGGAGCACGATTCGGGAATCGGTGGGGTCAGTCGTGATCGCCCTACGTACGCGATCGTATTGGGTCAACGTATTAACTCGGTAAAAGTCCTCGTAAATCTTGCTTTGGCTCTTTACTGTTGCTTCTCGACCATTCTCGACCAATTATTCAAGTGTACATCTGGTGATTAAACTGAAAAATCGTCAAAGGATTAGGAATCGATTCCTATATAGGTTTCACCAGTTAAATATCTCGAAGAGAGAATGCAATTCGGAATTTATTATTATAGAAAAAAAAACAGAAATTGATCCTTTTATTAAATTCCAAATAAATTACATATCTATTATTGGCGAAGCTGATTCTTTTTTCTCTGTTTATTAAAAAAAAAAAAAAAAATATATGAATTATGGGTTGTGATGAAAAAAAAGAAGCCAATTTAACTGTCTCAAAATTGAAGAGAGTTTTGCTTATAATTTTCCGAACGAATGAAATGAAAATGTGCGGTTAATCGATCGATTTTCGACCACCGTAGCCGAAGTTACCGGAGATCAAGGCGCCCGAAGCACCTAAGATCGAAGTGATCAAGGACGTGACGCCAGTGGGCAGCAGAAAGGGCTCCTTAGCACCCGGAAGCGGAACCAGCAGTCGACGCGGTTCTCTCATACCGCCCGAGGAATTGGGTCGCAGGCCCAGCTTGATCATCAGTGACGAGGTATGTTACGGAATGTATTACGCGAAGGTATATAGACTGCCTCAGAAGGGACCGAGTTGAAGAATGCGACAGAGACATTTGTGTAATTAAACGACACGTTACAATTTTTCCAAATTGCCGACTATAATTGTTCAGTAGCTGAATTTTCGCGAAATTATTTGAAATCGTACGGATAATATTTCGAGATATTATATTCATAAAAATATAGAGAGCTCAAATTATTGATATCTATTTATTTTTGAATAAATATACCAAAACAGTGTATGTCTGTCTTGAATATTGAATGATTATATAAACAGAACTTTTTGAGTTTAAAGTTGAAACTCTGTTGCATTCTTACGCATTCACGAGATCACCCGATTTCAATTTGTTTTGCAGAAATCTGATATCTGCCTAAGTAAAGGAAAATCTCATTAATTATTATATATATCAAATCTGTAAATTTATCAAAAAGATCTTGTCAGTCCGCCAGACATTGTTCCAATCTCAAAATCTTCGGAGTTTTGAGGGAACCAATTTGAACGACAAGATGGATCCAATTTAGTAGAATATTAAATCACCATCTGGTCTTACATAAATTTCGTTTGTCTGACATATTCTATCGCAATTATAATAATTGTGTCAAATTTTATCTGCAATTATCTTCTATTACTAAAGCATAAAGAGGGTGATATCTGAAGAAGGAGCACACTTTGCATTCTTGAAAATCAATTAAAAATAATTAAAAGAATAATTACAAAAATTATATATTAATTTAAATATATATATCACACTTAATTATATGTGTGATAACACATTATTAAATATTGATATATTGGAAATGTTATTCCAATTGAGTAATTCATATTTTCACAAGTTCTTCGTGCTTCGCCAATTAATTAAATATGCAGAATTATGGATTGTTCTTTCTATGATAATTAATTCACTATACATACAATTATGAATAAAAAATGTACAAATATTTCAGAATGCAAAGTGCTCGTACGAGTCCCAGGTAGACAATTAATGAGTCGCGTAAAATATTCGGACGAATAAGTAGACGACTGGCTATTGCTAGGATCTTTTTTGTAGCTTTTTTTTGGATTTCGTAGAGTGTAAGTCAGTGATGATCTAGTGGTCGTACTCGTGATGGTACTTTTAGTGATATTATTAGTGTCAAGCAAGGCGTGAGATTTAGATTAGAACCCTTTGTACCAAGCGAGAGATCCAAAGTTCTTGCCAGCTTCTGAAGCATATATTCCTTCCTCCTCTTTCCCGTCATCGAATCCCTCGGGAACAAAAAAAAAAATCGAATCCCAAAAATCGAGTCGAGCGCCAGTAGAGGCGTTTCTTCGGAAAAGAAACTAGGAAATGGAGAGCGATCTCTTCAAGTTTTAATATCGAGGACATCCGAGAACGGTGCGAACATCGAAAAGCGAGACCCCGAAGAGCTAAATGGTCCTCCCCTGAAGAGAAGGTCGAAGAAACACGGATAATTGCCGATCACGTGGTATTAATTTAACTAAGCGCGAAATTAATCGAAAATGTTTAGTGTATTTGATATTTTTCGTACGAAGACCAAATATCTTGGAAGTAATTTGTGTTCTTTCTGGATTATAATTAATGAACATCACAAAACCGCGACAAATATATTCTCTGATATAATCCGACCTATGTTTCGGGAGAATAAAAATAGCGGGGCATTATTAATTAAAGATACTAAAATTAAGCAGCCACAGCCTTTGATATAATTAATTTTAGCTTACATATTTCCCGAGACTTGGTTCGGATTCAAGATAAAGATAAAGCACAGAGGAATTTCGATACGTCCGCGACAGCGGACGGATTCCGACCGATTAAAACGATGTAGACATATCATGTTTATACGAAATGTAGACATGTTGCAGCATCGTGCATACACACACACGCACTTACACATCCATTGCAGTTTATCTAGCAGTAGTGGTTAATAGAGATTTGGTCCATAGGAGCATAGGAAGCTTCGTCCCGGCGAGGTGGTGGACGAGCGCAAGGTGAGATAAATCGCTGAAAACGAAAAAAAACAAACAAATGTGGGAGCGAATGCCTCGTCTGCAACCTTACTCGACTACCAAGTCTGCACTTATTCGACTTATCCTTCTAGCTCGCACACTTTTTCTCTCTCTCTCTATCTCTCTCACATACACTCACCGGAGCATCGCGCGAAGAGAATTCATCTAAGCACTTGCAAACAAATTGAGAAAAATTATTGAAAATATTTTGATCATTAAATTTCGACATCTGCAATTCTCTTCGCCCGATCTCACCTGCTCATTACTACTGTTTACTTACTGTGGTCGTACTTGGCGACACACGAATGCACGAAATTCACACGCGTCGTCCCGAATTTAATAACTGACTTTATTTTAATTTAATAAATATATTTAATAATAAATAAAATTTAAATTTATACAACGATAATTTGGTTAATTAATTGATGAGTGAAAAAAGTTTTGCATTGTCGAAAACGAATGAAAGGAATTAAATTCCTGATGACAGCGTGCAACGTCGCACGTGCAAGAAGGTTTCACTTTAACAATGTTTTATTATATTTAATTAACTATGTTACAATAGTTAAGAAAGTACAACAATAATTTATTATATTTAAATAACAATTTTTAATTATATTTTATTTATTTCAACGAAAATATATTTTCCCAAAACACCGAAACTTTCTTGCACGCGCCATTCGATGTTTCTATTTAATTCGAGACTTGATCAACGCGATTAAAAACCGAATGCATCTCTGCATATGGCACGGATCTGTTGCAACCGAGTCTCTATGCGCACTATTGCACTCTATGCAGTCCCTCGCACAACTCTTAACAATAATGAGAATATTAATTAATTAATTAATTAATTAATACGAGAAACAAAGCATGTCGGAGGGAGTCAGGGCGCGTCGACTCGTGATTAATCACTCGCGTTACAAGGTTTCGAGTTCTCTCTCTTTCCCTGGCTTACATCTCGACTCATAGATCACCCAGTCTTGGCAAGCATTTCGTCACCGTAGACAGACATCGGCGCTAATAAATGTCCCAAGTAGTGCGACACGATGTTTGAATCACTCTTGACAACCTAGGCGGTCGTCTGCTGAGACACTTGTTACCTCCTTCTGCCAACGTGCATCATTATCAAATGGGAGTGAATTATTGCTATGCATACCGATTCGTGAATCAGGTGGAGCCTAGAGAATAAAAGACTTAGACGAATTAGATCCGAGTCAAATTTTTATTTATTTTTTATCATTAAGATCATCTGAATTATTGCTATGCATACCGATTTGTGAATTCGGTAGCTAGAGAATAAAATTCAAATTATCTTAATAATAAAAATAAATAACATTGATGATAGATAAAAATTTTACTCGAGTCTAATTTCTAAGTCTTTTATTTATTATCAATTTTATTTATTTTTTATTATTAAGATAATCTGAATTATTGCTATGCACACCGATTCGTGAATCAGGTGGAGCCTAGAGAATAAAAGACTTAGACGAATTAGATCCGAGTCAAATTTTTATTTATTTTTATCATTAAGATCATCTGAATTATTGCTATGCATACCGATTTGTGAATTCGGTAGCTAGAGAATAAAATTCAAATTATCTTAATAATAAAAATAAATAAAATTGATGATAGATAAAAATTTTACTCGAGTCTAATTTCTAAGTCTTTACCAATTTGTGAATTAGGTAGCTAAAGAATAAAATTCAAATTATCTTAATAATAAAATAAATAAAATTGATGATAGATAAAAATTTTACTTGAGTCTAATTTCTAAATCTTTTATTTATTATCAATTTTATTTATTTTTTATTATTAAGATCTTGCGATTTGATGATCAGTTTATCAGCATCGATGCGCCCTTGCTTCTCTAATCGATTATCTCGAACTTAAATCATCATTTAGAATAATAATAATAAATTATAGAAAATCAATAAGATTAGAAATTTGATATGAAACGATAATTATACGTATGCAAAACTGCGATGATAAAATGATGTGCAGCGCAAACTTGTGACAAGAAGATAGATGATGTTTAGGTTCGAGATAATTGAGATGTGGATTTCTCGAATTATTCTTGCGAACGATGACTAGAGACTCGTGTCTCTTCATGTAATCACGCACACGATGATATTGTCGATTTTTTTTACATCCAAACTCACTGACGTATCAGCTGGCATCGTGCACCGCCCAATCGCACTGTCGTTTATAGCAATGCACCGCAAAAAAATGCAAACGCACAAGCCGGAACCTCGGTAAGGCTAGCCTCGAAAAGCCCACCTGTCTTCTGTACGATTTTACCTCTGTCTCTTTTTTTAATTTCTCCCTCCCTTTTCCCCAAAGAACTTTCAAAGCCCCCCCGTTTCCCGGGACTTATCGAGATTCTGCCGAATTTCGAGCGAATAATCAAAAAACTGCCCCTAACTCAACTAGGCGAGAAGAATCGAATTCGCTCGCTCCTTAACTTCTAACAGATGGCCAGGCAAGCACGCAGGAACATTTTTTACGATTTTTTTTCTTTTTTTCAATTACGCTTTTTGCGTCAATTTTATATACAAGGTGTCCGGTAATTAACGGACCAACGATTACAAATGGATTCTTTGGTCAATTTGGGAACGATTTTTCCTCAGCGAAAATGTCGAAAAAGGTCATCATTTTTTACAACTTTCCAATATTTGTCATTATGTATCTTTAAAACTAAGCCTCAAATTAAAATTTTATTATAGTAAACTCTACCTGAAATTAACTGAAGAATGTAATTATGTCGAAAATGATTGACTTCTCAACATTTTTGCTAAGGAAAAATCGTTTCCAAATTGGCCAGAGAATCCGCCCTTAATGATCGGTCCGTTAGTTACCGGACACCCTGTATATGTCTTAAAAGGAAAAGAGAAGCGAGTATTCACGTCCGTCCTGTAAATGTATACCGGGGAAAAAATGAATGAGTCGCGTCGACAAGGCGACCTCGAGAAAATCTCCACGATGACGAGCGATCACGTCAATCACCTGACCCCTTTATGTGTGATTTTTACAGTTGGGAAAGTTACGGCCCGGTGAGGTGTTGGACGCAAAGGTGAGATTTGTGTTCGCTATAACACAAAGCTTACCTGCTCAAAAAAAGTACCGTCTCACCAGCAATCTTCTGTACTATATCTTGCATTGTTTTTTTATTTTTCTACGGCCCTCCATCACCCTTTTTGGAATTTTTTCTGCGCCCTCCACGCGCGATTTTTTTGTCTCTGTTTTGAGCGACTCTATTTTTTGCCCCACCCCTTGCCTCGCCGCCCCCCCCCCCAACCCTCTCCGACCCAGAAAGATAAAATAATGAAAGCCCCCAGCAACTAAACGAAAGCTAAAACAAACTCGGCGACGAAGACCCCAAGTGAGAGAGGCAAAAGCAACGCGTTACCGCGGGACGGCAATAATAATAATAATAATATTAATAATAATAATGATGATGATGATAATGATGATGATGAGGATGAGGAATGATGATTTGAATAATAATAAAAAAATAATTCTGCGACATTTTGTTAACTGAATTTTTGAGATTGTTGCTGCTGCTGCTGCCGCTACTGTAAACACGCTTTTTCAACCCCACACAATGCGGTTTAATATATATCGCAACTTTATAATATCGATTTAATAATACTTCTTACATGTTCGTGAAAGAGTACATTGACAAATAATTCACTGATCAATAATCCGAGTTCTCTTTTTTCTCTCACATCGATAAAAAGACGCCTCTTCATCCCCTTTTCAACCCCCTTAGACACGAGTTCACCTCACACGTGGACTATTGGCCCCCTGTGATTCTGCCACCCCCAAATTCGAATTCTAATCTCACTCTGTACCCCCTTTCTATGTCTCTACCTCTGTCTCTATCTCATCTTTTGTTTTTTCACGCACCACACACAGACTAAGCTCGGCCGACCAGGCGCGCTGCAGGAAAAAGAGGTTAGCACAATGTCTCTGTTGTGCGTGTACGCATATGTATATTTTTATATTATTTTGGACATTTCATGTACATTTTTGTATACGTTTTATCTCGATATTTTTTTTTATATTTTATATTGCTTCAAATTTGAAAATTATTATTTATACAGAATGTTTTCGAATAACTATTCGAAAACTTCGTTTGCGGCTTCATTTGATTAATATCGAGGCGCGATTATTTCTTAACAACAATTTATATTTGCATGTAACGCAGATTTTAAACTGCATATTCGGTGAAAATCAATTTAATCATGAAACCTCCGTACGCGAAGATTCTTCTTTCCCACACAGCACAAAACTCAACAGAAATGTTTCAAATTTTCAAGTAACACTGAAACGTCATTATAACATTATTAAGAATCATAACATAGAAAAAGTAACATTTGAAACACTTATTCAATCTTTCATAAACATATTTGTGACAAAATGGCGGACATTTTCACGTATATGAAACATTTTTGAATAAATTTTCTCGAAGGTCTCTGAAATGTTTCGTTCTGTGTGGGTTCTTCCTTCATATTTTGTTTGTTAAGGAGAGATCGCTCATCGAATTAGCCAAGAAATTTGGCGAACAAACTTTTCGGATATTATTCGAAATCTGTATATATATTTATAAATATTTTGCAAAGAGCACTCTTGTCGCGATAATCAACGCCGACGATGTGCTTTTAAGTGATGCTCTCGCATTGCGTCGATTTATATGCATATACTATACCATTATTCAGTTTTTCTGATCAAAATGAAATACACGCGTGTATACATAAATCGATCCAATGCCAGGCATTTTAGTAAGCTCGTCGCGATCGCGTTGCGGAAATTTTGCTTCTTAGTTCGAGCGAATACACCTGTACATTTTATGCGGCTGTAGATGCAATTTAGATACGAATGTATAATGGTGGTAAGATTGGCATTATTTTTATATAGAATTAATCCGGGAGAATCGAAATTGTCGACATATTTCTTAATAGTTCTTCACTGTTGTTTAGAAAAAATTATTTATGTGAAACCTACCACCATTAAAAATTAAGTAGTCACAGTGCGACTCGATATCAGATCTGTCGCGATGCGATGCAATTAATTAATATCTATTAAAATATAACGTCATTAATTTATTTCAAGAAAGAAAATATTTAAAAATTATTCTACATTCTGATCAATTTAATATATTTATATGTCATGTTGCTGAAAATAATTTATACCTGACATTATACGATTTCAAATATTATAAATGATAAAATGATAAAATTCGAGGAATAAAAATGATCTCCAAAGATGATTGAGTCGATTTGAGCGGTTTTACAATTTTGCAGATTGCGCTGCGATAGATTTGAGATCGAGAGGTTTGATTTTCATTATATATATATATATATATATGTCCGAAATATATGTGTGAAATAACTTATTCGTGTAGAGCTCTATGTATAGGTGTAAACACATTCATCGTGCTCACATTATGTGTCAAGTAGATTCGATCGAAATGTTTTCGCAACAAGTACGATGTTACTTAAAAAAAAAAAAAAAAAAAAAAAAATCTTTTCTAATTGATGAATGTGGCATCGTAATTGTGTGCGTACGTCGTGTAGATATTTTATTGTAACGTGCCTCTTTGTAAATAATCCTAATGAGTTTCCCGTTAGACGAACGGAATTTAGTTGATGTAACGAGGATCAGATCGATTCACAGAGTAAGCAATCATCTTCACAAATATTCGCATTAGCATCATCAAGCACAGTAAAAGTGGCCATTCATATATCATACTCATCACTTCGAATTTATGTTCTTCTCTCTTTCTCTTTTCTCTTCAATTTTTCTATATTTTTCATTTTCGTCCCCTTTATTGTGTCTCTGTATATTTTCATACCTAACATCGACGACTATTATTTTGTGGAAAAAAAATCAGGAACATCGCTAACGATTATAATTCATTATCATAAGATAGATTGCATTAGCAGGGATAACCGTGAATAAAAATAATCATATAGATATATTTTTTATTTATAATTAAATGAAAAAAAATTCCTTAGTATTTTATTCATAACTTTTTTGACAGTGCAAAGTTATCCTTTCCAATTGCAATTTTAATCTCGCCTTAGAAGTCTCTTGACCGACGATGATTTTATGTAAATAATGATTAACTATTATGTATATACCGGAGCTTCAAATTCTCATCTCACATAGATTTGTGATTCATGCATTGTGACAAATGCGCTTGTCACATTTTCATGCACAACATAAATGTGCATCGACGCACGAAATATATCGTGTGCTCCTAACATCATAGAAAATTCACATGTTTTCACCATCGACCAAATAAATTCCTTTGTTCATCTTTAGGATTGAAAGCAGAAATGGCGTATAAAAATTTTTTTAAATTAACTCTATACAGTAATATATTTATTATTAATATTAATTTGGAAAAAAATCTTTATTTACGCTTTTCTGCTTTCTTCATTCTTCCATTCATCTGATTAATCTTATTATTATTCCTTTGTGTTCCCCAACCGACTTTTGCGCATTCAAGGGATTCTTTACGTGTTTAATTAATCGTTTAATATTTGAAATATTATCTTTACAAGGTATAAGTGAAATATACAAAAATGAAAGGCATAAGTTGATATTATATAATAAATTTTTATAATAGTATTTGTTGTAATATCTAAAGCTAAAGTACTGAAAAAAATTGAAAATATACAGAATGTAGTCTGATTATTTTAAAGTTAGATATATTTTTATTAAAATTAAGCGACGATAAAACCCTTGAAATCGCAGTAGCTACAGAGTCACGCAGTTGAAGAAGTTACTACGAAATCAGAAAAATCATCATGTAAAATTATTCACGTATCGATTCCATCTTGCTAATTCAGTGCATGTCCATGAAAAAAAAAAAAACATTGTGTGGCATTGTCACTAATTCTATTGAATCTCATCCGATTTTGTGACTAATACACAGTGAATTAATGATTGTAACGCCGACTAATAATGTGAATTAACTATTTATTGTAAATAATGACTCACGATAAATAAATATATATAGTATATAAACGTAAGTAGTGATTAAAATGTATAAATGCTTTCATGCGAGTGCTCGCATGAGCTGCAAATTTTTCGAACGACAAAGGCATCTTCTGTTTCTACATTTTTTAAATTATTTTTTTCTTTGCGAAAAAAATCTGTAAAAAATTAAATTGTCTAAATTAACTTTTATCAACAGGAAATTAAAATCAAAATTGAAAGATACGTATCTAAGAAATAATTCAATATGTATGCATTTATTTAATACTCATACTTCCGATGTAATATTAATATTACTATATATTTACTACAATATTATTATATGTGTAACATTAATATTAATTATAATAAATTGTAATGTGCATTTTTTTACAAATTTGCTCGAAAATCAAATTTAATGAATAAAATCGACGGAAGTTGCCCTGTCGCGTCGCGCTTCAAACTTTCTTGCTTTCATTTGAAAGCTTGTTGAATTGTCTATGTCGAATCGGTAAAACGCGTGCACAAGTTTGTTTACATTCTCATTCGAATGTAGCGTCGTCGTCCGAGCACAGCGGACATCAGAAGACCCAGCGTGGCGGACCTCGAGAATAAGATCAATCAGCCTAGCACACCTCTGCGCGATGTCGGACCAGGTGGACCACCCCAGATCGTCGATGTCCAGGAGTCGTACGCCGCCGTCGAAGGTAATGCGCTTCGTTCCCCTTAGCTTTATCAGACTTTAAAGCTTTGAAAGTAATTTTTTCTTAAGAGGAGGTTCTGGTCCAAAGGCCCGAAAATTAACGTAATTTCAGGAATTTTTTTTGAGCGAACGTAAATCTTTTTTGAAAAAACTGTTTGTGGCATTTATTAGTACATATTTGACGAATCATAAAAAATTTTGTCGACCAAAAATAATTAAAAATGATGGCTCCAGCCTTCACTGAAGAAAGCCGTGCGCGGCGATAGTGAATATGCGCGAAGCACTCTACAGCCCTGCCAAGTGATTTGAAACGAAAAAACGAAAAATATTCTTAAACTAGATGAAATTCGGGGAACCTTATGAATTTTCGATTTTTAAAAAACCCTTTAAAAAAAAAAATGGCGGCCATTTGAAAAAAAAACCTGTTTTTCCTATTTTTTTTGGCTTTAACGTTAAAAAAAAATATTAAAAAATTTTTTTTGAAAAAAACGCTTCCTGAAGGCCCCCTAAATGCATTGAAATTTGCAGACTCGACGGCGTATCTCACCGTCGCGGTGGAGGGCAGCCCTGCGCCAACTTTCAAGTTCTACAAGGGCATCACCGAGATCATCGAAGGTGGCCGCTTCAAGTTCCTTACGGACACGGATACCAACACGATCACCCTCTGCATGAGGAAGACGAAGCCCAACGACGAGGGTACTTACAAGATCGTCGTGAGTAACATCCACGGCGAAGATTCTGCCGAGATGCAGCTCTACGTTTCCGGTGAGTCAATTTCATTTAACTGCTGATACCAACTTTTCATATTTACTTATATATAATTAGAAATATTTTCTATTATATTTATATGTTTTAAAAAATATATATATATAATAAATAAAAAAATAAAATTAAATCGTAGTAAGTCAAGGCTCTTATTAAATTCTAATAAATTTGATAAAAGGCTGTTAAGAGCAGTAAATATAAAAATTCAAATTATGTTAGAAAGTAAGTCATATATAAAAATAATATTCTTTAATATAATGTCTACTAATAAATTACAATAAAAGGTGACAAAAAAGAATTAAACATAAGTACTCTTTAAATACAAATATAAAAAAAATAAAACATATATATAAATATATGTTTAATTTTGTTTAAATTCAATATATTTACTACAACGTGGTGGTACAAAAGTTGCATTAAAACAACTGAACAAATTTGAATTTAAACGAACGAATTTTATGATAGACGCCAGTGGCATGGACTTCCGTACTATGTTGAAGAAGAGAAAATACCAAAAATGGGGACGGGAGGAGGCCGACCAAGAGAAAGTGGACTTGAAAGAAGTCGAGAAGCCTATGCCGGCATTGAAGAAAGTCGAAAGGGTACGTATTCTTAATTATACACGTGCAAATTATGATCTAAGTAGTATATATTGCAAGAAATTTAATGAACATATTTTAGTTAGCGCAGAAGCGCTGATAAAATTAATTTTTATCAATATTTTACTGACTTTGAGATAGGTTGAATATTTAAACAGAATTATTTCGCGTGATATTCTTTAAGAGGAAATTGGTTACGCGTCATATAATACTTACAATCGCAAATCATCGATGCACATAACGTGGATGTGCGAATGTGATTTCAGCCATTAACAGACTGACAAAAGGTGTACTGTAAAAAATATGTAATATATTACACAAAAATATGTAAAATTACATAAATAATAAGTGTAAAATTACACGATAAATAATAGAAATGATTACCTTTTCATTATTTATCATGTAATTTTACATATTTTTAATGTAATTTTACAAAATTTTTTTACAGTGTGATATAGCGAGAATAACATCAACTTAAACATATAACATAAATTTAACGTCGCTTATTCAACTATCTGCGTTTGAATTTTCTTTTTCTTTGGGAATCTTTCTTCTTATTTATTAATTCGTCAATTATATTACGAGACATTTCTGTTTAATGGATTTTTTTTTCCACTTTTACAGAATGACATTTCGACATTAATTGGATTAATTAAAGAAACGTGTAATTTTTTTCTTTTTAGTTAACCATGATTTTATCGCATTGGCGATCTGCGGAAATTTAATTTACGCGATGGTCTATCCCCAAAATCTCGGAATGTACTTTTTGTTCGTTCTTCTCTCTTCTCTTCTTTCTCTACCTCTGTCCTCTTACTTAGTCGTTACATGGACCGACCTGGTTTCAAGAAGGCGAGGATATAGTGATTTTGACGGATGGTGTGGAGATCCTTCGAGTTTCTCTAGTCAGGAAGGGTGAAAGTAACTGGAGCTGGCTCAAGGTTTCTTTCCAAAGGCCTTACTTAGAATGAACCCCGTAATGATATAGTGATAATGTAACGATGACAAACACTCGAACAATGACAAGACATTAGAATCGTCTACCTTTCTTAACGTTAATAATTTTAATAAATAATTACAAGGATAATTAGGAAATTGGCTAAGAATTATCGAATCTTGACTATTATTCGTTACTAGACGAGTAGAAATTTTATTCTCGCGAAAATAAACCCTAACTGTTTCGATCAATTTTTCATTCTTCCCCTGTCTCTGTCGCACAAGCGATGTAACTTTCTTTTTTATTTTTAACATATGCACTTTTATGTATACGTATGGTTTAGAGTTAATGCTGCAAGCTACACCCTCTCTCGATTTGCGCGATCGATACAAATGTGAATTATTAATCGAATTTCAGATAGTCAAATTTAATTTGCATTGCTGATCGATAAAATTTCACAAAATTGATTGTATTAAATTATATTACAGATTATTTTACCGCGTTTATATTGAGGGTTGGCTATATATTATTACATTTTTCTATTAACAAGCACTATTAACATAATTGGAAAAAGAAAGAAAACACGAACTGTCAATGAAACGTGTGACAAAATTGACATTATCCAAATCCACTGCATGCGACATTCCTCATATTGAGGAGAAAGCATTATCTCTAAACACGTAGAATTTTATCGTAGTCAAAGATAAGAACTCTGATGATTCCATAACTTCAAATGTGTTCAATCCAAATGTTTTACATGTAAAGAGCACAAGTGAAAAAAAAAAAAATTAATTTATCTTCCCTTTTTTGTCATATTTCTCTTTTTATCAAATATTCTTTTAAATCAGAGTTCTTTGACGATCGCTATTGGCTATAAGAGTGGCGTTAACCATAATGTGTGTGTGCCGGGCATGCAGGACATCTTCGACATTCAGCGCAGGCCAAGTTTGCAGGAGCTAATCGTCGACTGGCCAAAACTGGCGACATGCGTCAAGGAGAAGGTTCGCGAAAAAACATCTTTAAAACAACACATCCTTGCATTAGACTCCAAAGTCACGAAGCAGAGAGCAGAACTGCCCCCGCAAGGCTTTTATTTCCTTTGCGCGGTATTCTGGTTAATTAGAGATTTTAAAGTATATATCACAGATTAAAAAATTATTAATTCCTTTTACGTAAAAAAAAATAAGATTGATTTCATATTCCAAGTTCTTCTTTACAATTTGCCAGAATACCTGTGTTCTTTGGATTTTCTAAACTTGAACGCTTTGAGCGAGATATAAGACGGAAAAAACTTTGTCTTTATAACGTGGCAAAGAACATCAGCTCTTGCGCGATGTGGGCATTTGAAAGATAACTACGATTGATAATTCTTTATTTAATTAAAACGGATGTTACATCGATTTGTGACAGAGGATGTAAACCAAATAAATCAATGAAAACATAACAGAAGCCAGTCAGTTAATCGCAAGAATTTTTAAATTATTATTTCATTCAATCAGATTTGATAACAAACACGATGATGATAAAATTAAGATTTATATAATTTTTGATGAATTATTTCAAAATTCTTGCGACTAAATTCACGATTGAGAGATTCCCTTTTTGGCCTGCGCTTTTCCAAATAGTTTTTTACAAATTGTAAGAAACTATATAAAACAGAGATACGAATATATGATTCACTTAGTTGGAATAAAAATGAATAATAAATTACAGCTAAATCGTCCACGCTTCTCATGCTTGGCTTAATTAAAAATGATCAGGTACACCTATCATCACGCATGCATACGCTTTCATAAATATTTTCGAAATATGTAACAATGTATATAGATATTTAATGTTATTACATTCGAATATATATATATATATATATATATATATATATTATAGATTATTTAGTTACTGTTAGATTATTTAGTTTTAACATTTTTCGTCATCGCATTTCGCTCTGTTGAGTTATGTGGCTTACAGATTTGCAAAATTGCAAAACTGTCAATGTATGATTAGAAGTAGAACAGCCACCATTAACTAAAAGTGATAATAACTGCACATTATATTTAATAATTGTTTTAGCGTAATATACTTTGAATAATAATAATAATTTAATTATATATAGCTTAATAATATCACTGTAACTGTTATATATAGTCATTTAATAATTGTAGAGTAACTGTAGAGTATACTAATCATCCATAACTTATAGTGATGATTTTATCCAGGAAGTTTCGAAATAACGAAAATTACAAAACTGTGAAAAAGCGATGACAACCAAATAGAGCACTGAATAAAAGCCCATCGGGGTGATTTTCGCTGAAAAGTCAATCAGCAAGTAAGATCGACGACCGCGTCCGGAGACGATACTGTGATCGCGGATTTGCCTTTTTTGTTGTTTCTAGAATAGTGGATCACGTAGGCCGTCTCTGGCCGAATTAATTCCCGACTGGCCGATCCTGCATCACTTCACCAAGACGGAGGTTGGACCGATTCTTACGTGAATCGAATTATTTCATCGATAATATCACGTGATATTGACTGTCGATGTTTGCCTGTCGCTGTTTGTCTCAAACAGTCTCCGAAAACTCGACGATCTGTTTGTTCTTCTTTCTCTGACTGGAGAACTCTCTCTCTTTTTCTCTCTTACACTTTCTTTCACTCGACAATATTTCTCTAAATTAATCGTCTCGCCTCAAATTCTCTATTTCTCTTCTGGCTTCGATTAATGAACTTTATTATCCTTCAATTAATTTCTTAAAATCGAAGTTACACGTTGTTTCCATACTGTCGCACACACCCTCTTTTTTAATCTTTATATAACTTTTTCTCTTCTCTTTCTCTCTCTAATTCTTCCGATAAACATTCTTCTGTTGACAAATTCTTCTGTTTAATTTTTAACATTCTTCTGTTGACAATTCTTCTATTTAATTTTAAAATTTACTCACAGGGATTCTAATTTGTGATCATTTTCACGAAGCAACTATCAATTTAGACAATTTAAAAAAAAAACAGAATATTTTTTATAATACATTATTAATTATTAATGAATTAAAGTAAAATTGTATTTCTCTTATTCTATCTAGAATATTTCTTAAATTCTTATGTAAAAAAGTATTGTAAATTAATTGAAAGCTCATATATGTCTTCTTGTGAAGCTATTTTTATTCTAGATTATAAAATTGATATCGTGCATATATTAATTTTATTAATTAATATAAAATTATTAAAAATATATCTTTTTTTAAATATTATATATAACATTTTTTATGCATCAGATTGATGAAAAAAGCGAGACGACACACACAATTGGAATTCCTAATATCAACAAAATAATATCTTTTATCGTCAATGTCGTGTTTTGAATGTACAAGCGGCGGCTTCTTCAGCAATTATCTTCTCGTGCATCTTGCTCGAGCAGTGACGAATATTCTTCTCGAGGAAAACCCTTACTGACTCTTCTCTTTCTCAAAACTGTTTAACAATCTTAACAGTAATAAGCATGACGAGTTACATAGGCTTAAAAAAAATGTCCGGTCCAGCCGACGAACGATCGATCGTGCTTCTTTGCAGATTTTTCCATGTTTTTCTCTCTCTAGAATCCTTTTTTTCTAGAGTCTCTCTCGAAAATATTCACTGGAGACTTCGTCTTTGTTTCCTTTTTTTTGGTCGACCGTTGCCCTCCGCTCTTCTGCTCGTACGGAGAGGCAGTGGCGACGATTTTTTCGATTTTTTCATCAATTTTTTCCTATTATTTTTATTGTATCGCCTGGCAAAAGCTGTCGATGTTGAACGATATTACTACTACTACTACTATTACTATGGAATTTCTCGGCTAAATCCACGTAATTTACGGTTCATTGACGATTCTCTCTTTCGCAGAAACAAGAGAGCTTCCTGAAGCCACTGGTGGACCAATATGCCAAGGAAGGCAAGGATAAGAAGGTCGCCTTCGAAGCGAACTTTTCGAAACCGAACTGCAAACCGAAATGGTTCTTCCGAAAGGATGTAAGTGATGGAAGAAATCATTTATTCAATTATTTGTTTTTTTTTATTTTTATATTGTTGCAAAATTTAGAATTATAAATTAATTTTATTTAATAATAATATATAATAATACTTTAATTTAATTTAATACTTTAACATATATTAATAATTTAATTTAGGATTAATTAAAAATATTAATTATTAAATTTAAATATAATTAAAAATTAATTTAAAAAATGTTATATATTCTACAATTAAGAGAAAGTAAAATAGAGAGAAATAAATAAACGGATTATTGATATATTTTTTATACAGGAATTATTCGCATCGGCTAAATATAAATTCAAAAACGAGGAAGACTGTTATCAACTCATCATCACCGGACCCAAAGTCGAAGACACTGGAAAATACACGATCGAAATTGCTGGTGTGTCCAGCACAGGGTTCCTCAACGTGGACGGTATAAACTCTTGGCTTAGATTCTTAGATCAAATATTTTTTTATAATAAAAAAAGAAAAATACAACTTTGAATATCTCAAATTTCAGAACCTGATCCAACGTACACGTTCACGAAACCTCTGCCGAAGAAGAGCAGTGGCTTCACCAAGCATGAGACCTACATGGAGTGTACAGTCAGTTCCAATCTGGCGCAAGTTTCCTGGTACCAAGACAAGACGAAACTCGAGGTAATCCATCGCGATGAAAATTCGAACAAAACGACATATTATATTTTTGACATTTCTCAATGTTAAACGTTCTTCTTCAGGATGGAGAGCAGTACAGTATTTCCAAAGACATGTCCGGTGTTTGCCGGCTGACTATCAAGATCTCAACCCTCGAGGACAGTGGCGAATACAGTTGCAGGATAAATAAACAGTCGGACAGGACCGATACTACTCTCACTGTAGTCGGTAAGAATATCAGGTTTTTTTTATAATAATATATGAATATGATTTTTTTCCTTATGAGAAAAAATATTTTATCGAACTTGCAAAAATGACGATTATTCTCCTCCTCAGAATATCCTTACAAATTCGTCAAAGTACTAAAGCATCAGCAGCTGGTAGAAAAGGAGACACTGACTTTGCTTTGCGAACTCGACGATGCCGGGGGTGATGTTCAATGGTTCAAGGGTGATCAAGCGATTACACCCGATAAGAGGTACTCTAAATTAATAATTAATCTTTCACATATTTGTCTTTTTTCTATAAGAGCACTTATTTATATAAAATCATTTCTTGCGATATCAGAGTGCAAATCAAGGAAGACGGCAGAAAACGAAAGCTCGTCATTAAAGACTGCAAAGTCACCGACGCCGGATTGTATTCTTGCGTGAGCAACGCTGATAAGACGGAAGCCGAAATCGTGATTAATTGTAAGTAACGAGGTCACTTTAATTTATTCTCAACTAATTCAATCTCAGAAAGAAAAAGAACAATATATTCTGGTTCAAATATTACAGACGCCAATCGCTTCAACAAGAAGTTGAAGGACACGGTCGCGATAGAGAGAGAGAAGCTGGTGCTGGATGTCGAGCTTCAGGATCAGACCGCGCCGGCTGTATTCTATTTCAATGGCGAGAAGATCGAGCCCAACGAGAGAGTAGAAATCAAGAATCTTGGCGGTGGTAAACATCAGTTAGTCTTCAACAAAGTGGAGATGACAGATGATGGCGAGGTCATGTGCGAGAGCGGTCAGCTGACCAGTAGCTGCAAGCTCACCGTGAAAAAGGGCGAGAGCAAACCTATCGTCGACTTCCCCGACAAGGTCGAAGGACCCTGCAGCGCACCGTTAATCTTTGTTGTGCCTTTCAAAGGTGATGGAGATGTCATATTTTATTCTTATATTTTTTATATTTTTACATTTTTTAATATTTTACTTATACTTTGCATGATAGAAATAAAAAAACAAATATACGAGAACCCTAAAAAAATTGATTCGCTCTGGATTTCAAGTTGTGACATTTATATTCGTGATCTGTACAGTCGAGGGCACCAAGCAGAGTCAAATAGAAGCGAAACTGTTGAAGGATGGCAAACCGCTACCTCTCAAGGATGTCGAAATCATTGTTGGCGAGGATAAAATAACGTATAAGATCAAGAAACCCCAGCGCGAATCGTCCGGAATCTATCAGATAAAGATCAGTAACAATCAGGGCGAGGAAGTAAAGGACGTCAACATTGTTATGCAAGGTTTATATTACTTTTCACAGAATTATTATTAAAAAGCTCTTCGCGCATTTCTTTTAATTTAAAACTTTTCTCTTCAGACGTCCCATCTCCGCCGTACGACGTCGATGTCAACGAGATTTTCCAGAACTCCTGCGTCGTGTCGTTCAAGCCGTCCAAAGATGATGGCGGAGCTCCTATCATGAAGTACGTCATCGAGCGTCTCGATCTCAGCTTGAAATCTCAATGGGATAACGTGGGCGAGGTCACGTCGGACGAGAAGTGTGTCTACAAGGTCACAGATCTTATTGCGAAAAAGGAGTACAAATTCCGCATACGAGCCGTAAACAAGCTCGGTTCCAGCGAACCGGCGATGTTCGGCAAGCCTGTCTTAGCCAAGGATCCATGGGGTAAATTTATCAACTTTATATTAATCTTTATTATCTAAATGTACAAAATTGAAGTTTTATTATAAATTAATTTTATTAAAAAGCAGGATTAATAATAATTTGATATGAGAAATGTTTACATTCTAATTTTATTACTCATAAGTATGCCAGTTTAAAGTAAAATAAAAAAATTGAGTGTCTTGACGCTTTTCAGATGAACCTGGCAAACCGACGAACGTCGATGTAACCGATTGGGATAAGGATCATGCTGATTTAACGTGGACAAAACCAGAGAATGACGGCGGTGCACCGATCACCGGTTACGTAATTGAGTACAAAGAGAAATTCGGCAAGGAATGGGTGAAGGGCAAAGAGATCGAGGGTGACGTTACTAAAGCGACCATCGACGGTCTGAAGGAAGGCACGCAATACGAGTTCAGGATACGGGCGGTGAACAAGGCCGGTCCTGGTGAACCATCCGATGCCACGAAACCGATCATCGCCAAATGTCGATTCGTCAAGCCGTACATCATCGGCGAAGGTCTCACAAACTTGGTCGTCAAGAAGGGCCAGGTCATCAAGTACGACATCAAGTATGCTGGCGAACCGGATCCGGAATTACACTGGATGCTCGGGCAGAAGGAGATTGTCCAAGACGCGGCAGAGAGGATCACGATCGACAAATATGAGAGAAATACAGTGTTGACAGTCAGGAGAACTACTCGGCCTGATTCCGGAAAATATAAACTAGTACTGACGAACAGTTCCGGTACATGCGAGAGCATCGCTGACGTCGTCGTTCTAGGTGAGTTTGTCGGTGATAACATTTGACATTCAATATTAATTAAACCATGTGAAATTGATTTAAAATTATATAAAAATCTTCCATTTGTTTTCATCATTTGTAGAGCTTTTAATAAAATTAATTAGAATATCAAGTATAATTATTGCATTTTATTTCCTTGCAGACAAGCCATCGATTCCGCTAGGACCGCTCAAGATAGAAGAAGTTCGCTCTGATCACGTTAAGGTCAAGTGGGAACCACCTGAAGACAACGGTGGTACCGACATCACGGGCTACGTGTTGGAAAAGATGGACCTAGACACTGGACGATGGATTCCAGCTGGAGAAGTCGGTCCTCACGAGAAGGTATTCACATTCCCTGGTCTGACGCCCAAGAAGAAGTACAAGTTCCGCGTTAAGGCGGTTAACAAGGAAGGCGAGTCCGAACCCTTGGAGGTTGAGGAAGCTATTCTCGCGAAGAATCCTTATGGTAAGGATGCATTTGATTTCGCTGATGATTTAAAATCAGACAACAGAAGTATAAATTTAATTTAAAAAATTGTTATATGTATTAAAACATTGTGTATATTTTTTTGTTGATAGATGAACCTGGCAAGCCTGGCAAGCCGGAAATTTTCGACTACGACAATGTCAGCGTGTCGCTGAAGTGGGAAAAACCAAAGAGCGACGGTGGCAGACAAATCACTCACTACACCGTCGAAATGAAGGACAAATTCGCCGCCGACTGGATCGAAGTGATGAAAACCACCGACTCAACCCCTGAAGCTAAAGTCGAAGGTCTCAAGGAGAAGATGGTATATCAATTCCGCGTTCGCGCTCACAACAAGGCGGGTCCTGGTGAACCCAGCGATCCCACGGACAATCATCTTTGCAAACATAGGAATTGTAAGTTGAAATTTTTATTGATCTAGATTTCTTTTCTTTTTTCTTCTTTTTTTCGACACAATTTTATTTGTATAATTTACATTTATCAAACGTTTGTTAAGAGAAAAATATAATGATATACATACACAAATATATATTAATAATATATTATATATATATAAAATATTAATAATATACAATATAATAAAATATTTTGAAATATAACAATTTAAATATAATATATATTTTCAAATAAATATTTTCTTCAATTATTATTTATATATTAATTATTGATTATTTATATTCTTCTTATATCATTAATTATTTTATTAATTATTCTTATCTATTATATAATTAATATTCAGTATTGTTAATTATTCTTATTCTTATTATTTTATTAATTATTTTTATTATTATTAATTATTATTAATTGTTTTCTTTATATTATTATTTATATTCTTAATATAAAAAATTATGAAATTTATAAGATGAGGATTTATGTGTTTAAATCGAAAAAATAATCGATCTTTTCAGTGCGACCGAGAATCGACCGAACCAACTTCAAGTCGGTCATCATCAAGGCTGGTCGCACGCATAAATGGTCTGTGGACGTGACTGGTGAACCAGCGCCGGAGACCAAGTGGATCTGGAGAGATAATATTCCGCTGACCACTACCGATCGCATCAAGATCGATAATGTCGACTATCATACAGACTTCACGCTCGTTAATGCGATGCGTAAGGACACCGGAAAGTATACCTTGGTCGCCGAGAACGCTAACGGCAAGGATGAAGAAACCGTCGAGCTCACAGTACTCGGTAAATTTTCACACTTCATCTTTCCTCGTGATATATTCTAAGAAATAAAATAATATATGTGTAATAATTTATTAACGATTCAAAATATAACTTGATTAAAGTTTGATATTTATTTAATTTTTAAGTTACGATAAGTTAGGTTATTAAGTATATTTTTTAAAAGAGTAAAATATTATAATAGACATATTATTAGAGAGGAAGATCTTAATTAAAACAAAATGTTTTGTCGCAGGAAAACCGAGTGCTCCTAAAGGACCTCTGAAAGTGAGTGACGTCACCAACACTACGGCCAAGGTGAAATGGGAGAAACCGGAGGACGACGGTGGTGTGCCGATCAAAGAGTACGAGATCGAGAAGATGGACACGAAAACCGGCAAATGGGTTAGAGTGGGCAAAATTCCTGGAAATTCGCCGAACACGGAATTCGAGGTGACTGGCCTGAATCCCGGAAGCGAGTACAAGTTCCGAGTGACAGCTGTCAACGACGAGGGTGATTCGGAGCCTCTGGAAAGCGAACGCGGTGTCATCGCGAAGAATCCATATGGTATATCGATAAATTTTAGATAAGAACTTTAATTTATTAAAATAAAATTGAAGACATATCCGAAAAATTATATTTATTATTTATTAATAATTTCTAACTTCTAATTAATTAAAATTAAGTTTTTTCTTAATTAAAATAAATTTCACATAATTATCTCTTCAGAATTAGAATTTAAAAAATTTAATTGTTAAAATGTTGAGTTATTAGAGAGATTAAACAATTGTGGCATATTTTTTGAAAAATAATTTATTCCTTTATATGCAGCGCTGTATATTAATCTATATTAATTTACGGTAAATTCGGAATTATATTTAATTAAATACAATTTCTTTTAGATGAGCCATTGAAACCTGGAACCCCTGAGGTCACCGATTACGATAACGAATCCATAAGCTTGAAATGGGCACCACCCGAGTTTGATGGAGGTGCACCAATCGATAAATACATCATCGAGAAGAAGGATCGGTATAAGCCTGATTGGGAGAAGGCTATCGAGGTACCTGGGGATCAACTTGAGGGCAAAGTACCCGATCTGAAAGAAAGGGGCGAGTATCAATTCCGAGTTATCGCTGTGAACAAAGCCGGACCCTCGCCACCGTCAGACGCATCGAAGATGCAAATCTGCAAGCACAAAGCTCGTAAGTTTTCGCGACAGAAATGTTGTTTTAAAATATACATCACAATTTTGTACTCTAACGTGTGAAATAATGCGTTGTACAATTTTGTTCCATTCAGTGAAGCCGAGAATCGACCGAACGAACTTGAAACCGATTGTCGTGAGAGCCGGCAAACTCGTCAAGTACGACGTAGACGTGCGAGGAGAACCGCCGCCAGAGATCAAGTGGTACCACGCCGGCAACGAGGTGAAATCCGCCGAAAACATCGAGATAGTCAACATCGATTACAACACGAAGCTCACCATCTCCGATAGCTTGCGAAAGAATACTGGCGTTTGGAAAATCAAGGCTGTTAATCCTCACGGCGAGGACGAGGCGGAGGTCGAAGTGACGATATTGTGTGAGTACCTTAATTGTGTAGAAGTATCTCTTCTTTTTTTAAAATTAGTTGGCTAAAAATTTTATATTTGTATTTAAAAAATTTCCTTTTTATTTATAAATTATTCAAATCGGTTTTCTCCTGTACACAGCTGCACCTGGAAAACCAAAAGGACCGCTCAAAGTGTCGGACGTCACGAAGAACAGTTGCAAACTCAAATGGGGTAAGCCAGAGGACGATGGCGGCAAGCCAATCACTGGCTACCAAGTGGAAAAACTGGACAAAGCGACTGGTAGATGGATACCTGTCGGTCGCACCGCGGACACCGAGATGGATATAAAGGGTCTTCAAGAAGGTCATGAGTACGAATTTAGAGTGAAGGCTCTAAACGAGGAAGGAGAATCGGAGCCGCTCGTGTCAGACGGCTCGACGATTGCGAAGAATCCTTACGGTAAATTGTTAATATTATATTAAATGAATATTAAATGAATATTAAATGAATGAAGAATTTTGGATAGAATAAATTAATCGAAATAAAAATTAGAATCAAAGAATAAAATATACATAATAAATTAATAGATAAATAATAATATAAGTTAAATTAGAAAATACAATTTTTCTATTTTTAAAATATAGTTTATTTCTGAAATCAAATTTAATTGTTAAATAATTTATAATTTTCAGAAGAATTTATTTAGACTAACTTTTATAATTTAAAATAAATAATTTATTAATTTTAATTTGTTAATATTTTTTTACAATTTAATATTCTACAAAATTAATTTAATATTCAACATTATCAAAAGTTACATCAAACATAATTTTCTTTTGATAGATGTCACAGGCAAACCTGGAACACCGGAACTGGAGGATTGGGATGTCGATCGTGTTGATCTTAAATGGGAACCTCCGAAAGACACAGGCGGTGCACCAATCACCGGCTACATCATTGAGAAAAAGGAGAAACCTTCCTCGCAATGGGAAGAAGCTCTCGTCACAGACTCACCACAGCCTAAAGGGCGCGTTACTGGCTTGAAAAAAGGTTCCACTTATCAATTCCGTGTTCGTGCTGTTAATAAGGCTGGACCATCAGAGCCCAGTGATCCAACTAAACCACATATTGCTAAAGCAAGATTCTGTAAGTACTTTACTTTGTTAACTGCTTAATTAAAAGAGTAATTTCTGATTATTATATATACATAAAAATTTCCAGACAATTAGTAATTTGAAATTTTGTTTCAAAATTTAATTTATTTTTAATTTTTAATTCTTTAATTTAAATTGAAATGTGATTACCATATATTAAAATTTGATTTATTCTTCACGTCTTACATAAAATAAGAAATGTGAATAAATAAGAAAGTTCTATAATTTATAATTATTTATAATTAATTAATTACATAATTATAATAAAATAATTTACAACAATATTATTTCTTATAGTGAAACCACATATCAATCGTGATAAGCTGCAGACTATCAAAGTCAGGGCAGGCCAATTGGTGAAGTTGGAGGTTGATATTGAAGGCGAACCTCCTCCAACAGTTACATGGAGCTTTGCCGATGCACCGCTCCAAACCGGAGCCAACGTTAAAATCGATAACGAAGACTACCTCACTAAAATCCAGTTGACAAACACAAGTCGCAAGTTAACTGGCAAATATACCATCAAAGCTGTAAATGATTCCGGACAAGATGAAGCCGATGTGGAGATTAACATTCTCGGTAAATAAACTTATATAGATTAGTTCTTTTATCTTCTCCAAGACTATCTGAGAAAATTTTCAATTTATAATACTTTATAATATAAGTATATATGTATAAATTATTATATACATTTTTTGTTAAATACTGAATATAAACATTCAGACATATTTTCTTTTTTATATTTTTTAACTAAACAATGAACTTCTAGGATAAAAATTATCCAAGAAAAGAAGCGCAAATTATATGATACATATTTACTTCCATATAACTTTATGTAATTTTAATTCTAACAGATAAGCCTGGAAAACCGGAGGGACCATTAGAAGTGACGGACGTGCACAAGGAGGGCTGCAAATTGAAGTGGAACAAACCGAAGGACGACGGCGGTCTTCCTCTATCTAGTTACGTAGTAGAAAAAATGGACGTAACGACAGGTCGGTGGGTACCAGCCGGTATTGTGGACCCTGAGAAAACCGAGCACACGCTTACCGGTTTGGAACCCGGCCACAAATACGAATTCCGTGTGAAGGCTGTGAACGAGGAGGGAGAATCGGAACCTCTGCAATCCGATGTTCCCATCGTAGCCAAGAATCCATACGGTATAGTATTACCATCTCGATTATAACGTTCATATTTATTTTTACACGTACGATTCTATTTTAGATTAAATAATTTTAGATATTACAATTTATGCATAGGGTATTTTGTCTAGTAATACAAGTTGTAAATATATAGTGTAACTGTTTTTTATAATTATAATATTTGCAGATAAAATAGTCTCTTTTTCTTTAATAGATAAAATATTGCTCAATTTTCAGAGAGATTATTACGATAAAAATATATATATAAAAAATATAACAAATTTTTAAAAACTTCTTTAGTTATATTACTTTTTTTAGTTTCTTTAATTTGATTAATTTTATGAAATGCTTTTTTAAATATTCTAGATGCTCCGGCGGCACCTGGACTCCCAGAGATTATTGATTGGTCAGAAAATATGGTGAAACTCAAGTGGGAACCACCGATAAGAGACGGCGGTGCACCAATTAGCGGATATATCATCGAGATGAAGGATAAGTTCGGTAGTAACTTTGTCAAAGCCGCTGAAGTGGAAGGGCCCATATGTACCGGCACAGTTCCCCGGTTGGAAGAGGGCAATCAATATCAATTCAGGGTACGCGCTGTCAACAAGGCTGGTCCTGGTGAACCTAGCGAAGCCACGAATCCACACACTGCTAAAGCTCGTTGGCGTAAGTCTTGCGTATTAAAGATTTTAATATGCGTGTGTATATATATATATAGTTAAATTTCTAGATAAACAAGTATTTTTTATTAATGTAATTTAATTTTTTGCAGTAAAACCATACATTGATCGTACGAATCTGCAACCTATAACAGTAAAAGTCGGTCTCACCGTGACCCTAGATGTAAACATAATTGGCGAACCGCCACCAAAAGTCACTTGGACTTTCAAGGAAAAGGAACTCGTATCTGACGATACGATACGAATTGACAACATTGACTATAACACTAAATTCTTCATCCTGAAAACTAAACGCGCGCATACCGGTAAATATGTGATCAAGGCTAAGAACGAGGTCGGCGAAGATACCGCCGAGATAGAAATTACCGTCCTCGGCAAGCCCAGCAAGCCAAAGGTAAATTAATTTCATAACTGAGGACATATATATGTATCAAAATTAAATAAATAATTAAATGTTAATTAAATAAAAAATTAAAGCATAAACAGATAAAAAGGATTTAAAAATAATTATCTATTTAATTTAGAAAATGGATAATGTATTATTCTTCAATTAATATTTTTTTTATAATGCAGGGTCCATTGAAAGTGACCGATGTAAATAAACATGGCTGTAAGCTCAAGTGGGACAAACCGGAAGATGATGGTGGCTCACCGGTCGAGTATTACGAGATCGAGAAGCTGGATCCTCTCACAGGACAATGGATACCCTGCGGCCGCAGCACCGAGCCGGAAGCTACTGTTACCGGATTGCAAGAGGGCAAACCTTATAAATTCCGGGTGAAAGCCGTTAATCGAGAAGGAGAGTCCGATGATCTGGAGGCGGACAAGTCCATCATAGCCAAGAATCCGTTTGGTACGTGTATATAGAATATAAAATATTTAATTCGAAATTTACGATTATTTAACTGGAAAAAAAATCATGAATATTCGATGTTTTACACACTATTTTCTTGATTTCAGACGAACCGGGCAAACCCGGTAGACCGGAACTCAAGAACTGGGACAAGGACTTTGTCGATCTTGAGTGGACCCCACCCAAGGATGATGGAGGTGCACCTATCGAAAAGTATATTGTACAGATGCGGGACAAAGAGGGTAGACAGTGGGTGGATGTTGCCAAGGTCCCAGGAGATCGCACAGTCGCTAAAGTGACAGATGGTATCCAGGAAGGTCACGAGTACGAATTCAGGATTGTGGCGGTCAATAAAGCCGGACCTGGCGAGCCTAGTGACAACTCGAAGAGCGTCGTTGCCAAGCCTCGATTCTGTAAATAGATAATACATAATCCATCTTTTTACATAAATTTATTTATTATGAATTAAATTAACTGTTTTTATGTTTAATTTTAATCGGTTATTATAATAACATAGCAATGCGTGTTCTTGTTTGCAGTGGCACCGCACATTGATCGCAAGAATCTTCAGAAGAAAGTTATGCGAATTGGCCAGATGCTGCGAATCGAAGCCGACATCAAGGGCGAACCACCTCCAGTTGTCACGTGGAAGCTCAAGGACACGGTACTAAAGAGTATGGACCGACTCAAGATCGAGAACGAGGATTATCACACTACGTTCATTCTCAATAAGCTCCAACGCTCAGACACCGGCACCTATACAGTCATCGCCAAGAACGACAGTGGCACCGATCAAGTTGACGTCGAGCTTCAGGTTCGTTCAAGTGTTTTGCTTTATTTGCGTGAATTAAATCCTACAAAAAGTTATTCGTTAAACATGTTTAAGTAATTAATGTAATTGATCGTTATTATGATCACATCAGGTGCTGAGCAAACCCAGCAAACCGAAGGGACCGCTCGATGTGTCCGACGTCACAGCTGAAGGTTGTAAGCTGAAGTGGAATAAACCCGACGACGACGGTGGTGAACCAGTTGATCATTACGTCATCGAGAGGATGGACGTAGATACAGGACGTTGGGTACCATGCGGTACCAGCAAGACACCGGAAGCAGATGTTTCCGGTCTGAATGAGGGCAAGGATTATCAATTCCGTGTTAAAGCTGTTAATTCCGAGGGTGAATCCGAACCTCTGGAAACATCCATACCGACAACTGCGAAGAATCCTTACTGTAAGTAACTTCTTATTTATGACTTATGACATTCTTTATATTCGCAGTTCCATTTATTTCTTTAATTTTTTTTTAATTTTAACTTTACAATAATTCACAAAATTAAAATTGTTTCAAAAATTTTAAATATTTTTTTATTTTAAAAAATATGTATTATTTTATAGAAGATTATTCTTCTGTAAAAATATACTATAAAAATTTGTTTCTTATGTTGTACATATTCTTATTTAATATTTTTATATATATTACATTTATCACATTATTTATAAAATTTTATTTTTTATTATAGCCGAGCCCGATGCGCCGGGTAAACCCGAATTAAAGGACTGGTCGAAAAATCACGCAGACTTGAAATGGAAAGCTCCAAAGAAAGATGGTGGCGCTCCTATAGAGAAGTACATCATCGAGAAGAAGGATCAGTACGGCAAATGGCAGAAGGCCGTGGAAGTTCCAGGCAATAAGACCGAAGCCAAAGTGCCAGATCTTGTGGAGGGACAGAAGTACCAATTCCGAGTCAAAGCCGTGAACAAGGGTGGTCAAAGCAAGCCCAGTGAACCTAGCGATACTCTGATTGCCAAAGATCGTTACGCCGCACCCAAGATCGACCGCACCAATCTGAAGGACATCACGCTCAAGGCTGGCAATGTTATTCGACTGGACGTCAAAGTTACGGGCGAACCGCCGCCAAGCAAGACTTGGTTCCTGAACAAGGCCAAGCAGGAGTCCGGCAATGTTCTGACAATCGAGATAGAAGAGTACAAGACCAAGTTCGTGATCTCGTCAGCGACTCGAGCGCACTGCGGCACTTTGACCTTGAAGGCGGAGAACAGCTCCGGCAAGGACGAGGCATCTATCGAGATTCTTGTGTTGGATAGGCCTAGTAAACCCGAAGGACCGCTCAAAGTGTCCGATGTGCACAAAGAAGGTTGCACCCTCAAGTGGAATCCGCCTGCGGATGATGGCGGTGCGCCCTTGGATCATTACGTTGTCGAGAAAATGGACACGGAGACCGGCAGATGGATACCGGTCGCACGAACCAAAGAACCCAATATGGTGGTGGAGAATCTGGTGCCCGGACAGGAGTACAAATTCCGAGTCGCGGCTGTGAACGCGGAGGGTGAATCCGAGCCGCTGGAGACGGAACATGGAATCGTCGCTAAGAATCCATTCGGTAAACTTTGATTTTTTCGTAAAATTTCTTCATAACATTTATTCTTTTATTTAACTTTTAATTATAAAACTTATTATGTTAAAATTTGACGCAATACGGAATATTATGTATAAGTAGAATTTTTAATTTTATTATTTTTATTATATTTATATTTAAAATTTTAGTATTAAAAAAAATTAAAAATTCTTAAATTAATTAGGAAAAATTCTATTTAGACAAATAATATTAATTCTGTTTCTGCAGACGAACCTGGCCCGCCAGGACGTCCGGAAGCGACCGACTGGGACAAGGATCACGTGGATCTGCGATGGACTCCGCCATTGAAAGACGGCGGATCTCCAATCACCGGATATGTGATCGAAAAGAGGGAGAAAGGTGCTCCTAAATGGATCAAAGCGTGCGAGACCGGACCAGATTGTAAGGGCCGGTCGACAATCTCGACGAGGGTGTCGAGTATGAATTCAGAGTCAAGGCCATTAATGCCGCGGGACCTGGAGAACCATCCGACGCCAGCAAACCAATCACCGCCAAGAGCCGAAGACGTAAGTCTTCCAATTTACATAATTGTCTTACAATTAATTTTATATTTTTAATTTTTTTTTTTACAAATTCCAAACAATATTATTTTTTAATAAAAAATTTTAAGTCTGCTTTAAAAATATAATCAATTTTTCAAGTTATATTAACAAAATCATTTATTTCTATCTTACAATAAAGATAGTTTTATTTATTTATTTATTTATTCATTCATTTATAATTAAATTTATTCACAATGATTTCAATAAATTATTTTATCAATTTTTTATAAAAATGTTTCGAAATATGACATTTGTTTCAGAATATATTAGACATGAAGAATGTACTACTAATTTTAATTTTTTTTAATTTTTGCAGTCGCACCGAAGATCGACAGACGAAATCTGCGCGATATAACAGTTCGTGAAAACGAAGCGTTCCACTTTGACGTCAAAATCATCGGCGAACCGCCGCCAGACGTCACATGGGTGATCAACAATAAGAGCATTCAGCAGACTACACATCGCAGAATACAGAACGTACCTTACAACAGCAAATTCTTCAACGATAAGCCTGAACGTAAGGACAGTGGCACTTACAAGATTACAGCAGTCAATCAACATGGATCCGACACTGCCGAAGTTGAAGTTAATGTTATCTGTGAGTGGCTTTCTTATATAAGCTTTTCAAAAACCAAACACTAAACTTATTTCTACTTAATTTTTCATAAATTTTTCAATTTTAGTATTACAGAATATAATTATGCTTGCATTAATGCACATAATTAGTGCTCGGGTATTAAAATTAAGAAGTTTACAAGAAATAGAATTGATCAGTTTGGCTTCTGAGAAGTTCATATGTTAATATTTTATAAGTATTTTCTTACCTCGGTTGTAACTAAAAAAAAATTATTAGTTTATCACAAAGAAATTATATCTTGCAATCTATAGTTTACTAAATATATATTACAAATATTTATAAATATATAAAAATATTTCTTAAAATATATTATATATATTTAAAAATATATAAACATATTTCTTAAAATAATTTATAATTAAACAAAATAAAACTTTATTTTTTTCTTTTGATGTGTATTACATAAAATGACAATTATTTACCAGCAAAACCTGGCAAGCCGGAAGGACCACTGGAGGTATCCGACGTGCACAAGGAAGGATGCACGCTTAAATGGAAGAAACCCAAGGACGACGGTGGAGAACCAATTGAAGGCTACCTTGTAGAGAAGTTTGATCCGGAAACTGGAGTTTGGCTACCGGTCGGAAAAACGACCGGACCTGAGATGAAGGTCGAGGGACTTACACCCGGTCATGAATACAAATTCCGAGTCAAGGCACTCAACAAGGAAGGAGAATCTGAACCGCTGGAGACCTTCAGCTCTATCATAGCTAAAGATCCATTTAGTAAGTAATCATAATTCTCTGAAAAGTGAATAAATAATATTTAATATTTCTTGGTAATGTTTTCGAAGGGCAGAATTTGGATTATGCAAATGTAGTCATTATATTGCAGCTTTATTATTACTTAAATTATCTCTAAAATGATAGTTGCTTATCTATAATTATTCTTTGTAGCTGTTCCAACTGCACCTGGAGCACCAGAACCAGTCGATTGGACGGCCAACCAAGTCGAACTTGCTTGGAAAGAACCTGTCAGCGACGGTGGATCACCCATCACGGGCTACATTATCGAGAAGAAAGATAAATATAGCACGATGTGGGAAAAGGCTTTGGAGACCGAAACACCGGTCACCAAAGCTCTGGTGCATGGTCTGATAGAAGGCAACGATTACCAGTTCCGCGTAATCGCCGTGAACAAAGCTGGCCAATCGGAACCTGGTGAAGCTAGCAAGACGTTCACCGCTAAACCACGTTTCTGTAAGTATTTGCAAATTTAGTTTCAGCTTTGCGTTTGATATTTCAATTTTGAGATATAGTTTCTTTCTCGAAAAATCTAATAAGATCATATAAGAATTAATTAACATTAAATTAATTTGCATTATGTAATAATTACGACAAATATTATTATTTTAATAATTGACCTACATATCTCAAATATTAATTGCGCAAATGATTTGTAAACAGCATCCTTGTCACAGAACGTTCGTGCGCTCCAAAAATAATGTCGATAAAACGCATTGCCTGCTTAATCTATAATTGGCATCTAATTAATGATTCTAATTATTCATCGTAGTGGCCCCGAAGATCGACAGGCGTAATCTGAGGGACGTTACTCTCTCCGCTGGCTCGATGCTGAAGTTCGACGCCAACGTGATCGGCGAGCCTCCGCCTCATATCGAGTGGCGTTACGGCGCGATACCGCTTCATTCCGATCGCAAGGTGCAGATCGACAACAGCGACTATAGCACCAAATTCAGCATACGTCCAGTGTCGCGAGACGACAGTGGCGATTACACCGTCACGGCCAGTAATTCGTCGGGCAAGGACTCGGTAACGGTACAGGTGACGGTGACGGACAAACCGACACCGCCCGAGGGTCCGCTCCAGGTGTCGGATGTACACAAGGAGGGATGCAAGCTGAAGTGGAAGAGACCTAAGGACGACGGTGGCACCCCTATCGAGTACTACCAAGTGGACAAGATGGACCCGGAGACCGGATGCTGGGTGCCTTGTGGTCGTTCCACCGAGCCAAGTAAGTAATCACTGAATTGCAATAGAGTTTCCCTTAGTGAATAAAAGAAATAAATCCAATATACACTCAGTTATTAAATACTTGATATTGTTACATTTTTTTACTTAAGCGTCATAATAAATTTTTCTTTTATATTTTATTCAACATTCTATTTATATATATAATAAAATAATTTAAAATAATTCAAATTTTCTGCATTTAAAAATTGTGTAAAATATTACTTATTTTTTAATTTTTCAAATAAAATATTACATTTCTCTCTTGTAAATACGTGACTCGAAATTTACGTATATAATATAATCTATATACATGCATATAATGTGTAAATATGTTATTAATGAACTTTCTTATTTTTTATATCATTTTTACAAATAATGTTTCGTACGAAACAATTTCAGTTTATATTTGAGTATATTATGGCTTAGTTTATATAAATAATATCAAGTTATGAAGATTCTATATACTTGAAACAAAATAAATATGACGCTGCAAGTGTTTCGTAAATGTATGTTTTTCCCAGTGGACAATTCTTTGCACTATAATTACATATATATGTAGACTTTTTTTTTCGAAGCTAATACTTTATTCTAATGTGTACACGCACTCATAAGATATCTTAGATTTTCGAAAAAAAAAATTTCCTCAGCTTTGAATATTTTGATATCGGATCTGTTCGACGAAGTTCAAAGTTATTTTAAAATGAATTGATTTGGTCAAAGCGCTTTTAAATTTCAAAAAAATTGATAATTGGCACAATTAAGATTTCATTCATACTAATATCTTTTCCTATTAAATATTATTTTTACGTCATTAATAATAAACATTTTTTTTTTAATTTATCACACTTGCTTTATTTATTATTGAGAACTTTAATCAATTATTAAAATTCAAAAAATTATAGGTGTGTGGAAATGTTAACACTAAATATTTATTTAAAATATTTTATGCATTAAAAAGATTTTGAAATTGAAGTACACATTATGCTACACATTATTCAACTTCAATACATTGTAAAGATATAATGCGCAATAATATCTTGAATAATTTTTTCTGTATTTTTAAGATTTACACTCTTGTGTTATACGCTAAAAATAGAAGGTTTTAATTTTTTAATATATATGAAAAATATATAAACAATATTCCTTTAATAAAAAAACTACACGCTTACCGTGCTATTAGTCAATTTAAACTATTATAATCTCGTCATTGTGTAGAACGTATGACTGTAAAATAAGATAATGCGGTCTTCACTAGCTGCAATCAAAGATATTCCATTTATTAGCTTATAATATATATGCTTTTAGGTATATATTTTATTATCTTTCTATACCGTAGCAAAACCTTCTATGGATCCGTCATATATTCCACCGATGTTTATCCTAAAAGTTTTCGAGGTTTTTTGTAAGAGAAACAGTATCATTTTCTGTATATATAATGGAGCTAAATACCATGGAGTGTTATACCTAGAAAAAAAGACAACTTTTAATTGACAAATCTCTCGATAAAATTTTTAGAGATGCATTGCTGTTCTTATCAGTAAACTTTAGCATGTATACTTGTTGATAATATAAAAAATATTGATCCCAACATTTAATGTAACAGTGTGAATCTTTATACATACTGTTTTGTAGATATGTTTCTCTTACGCGGTAACAAACACTTGATGATTGTGATCTGTTGCAAGCTGAGCGCAATAGTTAGATAGGTACGCATATATAACAAGGACACTTGTGTTAATAGAGGACATTAAGAATTCCCTGATATTGTCTCTGCATGATACAATCTAAAAAATTTAAGATAAATCTAAAATGTTTCGCGGTAATATGTGAGACAACAAAAGAATAATTTATTTTGAACATATACGGAAAAGAATAATCAATTTTTATGTTTTAAATGCTGAATTATGATTTTAGCTCTCAACTTATTATATTACAATAACATCACAATTTTGAAAAATTTGAAGTTAAAATTGTAAAAAAATGTTTTATTTATTTGTTATCTTTATTTATTTATATAATTTTAATTTAATGTATTTTACTGTGTTATAATAATCGTATGTGACTAGAAATTTTGTTTCATTCAAATTAAGTATGTTATTAGAACTTTCAACCTTTAAAAGAAATTTGTTGTGTTGTGTGATTATGATTCATTATGTTGAATAATTCGATATATATTCATGATTAAATATAAAATTTATTGTGAGCAAATTGTAAATTAGGATTTGAGAATGCATCAAATATTTTTTAATATTTTTTTTTAAGAGTTTTCCAAATGTATTCAAACAAATTTTATTGTAAAATTGACAAATTTAAAATAACAAAATCAATAAAAAAATTACCAATTTTTTTATGACACACTACATCAATTTCTTGTGCTTGAATTCATCAATTTTAACGTCGGATTTTTATTTCAACAACCAGGAAAATCCTTAAAGTTAACACATTGAAAAATATTTAATAAATCTCCGAATATTTAATTTGTAATTTTCTTATTTAATTAAACCTTGCTATTTATGAATTTTATTAACCATAACCACACAACATAATAAATTTCATGAAAAAAATAAAAATTCTAGCAACATATTTAATATTGATTGCAACAAAACTTCATCAATAAGTCGTATACCAGAGTTACGTACAACGCGTTAATTTAATAAATACAATATAAAAAATAAATACAATATATTAAAATAATTTTTGTGACGTTAGTTGAAATTTTTTCCAAATTGTCACATGATAGAAATTTAAAGATCGAAATCATATAAAGAAAACTACGAAATAATAACTTCTTTTTTTGTTTCTTTTTTTAAATTGAATTAATCATATTTTATAATTTATTGATTATAATACAGAGCAAGATTTTTTTTTTAATTTATAATATTCATCATATTTTATATATCTATCATTTAATTTATTATATTTTATAATTTATTGATTATAATACAGAGCAAGATTTTTTTAATTTATAATATTCATTATATTTTATATATCTATATATTTAATTTATCATATTTTATAATTTATTGATTATAATACAGAGCAAGATTTTTTTTATTTTGTTATATAAAGTTACTATAGATTTTATTTATAGATATAGAAAATTTCTATCCATATAAATATTGATTTAATATTATATTCTTTTTTAGAATATATAAAAATAGCAGAATGTTTGAAAATTAAATTATCAATTAAAGTATAGGATTCTCACGATACTTAATAGGAGGGTACTGTCATAATAACGAAATAATCGTCATTCTCAGATTCTCATATATCTTATTGTTAGGGAACATTGAACACTTGTTCAAAAGTAGATTTAACGATAAAATAGGAAACTTACTTGAAACATATTGAGGCATCCAGAAAGTACTCCAAATATTATTAGAAGGAACATCATTATTTCTAAATTGGACTGGAAGAGTTTGGCCAATCTTTGAAAATAAAAATATGTTATTATACATATAACAAGGCTCGCGCATATTATTGAGTGTATACAAACTTCATAGCTTGCCGATGAATGTCCACAGCACAAATTAAACCCTTAAATGTCAAAATATTTTGTCTGAGATTAATATCTTGTAGCATATTGACACTCATTGCGCGTTCGATACGATAACTATAAATAATGTTTATGTAGTAATTACATAGATTAGTGTACTAATTTATAGATTTTGTGTAGTAATTGAATAGATTTATAGATTTATAGATTTATAGATTTAGAGGTTTATAGATTTTGTGTAGTAATTGAATAGATTATTAACAAAAAAAGATATCAAATATTTTTATGATTAAATTTAATCTGTGTTGTTTAAATATTGGTTTGAAAATTATAAATTATATAATAATCTTTATAATCGTTGTCGCGTTAATGTCTATACCTGGCAACTGTAAACATTCCACAAATAAGTTGAAAATATATCATGAACAGTGTTCCTGTCCCCATTATTACAGTCAGAGCAATGCAAATTGATGCAATGGAGTGTAGCAATATTAAATAAAAATACTTCTCTTGATCGATAAAATATTCTACGATTAGCAAGTTATGTCGAGACGAATTTGTTGATAAAATAACGTTAAAAATATCCGACCAAAATGATAAAACGATATAAATCAATATGCTGAGTATGAATAATACTGCAAAAAAATAATTAATTATTTATTAATTAATTGAAAAGAGAATTATCATTTAAATTTCTGCCAAATATATTTTCTAAATTGATTTACATTTCATTATCTCACACTTATATGTATTTTTATTACAATTTAAATTTTAATATTTTTTTCATTTGTGATTGATTTTTATTGTGCAATTAATTGCTTTTTTTGTCTTTTCTATCATTTTATTCAAAATTATTTGTAAATACTTGTTGATTATTATGTAGACAAAAAAATTGTAATTGTTCATCGAAATTTATTTTTTAAAGTGAAATCTTGACAACTCTTGCATATTAAGAAGAAGCTGTGATCGTACGTGAAAAAATTATCTTACTTATAATTACAGTGGTCCATTTGCCATTACTTCCATATTTCTCTATAATAGTAATTTCATTTGCATCTTTTAACTTATTGCATTCATAGAATAATTGTTCCAACATATTCTTCATCTTTCAATATGTTATCGTTTTTATATGGACATAAAAAAATAATAAGGTCATAAAAATTGTACAACTTTACAAGAAAATATTTATTTTATTCCATCTGACAAAAGCTATCAACTTACAACTTCAAGATTAAAAAAGAATATGTAGTATTTTGCTATAGAGAAGAAAAAGAGAAATACGTAAGATAAAACTTTGATAAGGAGATCAACAGTACATTTTTGTGAGATAAATACTGTACACTGTAAATAATAATTATACTTATAAATTTGTATTGAAAAATTATATTTTTCTAAAATTAAATATATTCGGACACAAATTGTATACATAAAGAGTGCATCTAAATAAGTGCGAAAAATTTTAGAAGATGATCCTTTATCGAAAATTAAGGAGTTTTTTATGTAAACATATATTCTTACTATATCCTCTGAGGAGTTACACTTCTCTAAAGAGGGAGATAAAATTTAAGTTTTTATTTTTTTTCTTAAATTTTAAACAAATTTAAAAAATGAACCAGAAAATATCTATCAAGTTTTATTTTTTTAATTTGTCTGAAATTTGAGAAAAAAAAATAAAAACTTAATTTTTACCTCTTTCAGAAAAGTGTATACATATATATATATATATATATATATATATAAATTTAGTTATATATATATATATATATATATATATATATATATAGAATTAAATAATATGCAAAGCTATTACTATATACAATTTATAGTATATTTGACATAATAATTTCATGTTATTCTAAATTGTGATTTTTTAATTTTAAGGTAAAAGATTGCTTTTTGCGGTAATTCTCTCATTATGATATTATTATAAATTACTATTAGAGCTTACCTGAAATATAACACTCGTCGTCAGAATACTGAACAAACAAATAAATTGAAATCGAATAAGATTCGATTGTTGATAGGGCCACAGGCCAACAGCGAGTAGAAGAATTCTACACACACTAAAATACTTCTTAAAGTTCATCTCTTTGCAAGATCTGGGATACGTATGACTGAAATAGTCAACAAAAGTTATGCTCATCCCCCCTTTTTTCATTGATCTATCTACTATTATTTATTTTTCTCCTCTGGTATAAATTTTACAAATTACTTAATTTTGTATAAAAATTACTTAATTTCATATAATACGAGACGACACAATATACTAGAGAATATTCGCATTTTTCTCAATAATGTTTCTATACAGTCCCCAATTACGCGATCGATTTGATAGCGCGACGAAATTGAACGCATGTCTTTTTCCCATCGGAAAAAAGGGGAAAATATTTGTTGAGAGAGAATATTTCACGCGAAAGTCGCGCACGCGTAATCGCCACTTTTTTACACCACAATTTCTCACCCTTTATTTCATTACGAGCACTCATGATATACATACGTTTGCTCCTCGAGAGGAATGTCGTTCAGTCTTTGAGCATTTTAGTATCGAGTTTCTGGTAAAACTTGTGTTATTTTTTTAAGCAGATATGATCAAATTTGAGGACTTTTAAATTCCAAATCGACGATGATTAATATTTAAATATACATGTATTTAAATATATTAATATTTAAATATACACACACACATGTATTTAAATATTATTTATATTAATTAACATTTAAATATACACACATTAATGATAAAATATGTATAATGTTATTGAAATGTAAATAATTTGATTTGTATACATAATGATACTTATAACGTTAAATATTAAATGATTTATTATAGATCTCGAGGTGACAGGTCTAACACCTGGCAAGGAATATCTTTTCCGAGTAGCCGCGGTCAATGCCGAGGGCGAATCGAAGCCTTTGGAAGCGGAGCAAGCAATAGTAGCCAAGAATCCATTTGGTATATATATTTTTTTTAATAAAATATTATTCTTTAAAATTACACAAATATTTTTTTAATCTGAAAGAATCCAACTATATATTAAATCAATCTCATCTAATTATAGACGAACCAGGAAAACCGGGTGACCTCCAGGCCACCGACTGGGACAAGGATCACGTTGACCTGAAATGGACTCCACCGGAGAACGACGGTGGTTCGCCAATCACCGGTTATGTAATCGAGAAGAAGGACAAGTACGGCGAATGGGAGAAAGCGCTGGAGGTTCCGGCAGACGAGACTTCTGCTACCGTGCCGGACCTCATCGAGGGTCAGCCATACGAATTCCGGGTACGAGCCGTGAACAAGGCTGGCCCTGGCGAACCGTCAGACGCCACTCCGACCATCATCGCGAAACCGCGCAATCTGGCGCCCAAGATTGACCGCACCAATCTGATCGAGGTGAGGATCAAGGCCGGCCAGAACTTCAGCTTCGACTGCAAGGTGACGGGCGAACCGCCGCCGACCACCAAGTGGATGCTGAACGGCAAGGAAGTCCGACCGTCTGAACGCGTCAAGGTCAAACACGTGGATTACAACACCAGTCTGAGCGTGCGAATGGCCACACGGGCGGAATCCGGCAAGTACACCGTCATCGCGGAGAACATTAACGGCCGGGACGAGGCCTTTGTCAAGGTCACCGTGCTGGACAAGCCGAGCCCGCCTCAGGGTCCGCTACGTACATCCGACGTGCACGCCGAGGGTTGCAAGCTCTCGTGGAAGCCGCCGGAGGACGACGGTGGACAGCCGGTTGAGAAATATGTCGTGGAGAAGATGGACGAGGCTACGGGTCGTTGGGTACCAGCCGGGGAGACTGACGGACCGGAAACAAGTCTGCAGGTGGAGGGTCTGACGCCAGGGCACAAGTACAAGTTCAGAGTCAGGGCTGTCAACAAGCAGGGCAAGTCTGAGCCACTCACCGCTATGCAGAGCATCGAGGCAAAGAATCCCTTCGGTGAGAAAAACAAATTTTACGAAAAGTTTTAATTGTTTATATTTTATTTTTTAAAAGTATTTTATTAAAACTATTATTTTTTAATTAATTACATTAATTTAATAATACATTTTATAATTTAATAATAAAATATTTTTATAAACAAAGATTTCTGATGTTTTTTAAATTTGCAAATATTTTTAATGATTAGTTTTGCATTAATATTTTTAATTAATCATTATTAATACTTTTTTTATATTATATTATTGTGCCTCTTTTACAGACGAGCCAGGAAAGCCAGGTACGCCCGAGGTGGTTGACTACGATAAAGACTTTGTCGAGCTCCACTGGAAACGTCCTGACGAAGACGGCGGATCACCGATCACTGGTTACATTATAGAAAAACGCGACAAGTACAGTCCAACTTGGGAGAAGTGCGCGGAGGTCGATGGTGACACGAATCAGGGCAGGGTCAACGACCTGGTCGAGGGAACGCAATACGAATTCCGCGTGAGGGCCGTTAACAAGGCTGGTCCCGGCGAAGCGTCGGAGGCGTCCAAGTCTCATCTGGCGCGACCTAAAAATCGTAAGCATTTGCAAGTAATTTGTTATAGCTGCGTACATTGCAGAGAATTGAATGTCCTCAATAGTAGTTTAAATTGAAGAATTGTAAACATGTTAATTTTTTTAATGACATATTTTATATTTATCTCCAGTTCCACCGAAGATCGACAGGAAGTACATGCTGGACGTGAAGGTGCGCGCCGGCGGTTTCTTCGACTTCGACGTTCCGGTGATCGGCGAGCCACCACCAAGCAAGGAGTGGTCGCTGAAGGGCTCCATGGTGATAGCGGGCGATCGCATTAAGATCACGAACGAGGACTATAACACCAAAGTACGCATAATAGAGGCAAAACGTGCCGATTCGGGCGTCTATACACTGGAGGCCAAAAATGTGAACGGCAAGGATTCCGCCACGTTGACGGTGAACGTATTGGACGTGCCCTCGCCGCCTGAGGGTCCGCTGAAGATTGACAACGTCACCCGAAGCGGTTGCACTCTGAGATGGCGGCCGCCCAAGGACGACGGCGGCTCCGAGATCCAGTACTACCAAGTCGAAAAGATGGACACAGAGAACATGCGCTGGGTACCCGTGGCCGAGGCTAGTACCACGTCGGCGCAGGTGGGCCACCTGATCGAGGGTCACGATTATCAGTTCCGCGTGCGGGCGGTCAACAAGCAGGGCGAGTCTCAGCCGTTGACCGGATTGGATACCATTACCGCTAAAGATCCGTTCGCCAAGCCGGACAAGCCCGGAACGCCAGTGGCCACCGATTGGGACAAGGATCACGTGGATCTCGAATGGGCACCGCCTAAGAAGGACGGTGGATCACCCATAACTGGCTACATTATCGAAAAACGACCGCGTTTTGGACAGTGGGAGAAAGCGGCCGAGGTGCCCGGGGATAAGACCAGCGGCAGGGTACCAGATCTGACCGAGGGTCAAGAGTACGAGTTCAGGGTCATCGCTGTCAACAAGGGCGGACCTGGTGAACCGTCCGATGCGTCGGCACCGATCGTCGCCAAACCACGTTTCAGTAAGTTCGAGAAATTACGATTGGAGAAATTAAATCAATTATCTTGAAAAGAATTTTATTTCAAGACTGTATCGCGATATTTTTCTTATTATACATAACAATAAATATATGTACATTTCTCTCACATACAAAACTTTTACTTGAAAAAATAAGAACTTTTTTTAATAAAAACTACTGATATTTTATTCATAATTGTTTGTAATTAATTGCAGTTGCTCCTTCGTTCGATACTCATCTGCTGAGCGATTTGGTGGTACGAGCCGGTCAGAAGATCAGTTACAATATTCCCATCGTAGCATCACCTAAGCCAAAAGCAACTTGGAATCGCGATGGAGTTCAAATCGTGGCTGATGCTCGTCACGAAATGTACACCACCAATAGCGAAACTTCCTTCGAAATTCCGTTCTCAGTTCGCGGTGATACTGGACGTTACACTTTGACTTTGGAAAATGAACATGGAAATTTCAGGTAATTCACAATATTATAAAAGGAAATTTTAATATTAATTTTTTTTATATATGTATATACGCACATATATTTTGAAAATTTATATATATATATATATATATATGTATATATTTTAAAGAAAATTTTGATCAAATTAATTAAATTGATTGATTAATGACGTTTTTTCAGTGCCAGCGCGAGAGTCACTGTCCTTGACAGACCAGCGCCACCAGAAAAACCGCTGGAGGTGAGTAACGTCACCAAAGAGGGTTGCCATTTGACCTGGGGACATCCTCTCGACGATGGTGGCAGTCCTATTCTGCACTATGTCATTGAAAAGATGGATCTATCTCGTGGAACCTGGTCTGACGCCGGCATGAGCATGGTACTAAGTCACGAGGTCAGTCGTCTGACCCATCGTAAGGAATACCTGTTCCGCGTCAAAGCTGTTAACAACATCGGAGAATCCGATCCGCTCGAAACCACGAAGAGCATTATCGCGAAGAACGAATTTGGTAAGTGACTTTATAAAAGTAATATAGAAAAATTTTATAATTTAATCGATGTAGATTTAGAAATAAAACGTGAAGTATAAAAAATAAAATAAAATAATGTGTAAATCAAATAATACATTCGTTCCCTTGCGACTTTCAGATGAACCAGATGCTCCTGGCAAGCCACAGATCACGGACTGGGACAAGGATCACGTAGATCTGGAATGGCCAGCGCCGAAGAATGACGGCGGATCACCGATCAAGGGTTACATCGTCCAGAAGAAGGAGAAGGGCAGTCCATACTGGGTGAACGCGGTGCACGTGCCGGCAGGTCAAACCAGCACGACTGTTCCAGATTTGACGGAGGGTCAGGAATACGAGTTCCGTGTGATCGCCGTCAACGCCGCCGGTCAATCCGAACCGTCAGAGCCCAGCGATCTTGTCACTGCCAAGCCACGTTACTGTAAGTTTTATTTTCTTAGAAAAACGAATTGAAAGAGTGATACATTTTAATATTAATTGACAAAAATTGCAATAAGAGATAATATAAAAATTTTAATTTTTAATAAAGTTTCATATAAACATATTTATTACTTTATTATATTATTATAGTATATTATTTTATATAAATTATTTTGTTTTATATAAATAAATATATATTTTGTAAGTCATTTAAAGCTTCAAATATTTTTTAATTTATATTTTATTTGCGTTGAAAAAATAACTCAACTCTCTTCATCTTCTGCAGTGGCCCCGAAGATCAAGACCCCTTTGCAAGACGTTCGTATCAAGGCTGGACTGATTTTCCACGTCGACATCGACTTTGTTGGCGAACCGACACCCGAGGTGACGTGGAGCGTAGCAAGCCAGGAATTGACTTCCAACGACAGGACGACGATCACGTCGATCGGCTACCACACGATCGTGCACATTGTCAACGCCAAGAGATCCGATTCGGGATTGTATCATTTATTGCTGAAGAACAGCAGCGGTGTAGATGAAGGTAGCTTCCAAGTAACTGTTTTAGACAAACCTGGACCACCAGAAGGTCCTTTACAATACGAAGAGATCACCAGTCAATCCGTCACGCTCTCGTGGAAGCCACCCAAGGATAATGGTGGCAGCGAGCTTACGTAAGTCAATTTGCGAGACACATCACATTTATGAAGCAAATTTTTGATTGTTTTTTTTTACGTAATAGATCTAATTTGTATTTTTATTTTTCCATAAAATTTTATATATATTTTTCAATTCGCTGATACTCTCTGTATTATTCTATACTTTAAGTTGCACAGGTAACATAAATTTAAAGTTTAATTATATATAAAAAAATAACTTATATTAAATATTTTATAACATAAATATTTTATTTTAAATTGTATTTTTATATATAAATAAATATATATAATTATTACACTAAGAATTTTATAACAATCTGTACCAAAGATTTTATATTGTATGATATCAATATTGCAAAATAATTCCTCACATACGATTTGTACGATTTGTTCTTTATAGTGGATACATCATTGAAAAACGCGATCTTACACATGGTGGCGGCTGGGTACCAGCAGTTACACACGTTAATCCCAAGTATAATCATGCAACCGTGCCAAGATTGCTCGAGGGAACCACGTATGAATTCCGTGTGAGCGCAGAAAATCTTCAGGGTCGCTCCGAGCCGCTGACCACCGATCGATCCATCGTTGCCAAGAATCAATTCGGTAAATCTACTTTTAATACAGAACATCAATCAGTTTTCCGAATTACAATTAAATATTCAAAATATCAATCTTCAAGATTTTCTCTCTTTGTGATTACACATTTTTATGTTCGATCTTCAGTGGCTCCTGGACAACCTGGCAAGCCAGAATGCGTGGACGCCGACAAGGATCATATCAAGATCAAATGGACTCCACCCATCAGCAACGGTGGCTCCAAGATTATTGGCTACGATGTGGAGCGTCGGGATCGCGCGACCGGTCGTTGGATAAAGCAGAACAAGGAACCCGTCAGATATCCTGAATACTACGACGACCACGTAACGGAGGGTCATCAATACGAATACCGTGTGTCGGCTATAAACGCCGCCGGTGCTGGAAAACCAAGCGAGACCTCGTCCGTGTTCACGGCCAAACCCATGAAAGAGAAGCCGAAGCTTCATCTGGACGCTCTGATCGGTCGCAAGATCAAGGTCCGCGCTGGAGAACCAATCAACGTCAATATACCATTGTCCGGCGCGCCTACGCCGAAGATCGATTGGGTCAAGGATGGAAAATCGCTCCTGGAGACTCTTCGTTTATCGGTATGTAAAATTATTCTATATATTTTATTTAATATTTATATTTATTAAATTTATGTATTTAAATTATAAATATTTTACTACTATATATTTTTTAGATCGAAACCAAGAGCGATCGAACGCAGCTGTTGATTGAAAAATCAGTGCGAGATGACAGCGGCATGTATACCATAACCGCGTCGAACGAGCACGGAAAGGATTCCGCTGACATCGAGGTGATAGTCGTGGACAAGCCTGGACCGCCTCAGGGTCCTCTGCAATACACCGGCACGACTCACGAATCCGTCGGACTATCTTGGAATCCACCGGTGGACAACGGTGGCTCCGACATCACGAACTACATCGTCGAAGTATCGGACTACGGATCTGACAATTGGCGACAAGTGCCCGGATACGTTCCCAGAACGAGCTTTACAGCTAAGGGTTTAATTGAAGGCAGAAAATACGTTTTTCGAGTCCGCGCCGAAAATATGTACGGAGTGTCAGAGCCCTTGGAGGGTAAACCCGTGATCGCTAAGAGTCCCTATGATCCGCCAGATGCGCCGAGTCAACCTGAGGTTCTCGGTTACACTCCTAACAGCTGCAGTCTCACGTGGAACCCGCCTATCAACACCGGCGGAAAGCCTATTACTGGTATATAATTATTAAAATAAATTATATTAATATTTAATTATAATAATATATAATAATATTATTAAATATAACTTACAATACATTACTTGCATTATCTTCTTCAGGTTATTATGTAGAGAGACGTGAGCGTGGCGGCGAATGGTTGAAGGTCAACAACTACCCGACGCCAAACACGACGTTCACCGTACAGGATCTTCACGAGGGTTCGCGATACGAGTTCAGAGTGATCGCTGTCAACGAAGCTGGACCTGGCAAACCCAGCAAACCCACCGAACCTATCATAGCTGGACATCAACGCCGTAAGTATATTTTATCGATCATTTATATATTATAATAAATTCAACTAAGAAATCTAAAGATTATATTTATTATAATAATTATCATTAACTTTGCAGTGCGTCCTGACGCACCTGAGCCACCTAAAGCTGACAGAATCACCAAGGACTCGGTGACCTTGAGCTGGCGAGCACCGCGAAGCGACGGCGGCGCGAAGATAAGAGGCTATATCATTCAGAAGAAGGCCAAGGACGACGCTGACTGGTCAGACGTAAACGGCGCACCTGTACCAAGCAACGTGTACACCGTACCGAAGCTGAAGGAGGGTGAGGAGTACCTCTTCAGGGTGTTCGCGGTGAATGATGTCGGTAACAGCGACCCGAGCCGACCCAGCAATCCCATCATCATCGAGGAACAACCTAACAAACCAGTCATGGACCTCGGCGGAGTTCGTGACATCACTGTTCGCGCTGGCGAGGATTTCTCCATTCACGTGCCTTATGTAGGTTTCCCCAAACCGACCGCCACGTGGTTCGCCAACGACGTCGTTAAGGATGAAACCGATTCGCGTGTTCATCAGCAACTGGCTGATGATTTCGCCAGGTATATAATATTTTTGCGACTATTATGAACTTTATATAGAAATGAGAAAAATAAATAGTATTCTTGAAGTTTAATATTATATAATATATATCAAATACCAGATATTTCTCTTTATTGTAATAGCTAATTGGATTTAATGACATTTGTACAATATATATCAAATACCAGATATTTCTCTTTATCGTAATAGCTAATTGGATTTAATGACATCGGTACAATTTTCTGCTATAGTCTGGTGGTGAAGAACGCGAAACGTTCGGATGGAGGCCAATACAGACTTCAATTGCGCAACTCGTCCGGCTTCGATACAGCGACTGTCAATGTCAAAGTCCTCGATCGTCCTGCTCCACCTGAGAATCTCCGTGCGGATGAATTCGGCGGTGACGCTCTTACTCTTTTCTGGAATCCACCCAAGGATAATGGCGGTGCTGATATCACTAACTATGTAATTGAGAAGAAGGAACCGAAGGCCGCCACGTGGTCTAAGGTAAGAAATATAAAAAAATCATGAAATATCAAGATTAAAGATACATTATTCTTTAGTTTATATGAAATACATTATTTTTTTATGAGAGAAAAAACTAATAAAAAAAATAGAGAACATAGAAAGTCTGAAATTATCTTTGGCTTGAATATACATGCAATAATACTGGAGTCTAAGGAGAAAAACACTTACAGGTGAGCAGCTACGTTACGACGCCGTTTGTGCGGGTCAGAAATCTGACAGTCGGTCAAGTGTACGAGTTCCGAGTAATGGCCGAAAATCAGTATGGCACATCAGACCCGGCGACGACGACCGATCCGATCAAGGCACGACATCCGTTCGATCCGCCAGGTCCTCCTGGCGCGCCTCGCAGCGTGGAAACCACCGAGGACAGCATCACCATCACCTGGAGCAAGCCGCGTAACGACGGCGGTTCGCCGATCCTCGGTTACGTCGTCGAAAAGCGTCTCCTGAGCGAGGACAAGTGGGTCAAGGCCACGCCGGCTCTGGTGCACGATACCACTTACAAGTGAGCGATGTATTTGCGTTACTCTTCCCCTCTACGTGTTTTTACCTTACTTTGTTAGAAGATGAGTCAACGAAGTGTTTTACTAATTCTCTTGTCAATCTTACAGAGTTACCGGACTGATCGAGAATCATGATTATGAATTCCGCGTAGCTGCAGAAAATGCTGCTGGCCGTGGACCTTGGAGCTCCAACTCTGACGTTATTCGCGCCAGTGCAGCTCCATGTAAGTATACCTGCATCTTCTTTACAGATTTTCTTACAAATTTAAAAAATTATTATATATGTATTAATATAATTTTCTATCATCATTAATTTTCTATCGGCATTAATCTGCCGATGAACTTTGCGGATATAATTTGACATGTTAAATTATTTTGTTACAGTCCCACCAAAGATCACGAGCGATCTCAGCATCCGTGACATGACCGTCATCGCAGGAGAACCGTTTACCATCACGGTGCCTTATACAGCCAATCCTAGACCAAAGCCTAACTGGTCCATCAACGGCGAGGAGGTTCTCACTGGCGAGAGGATCAAGTTCGAGACGACCGATGTGGCCTCGCAGTACATCAACAAGAAGGCGCAGAGGTCGGACACTGGCACGTACACCATATACCTCACGAACACCGTTGGTACCGACTCCGCCTCGTGCAAGGTCCTCGTTGTCGGTGAGTTTATATTATATATTTTTTGCGTCATTTGATTTTACAAGTTATACATGATGTATTATAAAATGATTTCTTTTTAGATAAACCGTCGCCGCCGCTGGCACCCTTGGACATCTCCGATATCACTCCGGAAACCTGTACGCTGACATGGAAACCGCCTTTCGACGATGGCGGTTCACCGATCACAAATTACATCGTGGAGAAACTGGATCCAGCCGGCGTAAGTTCAATAGAGGGACATAATGATCAGAGAAATAATTTTATTTTTCTCTTCCGATATAAAGTGCCGTCATTATCACATAGACAGATATTGGTAAGATATTTTCATTGGTTTTTTGAATCTCTTTCAGTTCTGGGTGAAGCTCAGCAGCTTCGCCAGGAGCACGCATTATGACGTAATCGGTCTGGAACCAAATCGCACATACAATTTCCGCGTAAGAGCGGAGAATCAGTACGGAGTATCCGAACCACTTCAGGCTGACGAGCCGATAACGGCCAAGTTCCCGTTCACGGTACCGGATCCACCTGGACAGCCACGTGTCATCGATTGGGACACCTCGAATGCGACTGTGGTCTGGTCGAGACCACTGTCCGATGGTGGATCTCGCATTCAGGTGTGTATAAACAAGGAAAAAATCATTGACATCTTTATAAATAATTATACACCAATTTTATAAATTATACAAATTTTTTAGACTCTAATACTTTAAAAATATACATACTTCTTTTGTAACATCTTGCAGTATTTTTTGATGGGCTTGAAATAATCAAGAAAAAATCTGGATTACAGGGCTACAAGATCGAATTCCGCGATCCCGCTGAGGACGTGCAATGGCGTGTGGCAAACGACTACCTCTTCAAGGACACCACTTACGTGTGCTACGGTCTATTGAGCGGCCACGAATACGAGTTCAGAATCCGCGCGAAGAACGCGGCCGGTTTCAGCAAACCTAGCCCGCCGTCCGCGCCGTTCAGACTCAAGAGCAAGTTCAACGTGCCGTCACCACCCGGCACGCCGCAGGTCACCAAGGTCGGCAAAAACTACGTCGATCTGCGATGGGAACCGCCCGTGTCCGACGGCGGCAGCAGGATCACCGGCTACGTAATCGAGAAGCGCGAAGTGGGTAGCGCGATGTGGGCCAAGTGCAACGAGTACAACGTCGTCGACACCGAATACACAGTCATGCATCTGATCGAGCGGGGTGACTACGAGTTCAGGGTCTTCGCGGTGAACGCGGCCGGCAGGTCCGAGCCGAGCTCGTGTACTACTCCAGTGAAGATCTGCGAGGTCGAGGGTGGCGAGAAGCCGGAGTTTATCAGGAATCTACCCATCAGCCAAATCATACCGCTCGGCAAGACCCTCGTCCTCGAGTGCGAGGCCACGGGTAAACCAGTGCCGACTGCCAGGTTAGTCGGAATGAATATCTAATATCCACTTTTCAGTCGTATTTGTCAGGATGAAAATGATTAATTTGATTAAAATAATATATATATATATATATATATATATATGTGTGTAATATTATAATATTATATTGTATATATTAATATGTAGATAATATACAGATAATATTAATATTAACTGGATTAAGATGATATTAATATTGAAATAAAAATTTTAATATGTATAGGTGGCTGAAGAACGGCCGCGAGATTACCCTAGGCGGCCGCTTCCGTGCCGAGTCGATAAACGGCATCTACAGACTAGTCATCTCCGAGGTGTGGGATGCGGATGACGGGGATTACAGCTGCCAGATATCGAACCAGCTCGGCGTCGCCGCGACCACGTGTCGCCTAAAGATCGGCACGCCGCCGCGCATCGAGCGCATGCCTGGCGATCTCTATCTGCCGGAGGGCGACAACACGAAGATCAAGATCTACTACAGCGGCGATCAGCCGATGGAGGTGACGCTGAAGAAGGATGGTCATAAGATCGTAGAGACCACGCACATCAAGTACACAGTCTTCGACGAGTATCTCATCATCTTCATCAAGGACATCCAGAAGGATGATGCTGGCACGTACGATCTATCCATTTCCAACGACAGCGGCAGCGTGAGTGCGTCCTTCACCGTGTACATCACTGGGTTACCTGGACCGCCAACTGGACCGCTCGACGTTTCCGATATTGATAAACACACGTGCACTCTATCCTGGCACCCGCCCAAGTACGACGGCGGTCTTCGAATCACTCATTACGTGGTGGAGCGTCGTGACGTCAGCCACACGCACTGGATCATTGTATCGTCCTTCTGCAAGGACACGACCTTTGTCGTGCAGGGTCTTACCGAGGGTCAGGAATACCTCTTCCGGGTGATGGCGGCCAACGATAACGGCATGGGTCCGCCGTTAGAAGGTACCAATCCCATCAAAGCCAAGGCACCGTTTGATCCACCGGGACCACCCGGTACGCCCAAGGTCATCGAGGTCGGCGGCGACTTTGTCAATCTCTCGTGGGAAAAACCGGAAACTGACGGCGGTGCTAAGATTCAGGGTTACTGGATCGATAAGAGAGAGGTCGGCGGTCAGGCCTGGCAGCGCGTGAACGTCAGCATCTGCCTGCCGACGCAAATCAACATCAGCAATCTGATTGAAGGAAGGCAATACGAGTTCCGAGTGTTCGCTCAGAACGTGGCTGGACTCAGTACCGAGTCAAAGGCCTCGACCTCCGTGAAGATCGTCGATCCACAGGCGGCGAAGCCTCCGGAGATTGTTCAACCTCTCAACAGGGTTCGTGTTTCCTCAATTTGTATCTTGATTGCAAACAATTTTATAGTAGCTCAAGTTCATACATTTATATTATAAATTTAAACATATTAAATAATAAATAAATAATAATTATTTTAAAGATCCTTATTGGATTCAGATCTTGCGTCTTTATTGTAAAACAATTTGAATAATTTTTACATTTATCTCCCCAGGTAAATTGCGTCCAGAATCACAACGCTCACTTCCAATGCAAGATCATTGGCACGCCGAAGCCGAGCATCACGTGGTTCAAGGGCGCTCGGGAGATCGTGAGCGGCAGCCGCTACAACATTTACTCCGAGGGTGACACCCACAATCTCATCATCCACGACGTGTTTGGCGAGGACGCCGACGAGTACTTCTGCCGCGCGGCGAACAAGTGCGGCGTGAAATCCACTAAGGGCGAGCTCTTCATCAAGACGCCACCCAGACTGAATGTACCGCCGCGATTCCGCGACACCGCCTTCTTCGACAAGGGTGTGAACGTCGTCATCAAGATCCCGTTCACCGGCTATCCGAAACCGAAGATCACATGGGTGCGCGAGGGCGAGGTGATCGAGTCCGGCGGTCATTACTCCGTGGAGGTGAAGGAACGTCATGCCGTGTTGACGATCCGCGACGGCAGCCGCATCGACTCCGGCCCGTATCGCATCACCGCCGAGAACGACCTCGGCCAGGACACGGCGATCATCAAGATCCAAATCAGCGATCGTCCAGACCCGCCGAGGTTCCCGCAGGTGGATAACATCGGTCACGACTCGCTGGCGGTCAGCTGGAAGCCGCCCTTGTGGGACGGCGGTAGCAACATCACCAACTACGTCGTGGAGAAGCGCGAGCACCCGATGAGCAGCTGGATCCGGGCCGGTAACACTAGGTTCTGCACCTTGGCGGTGACCGGTCTGAGCCCTGGGCATCAGTACGATTTCCGGGTGTCCGCGGAGAACATCTACGGCCGGTCCGATCCGAGCGAGGTGACGCCGCTGATCAGCACGAAGGGCGTGATCAAGCGCGAGTTCAAGAAGAAGGAGTACGAGGTGGACGCGACCGGGAAGAAGATTCGCGGACGCGACGACGAGAAGCCGCGCGACTACGACCAGTTTGTCTTTGACGTCTACAGCAAGTACGTGCCCCAGCCGGTCGAGATCAAGCACACGTCGGTCTACGACAAGTACGACATCCTCGAGGAGATCGGCACCGGCGCTTTCGGCGTGGTGCACCGTTGCCGCGAGAGGACCACCGGCAACATATTCGCCGCCAAGTTTATCCCAGTGTCCCACGTGATGGAGAAGGAGCTGATCAGGAAGGAGATCGACATCATGAATCAGCTGCACCATCCCAAGCTGATCAACCTGCACGACGCCTTCGAGGACGACGACGAGATGGTGCTGATCTTTGAGTTGTAAGTATCCACTTTGGACGGAAGAGAATAATTATAGAAAATGAAACTAGTTTATGATTATTATAAAAACAGCTATGTTATTAAATATATAATTAAATAGAAGTCATTTGAAATATAATTAATATAAATATCAAATAAATATAAAATGATGTTAGAAAGGATTCTTGCGATTCGAGCTTCAAGCTGTGACGAGTTTGCGTTATATCCTTGATCTCGATCATTTGTCTCGTTAGCCTGTCCGGCGGTGAATTGTTCGAGAGGATCACGGCCGAGGGTTATACCATGTCCGAAGCGGAGGTCATTAATTATATGAGGCAGATCTGCGAGGGCGTCAAGCATATGCACGAAAAGAACATCATCCATCTAGGTGAGATGATGATATTAAAAGATCATTTTTTTTCCAGAAAAACACAGCTATTTTATTAATATTTTATTTTAAACATATAATTAAATAATTTTAATATATATATAATTAATATAAATTAAAAATATGCGATTGTTTTCAGATATCAAGCCCGAGAACATTATGTGCCAAACTCGCAACAGCACTAACGTAAAACTGATCGATTTTGGTCTGGCTACTAAACTCGATCCGAACGAAGTAGTAAAGATCAGCACAGGAACAGCCGAGTTCGCCGCTCCCGAGATCGTCGAACGCGAGCCGGTTGGTTTTTATACCGACATGTGGGCTTGCGGCGTCCTAGCTTATGTTTTGTGAGTAGATCTTTTTTTGCAATCTGATGTGTGTAAAGGAACATATTAAACATATTAAATTTTCCTAGAAATATTGCATTGAAATGCATGCAACATCTTACATTTTAGTAACATCATGTAGGTATGTAATTAATATGGAAGATTGTAAAAATTATAGTGATTGCAGAGGAAAAAGGCGAAAAGTTCGAATGACTAAATCAAATTTTTTATAATTAATTGCAACTAGTTATCTAGTTAACTAGTTGTTCATAGCACAAAATATAATAAAACAGCAATTAAATTTAAATAAAAAAGATATTTGATTTATTACCATCAGAATTTTATTCATATTTCCGATTGTAATATTTAATTTATTTTTAATTAATATTATTTTTTTTGCGCAGTTTTGACATTATTGAAATAAAGTTTTTAAAAATGAAAAAATACATTCATATTTATGAGAAGAAAAATGTTTTTCAAAGAAGAAGAATCTGTACCGAAATATTCTAGTATGCATTGTTTGCACAGATTGAGTGGCCTTTCGCCGTTCGCGGGCGACAACGACATCGAGACCCTGAAGAACGTGAAGGCGTGTGACTGGGACTTCGACGAGGAGGCGTTCCGCGACGTTTCCGAGGAAGGCAAAGATTTCATCAGACGGCTACTAATTAAAAACAAAGAGTACGGTCTCTGCTATATTCCATATATTATATTCTATATAAACTGTCAAATTTCTTTATCATTCCTGCGTATCCTCATCTTCCAGGAAGCGCATGACAGCGCACGAGTGTCTCCTTCATCCGTGGTTGACCGGCGATCATAGTAAATGGACCAATCCGATCGCCAGCAGCCGTTACCTCAGCATTAGGGACAGATTGCGTGCTAAGTATGAAAATTGGGACAAGTATGTCCTTCCCATTGGCCGCCTAGCCGAGTACTCGTCGCTCAGGAAGCTCTTGATCGAGAAGTACAGAATCTATGATTCTTGCTTCGGTGAGTGTAATTAATATTTTTTACAACACAATACTGTAATATGCGTAAAATATAATAAATATAATAAATGTGAGTATTTGATGAAAATAATAAAAAATTTATCAAAATCCTAATTCTTTGAATTTATAATTAATATTTTTTACAGATCGCCGACAAGCTGCGCCCAGATTCGTCATCAAGCCGCAAAGTGCATTCGCCTACGAAGGACAGAGCGTGAAGTTCACTTGCCGCGTGATCGCGATCGCGACACCGACACTGACCTGGTCGCACAATAATCAGGAACTACGACAGTCCGTGAAATTCATGAAACGATATCACGACGACGATTACACCTTCATCATCAACAGAGTTAAGTTGGAAGACCGAGGAGAGTACATCATACGCGCGGAGAATCACTATGGCTATCGCGAGGAGGTTGTCTTCCTTAATGTACAACGTAAGCGTTTCCTCCATCAAAACTTTACGTAGATACATCTGCAACTCTGCGATATTTGATGACACCATTTGGTACATCTAATTAATATAAAATATTTAAAAATTTAATATACTTACATATTCATTTTTAAAATTTATTTGATACTCTAAAACCTCTGTCTCTTCGTTTCTTCAGCATTGCCGAGAGAAATTCCAAAGTACAGGCCCGAGCTGCATCCGGTACGCAGACGAGAACCGCTCGGCTACAATGTCTGGCTGGAGATGATCGAGTCGGCGCCAAGCTTCACCTTCCTGCTGCGACCACGTGTCATGCAGATCAGACAGACATGCAAGCTGCTCTGCTGCTTGAGCGGTAACCCACCGCCTGTTGTAAAATGGTACAAGGATAGAGAGGAGTTATCCAAATATAACTATCCTATGAGCAACGCCGACGGAGTCGTCACAATGGAGATTATTGATTGTAAACCAGAAGACAGTGGCAAATATCGCTGCGTGGCTAGCAACAAGCACGGCAAGGACGAGACCAGTTGTGTGGTCATCGTAGAAGGTACAAAATAAATAAGTAATTACATATTGAATCAAACAAATAAAATATTACTCAAGATGTAAATTATAAAATATTAATTGAAAAGTATTTTATATATGCAATTTTTAGGAATGTAATGGTACTTCATGTACTTTCTATGTAAATAATTAATTTAAAATTTGCTGATGAGACATACCTCATTGAGCGTTTGTGTTGTAGGCACTGGAGAAACGGAGGAGCAAGTAAAATTAGCGCACGATTTCCTACATTCCGGAGGTAGAGCTGTTTCAGAGCTTACCCCGTTTGTGTGCAATCCTTTTCCTCTGTTATTACAAACAATGCTTCATTAGCCGATAGATTACCTTATTTATTCGTCTGTGTGTCTACGTGTATATTGTCAAGCTTTTTCCATTAGAAATCATAAGTATTGCACATATACACGCCATTACATAGTCACCATACTAGCTCTACATACAGATTATTTAACATTACATTTTTATTTACGTTATTCAGAGCTATTCGTACAACTGAAATTTTATTTTTCCATTTCAGATACATTTAGAAAATAATGATTTCTTCAATTAGTTCACGTAGTTTATTTCTCTTAATTTATACATATATACGTACTTTATGTTGAATTAACTTTCTTGTTTATTTTATAGTTATATTTTTTACTTTTATAATTTTTTATTTGCAGTGAAAATTTGTAAGTTTTGTGAATTATATTTTGCTATCTTACTAAAATGTATTATATTTAGTAACGAATGATTTTATTTTAAGATCGAAGGTATATCGAGCAACCACTGAAACAAGCACCACCGCCAATCGTGACGGTCGCCAAGTCCAGCGGTTACAGCGGCTACAGTTCCACCACTCAAGGTCAATCTTCCTACAATGCCAAACACAATTCCACGACTTCTTCCTATAAGGTACATAAACATATTTTAGATATTCTTTGCTTTTTATCATATCAAATAAATTTTATTTGTAAATCTCTTAGAGAAAAATATTATTATTATTTATTATAAAATATATAATAAATTTAAAGAGAGGTATAATTTATATATGTATGAACAATATTTAAAATGTTTTATACACAACTTAATATTATTATTTAAAAATATTACTAATACATATTTTTATACACGATAGCAGGATAGCTCCAGCGTTAAAATTAACGAATCCTCCGACAAACGGAGCGTGAAAAAGTACGGCTCGAAGCTCGACACCACCGGAAGTCCGTCTCGATCTAGGAGCTCGACAAAAGAACTCGTCTGTAAGGATACCGTTTTATCATGCAATAATTTTAATGAATAATTTAATGAATATTTAGTGTATTGTTAATTTTATTGTCGTACGAATGTTAAAGTACCCTCCGACGACTCGATGAGAACGCCGCAATTCACTCAGAAGCTAAAGAACCTCACGATAAACGACGGCGAACAGCTGGAGCTTAAGGTCAAGGTTGATGGCGACCCGGAACCACAGATCACTTGGAGTAAAGACGGCAAGGTAGACAGATCATTTTGAAATCCCATGATAAAATCTTATCATATATATTTGCCAATATAATTTATTATAGTTTATATTTTTTATTATAAATTAAATTTATGGATAAAATTATGCAAAATAATTAAAATAATATTAATTAATGCAAAATAATTAAAATAATTAAAATTAAATTTTAAAAAATGTTGAGATAATTATATGAATTAATCGCGTTAAAAATTTGCGTGGATGAAAACATTAATTCTTATTAACGATCATGTTTATCTATTATAGCTACTTAGCTCATCGGAGATCATCGATCTCAAATATAAGAACGGAGTAGCTGTTCTCACGATCAATGAGATATTCCCTGAGGATGAAGGCGAGTACACGTGTCTCGCGACCAACAGCATCGGTAGTGATACGACATCCTGCAAACTGACCGTAAAAGGTAAGGACATTTTATGTCATTGGAATTAAACAAGATGAGTGACAAACACTCTTCTATCTTCAAATTCAAATGGAGGAGATACAATGTGAAACTTATGTTGTCTTTGTTCTTTCGCAGCCGTAGCGAACGCTGCCGGGAAAAAGACGAGCGACGACAAGTCGCCGAAGATCGTGGACCACCTGACGAGCATGTACGTAAAGGATGGCGAAGCGGTGACGCTCAGCTGCCGAATAATCGGCGCTAAGAAGTTCGACGTGGTATGGCTGCACAACAACAAGGAGATCAAGCCTAGCAAAGACTTCCAGTACACTAGCGAAGCTAACATCTACAAGCTAGTCATCGCCGAAATATTCCCCGAGGACTCCGGCACTTACACGTGCGAAGCTTTCAATGACGCAGGAGAGAGCTACTCGTCGTGCACGTTAAACGTACTCGGTAAGGATTTAATCGACGATCCTCAGTTATGCAAGTATATGAAGAGTAGAGCTTTAGTATCTTCATTTTTATCAACTAAGATTATCAACATTGTCAAAAAAATACTTTTATATTTTAAAAATAAATCGTACTTGAAGAATTTAAGTTGAAAATATGATCACTAAGCTATTCCTGATGAAGCTTTCTTATAAAAGAGAGATATAGAATGAATTATAATCAAAATTAATTTTTAGCTCAAAATGAAGAGCCGAAGAGCCCAGCGTTCGCGACATTCCCGCAGTCTGCAACAGTGAGCGAAGGCGAGTCGGTGACTTTCACGTGCAAGACTGATACCGCGCCTTTGAAAGGTATAAAAATGTTTCCCAATAATATATTCAATCGTTTTACGGAGTTTAAGTATATCATATCAATTATTTCCTTTTCACTCTCCCTTCCAACGTAGCAATTAAATGCTAATAAATGCGAATTTTCCAGTGACCTGGCTGAAGGACGGCAAGGCAATCCCCGAGACTAGTAGCAGATATCACTTCAGCTCGGACGGCAACACATCTTTCGAATTTGGCATCAAGACCTGCACGGCCAGCGACGTCGGTCAATATTTGGCACGCGCGATCGGACAAAAAGGCGAAACAAATTCGGCGTTCGCCCTCAATGTAGTCAACCCCGGCGAGCTGTGAAATCGATCCTAGTACCGGGATGATTGTACATCGCGAGCTCTGACAATCGAATCGAAGAATATCTACTCCAGTATATTTTTCGCGGAGGAAACACAAGATCTGTTTTTTTTCTTTTTTTTTATTGAGGAACACCCAATCTATCCAAAGATATGCGTTTTCTTCGAGAAGAATATATCTTGTATTCTTTATGCATTCGATTCGTAAACGTTGAACCATCTCCGGTTGATCTTTTCCGGCCTCTCAACTTTCGTGTGAAGCTTAACGAAAAATTATACGAATGGAAAACGACTCGTTGCGACGATCGTTTTAAGTCTACGACGTACAAAAATAAGGGGATATCGGAAGAAGACTAATATTCATTCTCTCTGTCTCTTTCTCTTTCTCTCGCGTATATTCTGTATGTAAATTATTTTGGAACACTGTATTCTCTTCCTGTGTGTTTTGTCATAAAATGTCGCATGTGTGAATCGCTCGAATCGTCGGGACGCGGTTTTACTTTTAACGAGACGATGATCCGAATAATTTCCGCGTCTCCGCACAAGCATTACGGATAGCACGCGCAACTTATTACGCTAAAATATTCGGCTTTGCTGTATCACACGACTCGGTATACACTCGATATTCAACGGGTGCGTCGCGATGGCATAATCGAAGAAAAAAAAACGAAATAGAACCAGAAATTTTTAAGATTATTCAACTCGCCCGAACGCGGTTTTCCCGGCAAGATTCTGCCAGCATCCTCGAGAACCATCAACATTATAAATCTTATCGGGAATTCTTCGATAGGGTCGCGAGAACGACGAATATTTATTTTTACGTGATTTACTATCGCAACGTGCCCTGCTATTCCACGTTAATGGTCGTGTCATACTTGTTTGAAGACTGCTTTCCGTCTCAGAAAAAATTTACGATAAAATAAAACATATGAATTAAAATGTGTCAAACTTATTATTATATTATTCCATCATATTAATATAGATTCTAAGTATAACTTTCCTATTAATTTCACAATTATCCTCAAATTTATAATAATCTGTAATCGTCGAATATCAATGAGAAAAGAAGATTTGACATATTTTTTGATATATACAGTTTGGTAATAGACAAAACAATTAGCGTTGATAAAAACTTTGATATAAAGAGTTTCATTTCAAAAATTCATACCAAGATTCTACATACTTGAAATAAAAAATCGTTCAAAGACGAAGCAATAAAAAAATAGCTAGAAAAAATATTTGATTAAGAGTAAAATATTGACACACGATATAGATTTTTATCTCGTAAAAATATACGTGCTTGAAGAAATCGACAACGTTTCACTCATCCCCTTTTTTGTATCAATTGAATATTCCATAAGTTTTTCCCTCTTATAAATTTCAGCTAAAATTACTGTAATATTACATAACAAAAAAATAGTATGCCAAGTGGAGCCTTAAGATCGGAACACATATAGTTTAATTAAATTTCACCGTAAAATGTGTACAATTATACGATCGATATGATGTTGCAAGTGCTTTGTAACTGTATATATATTTTATTCTCATAAGCAAACAACTCTGCACTATAATCACATCTTCTAATGTGTTACGCGTACTTGTAAGATATATGTTGGATTTTTGAAAGAAATATTTTTCCTCAGTTTTGAACATTATATATGATACTAGACAACACAAGCGCGTGTTTCGCGCGCTCCTTTGCTATCATTTTTATTGTTCATTTTACAACTGTCAAATTTGTTGTTTGCTATGACTATAATTTTAATTTGCCGAATTATTATTATGTACATAATTTTAATTCCGGAATTTTTATTATGTACATAATTTTAAATCGCCAAATTTCTATTATATATACCTACATAATATTAATTGGCCGAATTTCAATTATGTACAATTCAATTATTTACATATAGAAATACTTACAATTATGCACATAATAGAAATTCAAGAATTAAAATTATGTATATAATGAAAAATGAAAAATTAAAATTATGTACGTAATTGAAATTCGGCGAATTAAAATTATGTATACTTGCTGATTATATTATTTACTATTTACGCGTGCAAAACTCCCGCGCGTAGTAACACATGAAATCGGCCGATTCTGACGTGACGTCACGACTCGCGACGTACTTCAGCCAGCGCCGCCACCGATCAGTCCGAGTTGAGCGGCGGAGGAGCAGAGTGCGTGTCGCGAATGCTCCGCGTCTCGTTTGGATTTCGTGCACGAGTAACGCGAATAAACGGGAGTGCAAGTCCGGGAGTGTCGTGTTTCAACGTGATGAACTGAATAATCTTCTGAAAGAACACCCGAGTGTCGACGGGGAGTCTCGAAGCTTCGCGAATTCGCGGAATTAGCAATAAGCTGGGTAGGAAGGAGGGGCGGGACTTATCGCTTGAGATATTGTTTTCTATTTAGACTGTATTTTGACATGTACAGTAACTCTCGTGCGGTATTTCGGCATTCGGAAGCGCGAATTCATCGAAATCAGCGATTCAAATTGTGGGAGAGTGCGGGAGACCGTTGCTTGAGATACTGTGATATCGAGATTCTCCGTGTCACAGTAAGATGGCGCACAAATGTCAATTCGCTAATGACACTTCGTTCACTTCGCGATATCACGAAATGCATTCGCGAGTGATCTTATTTTTTTCGTATCGTCCGTTTATTTCGAAGTGCATCTGTGTGTAGTGAAGTGCGATAAATAATTATTGCAAATATAAAATAATAGAAAAAACAGTGCAATGATCAGTGTCTGTGCCAAATCATATGGGATTATAGCAGAGTAGCAATGGAACATTAAAGCGGATATATTAAAGCAGAGAGATTTAGATAATCGATTCAACGCAATGTGAGTTTATTTTTTGTTTATGTTACATTGCTCGGAAAATAATGATTAACTGTTATTTATTATGTTTTTAGAAAAATAATAAAAAATTATATTGCGTTTACATATTTTCAATTTAAAAATATAAAAAAATTTTTTGACATATTCCCATCAAAATGATGTCATAATAATTACTGTGGCTATCTGGGAATATGTCAAAAAATTTTTTTATATTTTTAAATTGAAAATATGTAAACGCAATATAATTTTTTATTATTTTTCTGAAAACATAATAAATAACAGTTAATCATTTATAATTTTATTTTTAACATCAAAAATTTTGACATAAAAAATAATGTCATAATAATTACTGTGGCTATCTGGGTTAAAAATAAAATTATAAATTTATATATGTTACTATATAATATTAATGTTAGAATTGAAATTATTTTGCTAATAATGAATTTAAGAAAATATTAATAAAATAAAAAACGTAATTTTAACTAAATGTAGAAAATAAAACTAATATTAATTTGAAATAAGAAAATCGACGTTGGTAGAAATAGGCCTAAGCTGAATATATATTATGTAAAAAAAAACTTTATAATTATTTAAATGCTTAAATAAAGAGCACTAAAATTTTTTTTTTCCTGGGAGAAAATTACTGCAGTGACTTTTCTTTTTTTCAATTAACTAATATTAAAAACTAATATTGTAGGAAAAATAAAACTAACCTGAAGAAAAATAAAACTAATAATATGTCAGAGAGGAAAAATAATATTAATATTAGCAATAATAATACTAATCTGAGGAAAAAATATACTAATATTAGGAAAAATAAAATTAATATTAGGAAAAACAAAATTAATATTACGAAAAATAAAACTAATATTAGAAAAACTAATAATTAGGAAAAATGTATTTTTGGCAATTTCTAAAGTTAATACAAAATTGAGAAATGGCGCGCGCTTTCATTGTTCTAGTAATAACAAAAGATTCATGTAGAAAACTTTATTTTTTTGTTCGCATTTTCAGTAAAAGATTTAAATATTGAATTTTTATGCATTGCATAATTAATTAATATATTTTTTACGAACTATGATTGCAATAATTTTTGTATGCATGCCTCGCGCGCGCGCAATTTAGAATATAACTTATCGCTTTGCGTGCGTAATTATATTCGGTTAGAATAAACGAAATGATATATATATCTATATATACTATATTTTAGTATTTATAAGAAATTTGTACCCTATGGCGAAAATATTGTACCCCGACAAACGAACCTCCAACAAAGAAACTCCGAAATTCGTCGAATTTCTATTATGTTCATAATTTTGATTAAAAAATTTTTTTTAATATATACAACGCATATGTTATTTAATACTAACAATGAGAGCTTTAATCAATCATTAAAATTCAAAAAATTATGTGTGTAGATGCTAGTACTAAATATTTATTTAAAAAATATTGTGCATTAGAGATATTCAAATTAACATAAATAAAAATAAAATTATATTTGTATTATGCTTTATTTTTTGTATTTAAAGTACAAGTTATGCGCACATTATTAAATTTCAATATTGTAAGGGTATAATGCGTAATAATATCTTAAATAATTTTTTCTATATTTTTTTATTTGCATGAAAAATGCAAAATTTTGCACTCGTATTATACACTAAAAATAGAAAATAGTTTTAATTTTTGTAATATATATGAAAAATATATAAACAGTAATAATTCTTTATTAAAGAACTATACACTTACCGTACTATTAGTTAATTCAAACTATTATAATCTTATCGCGTAGAATATATGACTGTAAAATAAGATATTGAGGCCTTCGCTAGCTGCAATCAAATATATCCTACTTATTAACTTATAATTTTGATATCCTATCTTTTAGACATATGTATATATATTTTACTATCTTCCTATACCGTAGCAAAACCCTCTATAGATGCATTATATATTCTACCGATGTTCACAGAAAAGGTTTTCATGCTTCTTTGTAACAGAAACAGTATTATTTTCTGTACACATACAGGAGTTAAATACCATCGAATATTATACCTAGAAAAAATTTACGAATTTTTCGATAAAATTTCTTAGATGTATTGAGGTTCTTAATCAGTAAACTTTAACATCTATACTTGTATAGAAATACTGATCCCAATATTTAAAACAACAATGGGAATCTTCATACATAACTGTTTTGTAGATATGTTTCTCTTACGCGGTAACAAATACTTGATGATTGTGATCCATTACAATTTGAGCAAAATAATTGGATAGAAACATATACACAAAAAAGATAGTCGTATTAATAAAAGATATTGAGATTTCATGAAGATTCTCTTTGGATGATGCAATCTGAAAAATTTAAGACAAACCTAAAATGTTTCGCAATAATAAAACAACAAAAGAGTAACTGTCTTGAACATAAGAATATTTTAATTAACTGCTGAATATGTGATTCTAGCTCTCAAATTATTATATATTACAATTCTCACAATTTTGAAAAATTTTCAGTTAAAATTGTAAAAAATATTTTATTTATTTTTATTTATTTCTAATTTTAATTTAATGTACTTTACTGCGTTATAATTCGTGTATGACTTGTTGGAGAGTTGTCTTGCAGTCAAATTAAATATCAGAACTTTCCATCTTTAAAAGGAATTTGTTATGTTGATTATTATGGTTTATTTATTGTGTTGAATAATTCGATATTCATGTATAAATACAAGATTTATAATGAAAAAATTGTGAATTAGGATTTAACAATGTATTAAATATTTTTTGAGATTTTTTTCAAATTTAAGAATTTGCAGGGTTGCTAAAGACGAGTTTTAATATTTAATATATTTAATATTTTTATTTGTGAATCTTATTAACCACAATTTTAACAAAATAAATTTCACTTAAAAAATTAAAAATTCTCACATCATATTTAACTTTGATTGAAACAAAACTTTTCCAATGTATCATGTACCAGAATTATAATGCGCGTAATTTAAGAAATACAGTACATTAAAATAGTATATAATAATATATAATAAGAAACTTTATGTAACTTTATTGGAAATTTTTTTCGAAATTGCCACATGATAAAAATTTGGAGGTCGAAATTGTAAAAGAAAACTACGGAACGAATACTCTGATTCTTATGTTTTTTTAATTGAATTATAATTATGTAATCAATTTTTTATGCGATTTAACTGTACATCAAATGTGAATATAACAAATAGCAAGATTATTTTTTTTTATTTTGTTACTTGGAGTTACTATAGATTTTATTTAAAAATACAGATAATTTTTATGCAGTGTTAATTAATCATAAATATCGATTTAATATTATAATTCTCTTTTAGAATGAAAAAAATACGAAATTTGTTTAAAAATTAAATTAAGATCCTCACGAAACTTAATAGAAGAGTAACATAATTACACATAATAATGAAACAACCGTATATTCTTGTATATCTTTGGGAAACCATGAAGCGCTTGTTCAAAAGTAGATTTAATTAAAATCTAAAACTTACTCGAAACAGATTGAAACTGATGGTGAGTACTCCAAATATTATTAAAAAGAAAAACATTATTTCACAATTGGATTGGAAGAGTGTGGACAATCTTTAAAAATAGAAATGTGTAATTATATGTACCATATATAGAATAAAAAAGCTCGCATATTATGGAGTGTACAAACTTCATAGCTTGTCGATGAATGTCTATAGCACAAATTAAACCCTTGCATATCAAAATATTTTTTCTGAAATTAACATTTTGTAGCATATTGATACTCATTGCACATTCGAGACGATAACTATAAATAACGTTTATGTATAGTAATTGCAGATTAGATTAACGTACTAATTTATATATGTATGTGTAATAATTAATAGTATATTAAGAAAAAAAGATATTAAATACTTTTATGATTAAATTTAATCTGTTTTGCTTAAATATTCGTTTGAAAATTTTACATTATCCGAATCTTTATAGTCGTTGTCACGTTCACGTTTATACCTGGCAATTTTAAACATTCCACAAGTAAATTGGAGATATGTAAGCATTATTGTTCCTATCGCTACCATTGAAATCATAGCGATGCAAAATGATGCAATGTAGTGTAGCAATATTAAATAAAAATACTTCTCTTGATTGATGAAATATTCCACGATTAGCACGTGTTGTGAGCGAGTGAAGTTTGTCCGTAAAATAATGTTAAAAATATCCGGTAAAAATGGTAATAAAATAAAACTCAACACGACGAAAGTGATAAGTGCTGCAAAAAATATTAATTGATAAAAAAGATAATTATAATTTAAATTTCTGCCATATATATTTTTTACATTGATTAACACTTCATTATCTCACACTTAAACGTATCTTTACTACACAATTTAAACTTTAATTTTTTTCACTTGTGATTGATTTTTACTGTGCAATTAAGTTACTTTGTCATTTTATTCGAAGTTATTTGAAAATATTTGTTATTTGTTGCTTATTATGTAAAAAAAGAAATTGTAATCCTTTATCGAAATTAATGTTTTGAAGTGAATTTTGAGAGCTCTTGCAAACTAAAAAGGATCTGTGACCGTAGGCGAAAAAATGATCTTACTTGTAAGTAAAATAGTATAACGTTTGGCAATATATCTATATTCGTCAATAATAGCAATTTCATTTGCATTTTTTAATTTATTACATGCATGGAACAGTTGTTCGAACATATCCTTCATCTTTCAATATTTTATATCATGTTTATATATGGGCATAAAAAATAACAAGGTTAAAAAAAATTGTTTAACAATTTTACAAGACAATATTTACCATATCTGACGAATAAGCTGTCAACTTACAGCTTTAATCTTAAAAGAAAATAAGTTGTATTTTGTTATACAGAAAACAAAGGGAAATACAGAAGATAGAACTTTGATGACGAGATCTAGAGTACATTTGTGTGAGGCAAATACTGTACACTGTAAATAATAATTTTACTTACAAATTTGAATTGAAAATTTATATTCTTTTATATTCAAACACACACGCATAGACACATATACACGGATATAAACACGAACACGGACACAAATAATATATTTCGTATACTTATTGTAAACTGATAATTTATGACTGAATTCTATTTATAATAAAAATATTTAATGAATTAGATATTTATACACAGAATTTATATACATATATATATTCAGTCATAAATTATCAATATATATATATATATATATATATATAATAATTAAACTATAAACAGAGCTATGATTATGTATACAATTGATATATTTGACATATATATAATGATTCATGCTAAACTAAATTGTGATTTTAAAATTTTAGATGAAACACTGCTTTTTCTAGTAACTCTCTCTTATTATAATAATATTATTATAATTATTATTAGAGCTTACCTGAAATATAATATTTGTCGCCAAAATACTGGACAGACAAATAAATTGAAATCGAATAAGGTGTGATTGTCGATAGGGCCAAACGCCAAAAATGAGCAAAAGAATTTTATTCATTGTCAAATCAAAATACTTATGGTTCGAGTTCTTGAAGCTCATCTCTTTGCGAGATATAACATGCGTATGACTGAAGTAACTGACAAGAGAACTTTTATCCCCTCCATTTTCCTTCGAACTATCAACTATTATTTATTTTTCTCCTCTGGTCTAAATTTCATAAATTACTTAATTTTGTATAAGAAATTATTTAATTTCATATAACACCAAGCGACACAAAATTCTAGAAAAAATTCGCATTTTCTCAGTAATGTTTCTATACAATCCCTAATTACGCGATCGATTTGATAGCGCGACGAAATTGAGCGCATGTCTTTTTCTCATCGGAAAAAAGGGGAAAATATTTGTTGAGAGAGAATATTTCACGCGACAGTTGCGCACGCGTAATCGCCACTTTTTTTCACACCACAATTTTGCACCTTTCATTTCATTACGCGCGTTCATGATATAAGTTTGCTCTTCGACAGGAGTGCCGTTTAGCCTTTGAGCATTTTGGTATCGAGCCTATGGTAAAACTTATGTAATTTTTTAAGCTGAATTGATCAAATCTGAGGATATTTTTAAATTACAAATTAACGATGATTAATATTTAAATATATACATATATTTCTCATCAAGTTTATTGCTCTACTAATACTATTCTTTTCAAATATATTTTTATTTTTTAACTTTTTTAATTTTACAGTGTACATATTAATTATATAAAAGAACCGAAGAAAACTAAAGAAATCATATATAAAAGATTGATAATTATATATATATATTATAGAGAATTTATTATTTTTTTATTTCATTAATAGTGTATTTTATTTATAATTTCGATAAAATATGTATGGTGTTCTTGAAATGTATATAATTCGTTTTATATACATAATGATATTTATATTTAATTTAAATATTAAATTATACTAGATCTCGAGATGACCAGACATCATATCTTAATTGTTATCAACTGAAAGTTATCAAAGATGGACCTGGGAACTGAATACTGGATACCTTGTGATCGTTTCACCGAGCCAAGTAAGTAATCGCTCGATTGCAATATATTTATTAAAATCAAAATTATGGTATCACGATATAAATAATCTCTTAAAATATGCGTAACTGAAAAAATAATATCTCAAAAATATGCGTGTGTGTAAAAATCGACAATGTTGCGCTCGTCTCCTCTGTTTGCATTAATCGATTAAATATTGCACTATAATCATTAGTTCTTTCATCGTATAAATTTCAGTTAAAATTATGTAGTATTACATAATTTTAACTGAAATTTATACGATGAAAGAACTAGTGACTATAGTGCAATATTTAATCGATTAATGCAAACAGAGGAGACGAGCGCAACATTGTCGATTTTTACACACACGCATATTTTTGAGATATTATTTTTTCAGTTACGCATATTTTAAGAGATTATTTATATCGTGATACCATAATTTTGATTTTAATAAATAAATTATATTAATAAACAAATTATGTAGTATTACATAATTTTATGTAATACTACATAACCTTCAACAAAGAAACTCCAAAATTCGTCGAATTTCTATTATGTTCATAATTTTGATTAAAAATTTTTTTTTAATATATACAACGCGTATGTTATTTAATACTAACAATGAGAGCTTTAATCAATCATTAAAATTTAAAAAATTATGTGTGTAGATGCTAGTACTAAATATTTATTTAAAAATATTGTACATTAAGAGATATTCAAATTAAAATAAATAAAAATAAAATTATATTTGTATTATACTTTATTTTTTATATTTAAAGTACAAGTTGTGCGCACATTATTAAATTTCAATATTGTAAGGGTATAATGCGTAATTATATCTTGAATAATTTTTTTTATATTTTTTTATTTGCATGGAAAATGCAAAATTCTACACTTTCGTATTATACACTAAAAATAGAAAATAGTTTTAATTTTTGTAATATATATGAAAAATATATAAACAGTAATATTTCTTTATTAAAGAACTATACACTAACCGTACTATTAGTCAATTCAAACTATTATAATCTTATCATCGCGTAGAATATATGACTGTAAAATAAGATACTGAGGCCTTCGCTAGCTGCAATCAAATATATACTACTTATTAACTTATAATTTTGATATCCTATCTTTTAGACATATGTATATATATTTTACTATCTTCCTATACCGTAGCAAAACCCTCTATAGATCCATCATATAATCCACCGATGTTCACAGAAAAGGTTTTCATGCCTCTTTGTAACAGAAACAGTATTATTTTCTGTACACATACAGGAGCTAAATACCATCGAATATTATACCTAGAAAAAATTTACGAATTTCTCGATAAAATTTCTTAGATGTATTGCGGTTCTTAATTAGTAAACTTTAACATCTATACTTGTATAGAAATACTGATCCCAATATTTAAAGCAACAATGGGAATCTTCATACATAACTGTTTTGTAGATATGTTTCTCTTACGCGGTAACAAATACTTGATGACTGTGATCTATTATAATTTGACCGCAATAATTGGATAGAAACATATACACAAAAAAGACAGCTGTATTAATAAAAGATATTGAGATTTCCTCAAGATTCTCTTTGGATGATGCAATCTGAAAAATTTAAGACAAACCTAAAATGTTTCGCAATAATAAAACAACAAAAGAGTAACTGTCTTGAACATAAGAATATTTTATTTAACTGCTGAATATGATTCTAGCTCTCAAATTATTATATATTACAATTCTCACAATTTTGAAAAATTTTCAGTTAAAATTGTAAAAATATTTTATTTATTTTTATTTATTTCTAATTTTAATTTAATGTACTTTACTGCGTTATAATTCGTGTATGACTTGTTGGAGAGTTGTCTTGCAGTCAAATTAAATATCAGAACTTTCCATCTTTAAAAGGAATTTGTTATGTTGATTATTATGTTTTATTTATTGTGTTGAATAATTTGATATTCATGATTAAATACAAGATTTATAGTGAGAAAATTGTAAATTAGGATTTAACAATGTATTAAATATTTTTTGATATTTTTTTTTAAATTTAAGAGTTTTGCAGGGTTGCTAAAGACGAGTTTTAATATTTAATATATTTAATATTTTTATTTGTGAATCTTATTAACCACAATTTTAACAAAATAAGTTTCACTTAAAAAATTAAAAATTCTCACATCATATTTAACTTTGATTGAAACAAAACTTTTCCAATGTATCATGTACCAGAATTATAATGCGCGTAATTTAAGAAATACAGTACATTAAAATAGTATATAATAATATATAATAAGAAACTTTATGTAACTTTATTGGAAATTTTTTTCGAAATTGCCACATGATAAAAATTTGGAGGTCGAAATTGTAAAAGAAAACTACGGAACGAATACTCTGATTCTTATGTTTTTTTAATTGAATTATAATTATGTAATCAATTTTTTATGCGATTTAACTGTACGTCAAATGTGAATATAACAAATAGCAAGATTATTTTTTTTTATTTTGTTACTTGGAGTTACTATAGATTTTATTTAAAAATACAGATAATTTTTTTGGAGTGTTAATTAAACATAAATATCGATTTAATATAATAATTCTCTTTTAGAATGAAAAAAATACGAGATTTGTTTGAAAATTAAATTAAGATCCTCACGATACTTAATAGAAGAGTAACATAATCACACATAATAATGAAACAACCGTATATTCTTGTATATCTTTGGGAAACCATGAAGCGCTTGTTCAAAAGTAGATTTAATTAAAATCTAAAACTTACACGAAACAGATTGAAACTAATGGTGAGTACTCCAAATATTATTAAAAAGAAAAGCATTATTTCACAATTGGATTGGAAGATTGTGGACAATCTTTAAAAATAGAAATATGTAATTATATATATATATATATATATATATATATATAGAATAAAAAAGCTCGCATATTATGGAGTGTACAAACTTCATAGCTTGTCGATGAATGTCCACAGCACAAATTAAACCCTTGCATATCAAAATATTTTTTCTGAAATTAACATTTTGTAGCATATTGATACTCATTGCACATTCGAGACGATAACTATAAATAACGTTTATGTATAGTAATTGCAAATTAGATTAATGTACTAATTTATATATGTATGTGTAATAATTAATAGTATATTAAGAAAAAAAGATATTAAATATTTTTATGATTAAATTTAATCTGTTTTGCTTATAAATATTCGTTTGAAAATTTTACATTATCCGAATCTTTATAGTCGTTGTCACGTTCACGTTTATACCTGGCAATTTTAAACATTCCACAAGTAAGTTGGAGATATGTAAGCAATATTGTTCCTATCGCTACCATTGAAATCAGAGCGATGCAAAATGATGCAATGTAGTGTAGCAATATTAAATAAAAATACTTCTCTTGATTGATGAAATATTCCACGATTAACAGGTTTTGTGAGCGAGTCAAGTTTGTCCGTAAAATAGTGTTAAAAATATCCGGTAAAAATGGTAATAAAATAAAAACCAACATGCTTAAAGTGGAAAGTGCTGCAAAAAATATTAATTAATAAAAAAGATAATTATAATTTAAATTTCTGCCATATATATTTTTTACATTGATTAATACTTTATTATCTCACACTTAAACGTATCTTTACTACACAATTTAAACTTTAATTTTTTTTATTTGTGATTGATTTTTATTGTGCAATTAAGTTACTTTGTCATTTTATTCGAAGTTATTTGAAAATATTTGTTATTTATTGCTTATTATGTAAAAAAAGAAATTGTAATCCTTTATCGAAATTAATGTTTTGAAGTGAATTTTGAGAGCTCTTGCATACTAAAAAGGATCTGTGACCGTAGGCGAAAAAATGATCTTACTTGTAAGTATAATAGTATAACGTTTGGCAAAATATCCATATTCGTCAATAATAGCAATTTCATTTGCATTTTTTAATTTATTACATGCATGGAACAGTTGTTCGAACATATCTTTCATCTTTCAATATTTTATATCGAGTTTATATATGGGCATAAAAAATAACAAGGTTAAAAAAGATTGTTTAACAATTTTACAAGAAAATATTTACCATATCTGACGAATAAGCTGTCAACTTACAGCTTTAAGCTTAAAAGAAAATAAGTTGTATTTTGTTATACAGAAAACAAAGGGAAATACAGAAGATAGAACTTTGATGACGAGATCTAGAGTACATTTGTGTGAGGCAAATACTGTACACTGTAAATAATAATTTTACTTACAAATTTGAATTGAAAACTTATATTCTTTTATATTCAAACACACACGCATAGACACATATACACGGATATAAACACGAACACGGACACAAATAATATATTTCGTATACTTATTGTAAACTGATAATTTATGACTGAATTCTATTTATAATAAAAATATTTAATGAATTAGATATTTATACACAGAATTTATATACATATATATATTCAGTCATAAATTATCAATATATATATATATATATATATATATATAATAATTAAACTATAAACAGAGCTATGATTATGTATACAATTGATATATTTGACATATATATAATGATTCATGCTAAACTAAATTGTGATTTTAAAATTTTAGATGAAACACTGCTTTTTCTAGTAACTCTCTCTTATTATAATAATATTATTATAATTATTATTAGAGCTTACCTGAAATATAATATTTGTCGCCAAAATACTGGACAGACAAATAAATTGAAATCGAATAAGGTGTGATTGTCGATAGGGCCAAATGCCAAGAATGAGCAAAAGAATTTTATTCATTGTCAAATCAAAATACTTATGGTTCGAGTTCTTGAAGCTCATCTCTTTGCGAGATATAACATGCGTATGACTGAAGTACCTGACAAGAGAACTTTTATCCCCTCCATTTTCCTTTGAACTATCAACTATTATTTATTTTTCTCTTCTGGTCTAAATTTCATAAATTACTTAATTTTGTATAAGAAATTATTTAATTTCATATAACACCCCAAGCAACACAAAATTCTAGAGAAAATTCGCATTTTCTCAGTAATGTTTCTATACAATCCCTAATTACGCGATCGATTTGATAGCGCGACGAAATTGAGCGCATGTCTTTTTCCCATCGGAAAAAAGGGGAAAATATTTGTTGAGAGAGAATATTTCACGCGACAGTTGCGCACGCGTAATCGCCACTTTTTTTCACACCACAATTTTGCACCTTTCATTTCATTACGCGCGTTCATGATATAAGTTTGCTCTTCGACAGGAGTGCCGTTTAGCCTTTGAGCATTTTGGTATCGAGCCTATGGTAAAACTTATGTAATTTTTTAAGCTGAATTGATCAAATCTGAGGATATTTTTAAATTACAAATTAACGATGATTAATATTTAAATATATACATATATTTCTCATCAAGTTTATTGCTCTACTAATACTATTCTTTTCAAATATATTTTTATTTTTTAACTTTTTTAATTTTACAGTGTACATATTAATTATATAAAAGAACCGAAGAAAACTAAAGAAATCATATATAAAAGATTGATAATTATATATATATATATATAGAGAATTTATTATTTTTTTATTTCATTAATAGTGTATTTTATTTATAATTTCGATAAAATATGTATGGTGTTCTTGAAATGTATATAATTCGTTTTATATACATAATGATATTTATATTTAATTTAAATATTAAATTATACTAGATCTCGAGATGACCAGACATCATATCTTAATTGTTATCAACTGAAAGTTATCAAAGATGGACCTGGGAACTGAATACTGGATACCTTGTGATCGTTTCACCGAGCCAAGTAAGTAATCGCTCGATTGCAATATATTTATTAAAATCAAAATTATGGTATCACGATATAAATAATCTCTTAAAATATGCGTAACTGAAAAAATATCTCAAAAAATATGCGTGTGTGTAAAAATCGACAATGTTGCGCTCGTCTCCTCTGTTTGCATTAATCGATTAAATATTGCACTATAGTCATTAGTTCTTTCATCGTATAAATTTCAGTTAAAATTATGTAGTATTACATAACATAATTTTATAAAACAAATTGATTGGATCGATGCGCTTTTTAAAAAAATAGATAATTTTGATACAAAAATTTCGTTGCCGTTATACTAAAATCTTACTCTACTAAACATTATTGTTACGTTATTTATCATTATTAATTAATCTTTTTTTGAAATTTTTGTATAACACATGTGTCATTTATTATTGATAGTTTTAATAAATTATTAAAATTTTAAAAATGTTATGTATGTGTGGATATTAGCACTAAATATTTATTTATATTATATTACTGAAGAATATTGTATATTGAAGATATTGAAACTGAAGCCAATGTAAAATATAATTATATTTATTATATTTCATTTTTTTATATTTGAAGTAAACATAGGTATTGTGTGCACGTTATTCAATTTTAATATCTACATTGTAAAGATATAACGCGCAATAATATTTTGAATAATTTTTCCTGTATTTTTCTTTTATTTGCGTAGGAAATGCAAAACTATATACTCTCGCGTCATAAATATATTTCTAAAATTAGAAGTTTTTTATTTTTCTAATATATGAAAAATATATAAACAGTATTTCTTTATTAAAAAAATTTACACTTACCGCGCTATTTATCAACTCAAACTATTATAATCTCGTCATTGTACAGAATGCATGAGTGTAAAATAAGATACTGAGGTCTTGATTATCTACAATGAAAGATATCCTGCTGTCTATTAACTTATAATATATACATATGCTACCATTTAGGTATATATTACATATTTTATTTTATACCATAGCAAAGCCCTCTATAGATCCAACGTATACTCCACCGCAGGTCACGTAAAAGGTTTTCGAAGTTTTTTGTAACAGAAATAGTATTAGTTTCTGTATACTTATAGGAGCTCGATACCATGGAATTTTATACCTAGAAAAAGAAAAATAAATCTCTCGACGAAATTTCTTCGATGCATTACGGTTCTTAATCGTAATTAAACTCTAGCATGTACTTATTATATAAAAATATTGATCCCAATATTTAATGTAACATATGAATCTTCATACATAACTCTGTTTTGTAGATATGTTTCTTACGCGGTAACAAATAATTGATGATTTAGATCTGTTACAAGTTGAGCGCTATAGTTGGATAGAAACGCATATACCAGAATGAAAAAAGTATGAATAAAGGATATTAAGAATTCCTTGATATCGTTTCCGCTTGACATCATCTGAAAAATTTAAGAGAAATCTAAAATGATTTGCGATAATAAGTTAACAAAAGAATAATTTTTCTGAAAGGAAAATCATCAATTTTCATATATAATGTTTTAAATATGTGCTGAATATGATTCTAACTCTAAAATTATTATATTACAATTACGTCACAATTTCAAAAAGATTGCAATTAAAATTGTAAAACGTATTTTATTTCTTTTTAATTTTTATTTATTTCTATATATTTAATTTATTTTAATTTAATGTATTTTACTGTATTATAATTCATATGTGACTTGTTGGAGTGGTTTTCTTGCAATCAAATTAAGTATGTTATTAGATCTTTTAATCTTTAAAAGGAATATATTATGTTGATTATGATTTATTTATTGTATTGAATAATTCATTATTTATGATTAAATATAAGATTTATTGTAAGGAAATTGTGAATTAAGATTTGACAATACCTATATCAAATATTTTTTCATATTATTTTCCAAGCTCATTAAAAACAAACTTTAACATTTAATATTTTTAATATTTTTATTTAGGAATCTTATTAACCATAATCAACATAATAAATATTTTTAAAAAAAATTTAAGTTCTGACAACATATTTAACTGTGATTGAAACAAAATTACTTCCACATGTCATATACCTGAGTTACAATGCGTGTGATTTAAGAAATACAGTTTAGAAATCAAAATCACAGAAAATTATGGAATGATTATTTCTTTTCTTACGTTTATTTTTTTTTAATTGAATTATGTAATCAATCTCTTATGCGATATATTTTAATTATGTGTACATCAAATGTGATTATAACAAACAGCAAGATTCTTTTTTTTTATTTTGTTACTTGAACTGTTATTTTGTTACTGTAGATTTTATTTAAAAATAAAAACTGAAAATTTTTATCTAGTGTTAATTAAATATAAATATTAATTAATATTATATTCTTTTTTAGAATATATAAAAATACGAGATTTGTTTGAAAATTAAATTAGGATTCTCACGATACTTAATAGAAGAGTACTATTATATAATAACGAAACAACTGTATCTTCTTTTACATCTTAGAGAAAACATCAATCGCTTGTTCAAGAGATTGATTTCACAATTAAATAAAAAAACTTACTCGAAACATATTGAAACTCATGGTGAGTGTTCCAAATATTATTAGAAAGAATACCATTACTGTACAATTAGATTCCCAGAGTAAGCAAAATCTTTAAAAATAAAAGCATTATATGTAGATATAAATAAAGCTAGCATATTATCGATAATGTATACAAACTTCATAGCTTGCCGATGCGTGTGCACAGCACAAATTAAACTCTTGCATATAAAAATATTTTTTCTGAGATTAATATTTTGTAGCACATGGACGCTCATTGCGCGTTCAATGCGATAACTATAAATAATGTTTATATAGTAATTATAGATTAATCTACGAATTTATACATTTTATATAATAATTAAATAGATTGTTAACAAGAAAAATATGAAATACTTTTATGCTTAAATTTAACCTGTTTTGTTTAAATATTTATTTGAAAATTATAAATTCTCCCAATCTTTATAGCCGTTGTGTTCTATACCTGGCAATTTGAAAGACTCCACAAATAAATTGGAAATATGAATAGAACAATAATCCTATCGCTGTTATTATAGTCATAGCGAGGAAAACTGCTACAAGGGAGTGTAGCATTATTACATAAAAATACTTCTCTTGATTGATAAAATATTCCACGATTAGTACGTTTGGTGAGTAAGATAAATTTGTCCGTAAAATAAAGTTAAAAATTTTTGGACAAAATGGCGCAATTGTAAAACCGAACATGCCTAAAGCGCCACATGCTGCAAAAATATTAATTAATAAAAAAGAGAATTATAAGTTAAATTTCTATATATTTTTAAATTGATTGACACTTTATTATCTCATACTTATACTTATGTTTATTATAATTTAAATTTTAATATTTCTTTCCACTTGTGATCGATTTTTATTGTGCAATTAATTACTATAATACTTTCTATCATTTTATTCGAAATTATTAATTAGAAAATATTTGTTACTTGTTGATTATAATGTACGCAAAGAAATTGCAAATGTTTATCGAAATCGATTTTTACAGTGAAATCTTGACAGTTTTTACGTATTAAAAAGAAACTGTGACTGTACTCGACAAAAATTAACTTACATGTAATGAAAATGGCAATACGTTTGCCATTATACCCATATTCGTCTATAATAGCAATTTCATTTGCGTCTTTTAACTTATTACATTCGTCGAATAGTTCTTGGAACATATCCTTCATCTTTCAATATTTTATGTTGTTTTTATATGGACAAAAAAAATAATAAGGTCATAGAAGATTGCAATTTTGCAAGAAAATGTTTATCGTAAGAAGCTATCAACTTACAACGTCAAGATTAAGAGAAAACAAGTTGTATTTTGTTAAAGAGAAAAGAAAGAAACATACGGAAGATAGAACTTTGATGATGAGCTCAGGAGTACATTTTTGTGAGATAAACACTGTACACTGTAAATAATAATTATATATATATATATATATATATAAAATTAACTATAAACATAGCTAAGATTAACATACAATTATAATATATTTTGCATAATTAACAATTTCATGTTAATCCAAATGGCTATTTTTAAATTTTAGTGTAATTCTAAATATTATAATGATATTATTATATATATAAATTACTATCAGAACTTACCTGAAATATAACACTCGCAGTCACAATACTGGATAGACAAATAAATTGAAATCGAATAAGTTTTGATTGTTGATAGGGCCACAGGCCAATAGCGACCATAAGAGTTCTAGTTATTGTTAGATTCAAATACATACTTTTAATCTTGAGACTCATCTCTTTGCGAGATCTAACATATGACTGAAGTACCTGACAAGAGTGAAGCTTATCCTCTCCATTTTCCTTCGATCTATCAACTATTATTTATTTTTCTCATTTGGTGTAAATGTCACAACTTACTTCAATTCGTGTAAAAAATTATTTAATTGCATATAATACAAAGCGACACAAAATTCAAGAGAAAATTCGCATTTTTTTCAACAATGTTTCTATACAGTCCCTAATTACACGATCGATTTAATAGCGCGACGAAATTGAGCGTGTGTCTTTTTCCCCATTAGAAAAAAGGGGAAAATATTTGTTGAGAGAGAATATTTCACGCGAAAGTCACGCATGCGTAATCGCCACTTTTTTTCACACCACAATTTCTCACCCTTCATTTCATTACGAGCATTCATGGCATACGTTTGCTTCTTGAGAGAAATATCGTTCAGCCTTTGAGCATATGTTAGTATTGAGCCTATGTAAAACTTATGTTATTTTTCAAGTTAAATTGATTAGATTTGAAGATATTTTTATTCTAAATTGACTATTATAAATATTTAAATGTACTAAAAGTTTTACTATTTCTCATCAAAATATTCTGATATTATTTCTTTTAAATATATTTTTATTTTTTAATTTACGGTGTTTAATATATATATATATATATATATATATATATATATATAAAATAAAATAATTGAAGCTACGATCATATAAAATATTGTTAAATATATATTATAAAGCGTTTATTTTATTTTATTAGTAGAATATTTCATTTATAATTTGAATAAAATATGTATAATGTTCCTAAAATGTATATAATTTAATTTATATACATAATAATATTTATAACGTTAAATCTTAAATTATTTATTATTGATCTTAAGATAATAGGCATCGTATCTTAATTGTTATCAACTGAAAGTCATCATAATTATAAAAGTCTTTTATATTCTAATCTAATAAATAATCCTAGGAAAAATTAAGTTCGAAATTATAATCACTAAGCAACTATATCTAAGATGAAGTTTTCGTATAAAAGAGAGGTAGAATGATCTATCATTAATATCAATTTTCAACTCGAATTGTAGGGCCGAAAAGTCCAGCATCTGCGACATTCCCGCAGTCTGCAACAGTGAGCGAAGGCGAGTCTGTGACTTTCACATACAGGACTGATATCGCGCCTTTGAAAGGTATCAAATTCTTTCCCAGTAATTTATTCAATCGTTTTACGGAGTTTAAGTATATCATATCAATTATTTTCTTTTCACTCTCCCTTCTGATGTAACAATTAAAGACTAGTGCAAATTTTTCAGTGACAGTGCTGAAGGACAACAAAGCAGTTCCCGAAACTAGCAGCAGATATCACTTTAACTTGAACGACAATACGTCTTTCGAATTCGTCATCGAGACCTGCACAGCCAATGACGTCGTGCGATCAAACAAAAGGAACGAAACAAATTCAACGACGTCAGCCATGGCAACTGTGAAAACGATCCTAGTACCGGAGTTAATAATTATATCTGTGTAATCGTTGGATGTCAGAAAAAAAGATACGACGGTTTTCAATATATATAGTTTGGTAGCAGATAAAACAATTAGCGTTTGATAAAAACTTTAATATAAAAGTTTAATTCATATAAGTCAGTAATAAAAAAAGTTTTCATGTTATACAATATAACAATTCGTAAAAGTAGAAGACGTTGCTATGTAAAGCCAAGTTAATTTTTTCAAAAAATACGCAGATCATAATGAGCTTTTTGTTTTCGAAGATTTTTACAATGTTTTCGTTACATTTTTCTTAAATATTCACTTCTTGTAACTTTATTTCTATTTATGTATGTTTCTATATTTAATCACTGAAGATTTAATTCATGAAAAGTTATATGTGTCAAGTTGTACAATTCAATTTTGTCGCCGATTGATCGTGCAAATTTGCTGGATGCATCAAATTAAAAAAGAAAGTATGTGAGTGGGCAAAAAGAGAACTAAACTTATTTGGATTTTGTAAAGATATACTATTCCACTGTAACTTTTGATTTCCTTTCAAACGTATTAGCATGCATTTCTGCTTTGTCAAACATATTAGCATATTGTTCTCGTCTAAATTATTGCACGACAGTATAAAGTAAAAGTGTATATTACAATCGTCTTTCTCAATCGTTCCAAAATTTTCAGCAGTTATTTTTTGAAGTATTTTGCGATTATGTTCTAAATTTTCGTATATATCTGCATCTATCACTACAATTGTCTGTAAATTTAGTTTGTCCTGCCTGTTATTATCTGTAAAGCATAGCAATATATGTATAAATTTTAAGTCCATTTACACACACATCTCCACATAGTGCATAAATTATAATACTATATTCACCGATACAACATGAAGCAGCCTTAAACTTCATTACTGATGTAGTCATGTGTAAGTCACATATGTTTAATGAAAGTTGATTTGTTTTTACTATGATCCATTCATTCAACTCAGAATTATATATATACATAATAGGTGACTTAAAACGATCAAATACGATCAGTTTTTTATCAAGAACATAATGATCGGGAACAGTTACAAACTCCATGGGTATGTCCTCACCTTTTATCCATATGCCTGTGAATTGTTGAAATAGAAGAAAGTAATAAAAAAATATGAATTAATAATAAAACAAAATAAATATAGTAGTTTTCATATTAATATAACAAACTAATTTCAAATAGGAATTACAACTACAAAGATACTTCTACATAGTCTATATCTTTACAATTTGAATGAGATTATTTGGGGGAACTGATTTTCTCTGTGCTCCCTAATTAAAATCACCTTTATGGAGATTGTAGATATCAAGAGATCGCAGTTTTCGTCGATAATGTCCTACACCACCTGCTAGGATTAATGTATTCTGCACAATTGCAGCAATCATATGTCTTCTTGCACATGGCATACTAAAATAAGATTTAAATTTGCAGAGAAAACGCTACTCTATAATGATTATTGCTATTATTTTTAATTTACTTAAAATACCTACGTGACCTCAAAAAACCAATTTTTAGATATCAAAGAGTAACGCCATATGTTTGTGTTAAATCTCCCTGAACCAATACCAAATTCTCCACCAATAAGATATAAATTGTATCCTAAGAGATCATGTAAAATAGTAAGTTAATATAGTATTAAAGAAAAAAAAAACAAAAAAAATTGCATACCTCTAACAGAAATCTGCATTCCCATTATTGTATTCTTATTATCCGTAATAGCATTTGGATATTTAAATGTAGTAAATTCAGAAAGATTGTTATTATCCCAACAATGAATATAAAATTCATCATTAACAGTAGAAGAAAAAATATCACAGGATATAATACTCAGAAAAATTTTTGGTCCGGTCTTCTTTAAAATATCCAGTGGAATTATATCCTTTCAAAATACAAATTTTTAATCTATTGAATTACAATATATTAACATATAATAAAATGTAATAGTATACATGTCAAGAAAACAAAATAGATATCAAAGATTGATATCATGAAATATGTGATTAATCTTATGTTATGCATTTTGGACACTGAAGAAGAAAGGAAGTTTACAATTTTTTTTCCATTTACTTTCTCAAAAAAATTGTACTGTTCTAATATTAAGATTATTGTCACACACACATATATATATATATAAAACTCACCTGATTAACTTTCATCCATTCTTGCACAATATTGAGCAAATAAGATTCTGGGTCATTTACATTTGCAACTCTTAGATTAGCATTTCCAATTAATTTCAGAAAATTTTGCCTCGATAACTTAATGATCAAATTTAATGGCAGTTCAGTGAAACGATCTAAGCAAATAGCCAAACAAAGATCACGTAATAGATGAAGCCCTAATTCTTCTGCTAACAACCAAATATTAAGTACTTCTTCTGGTAATAAATAGTATTGCTCAAGTGTGTACGTTATATTTTTTATTAAGTCATCTACTGCAAATAGAACACTTAATTCCAATAAAACCAAAAGACGTCCCAGATTGTTTTTATAATGTGCTATTATATTTTCATCATATATCCAATCGATAAAATCCTGTAAAATCAAAGTCAGTGTCCTTTAATTTCAATTGTATAATAAAGTAGTTTATGACACTAATAATGCACACAACCCAATCATATCAAATAATTTCGATATTAATCTCTGATGAGGAGAAAATGCTTGGAAAGCTTGGACAATAAATATTCATATTTGAAGAGAAATTTCGAGACAAAGAATTATTCCTTTTTTTATAGTTAAAAATCAAAGTCAACTAACCTGGAACGAAGTCAAAGGAATCTCATAGTTTATAGTATGTTCTGACAAACGATGATCTGTATAGGTTGTAGAGAAAAGCGTGGCAAAGTATAGACTCTTATTGATCAATTGTTCCTTGTTAATTTTGAATCGTTTCGTTTCGAGAAGCAGCGTCACAGTTTCCACAGTTTGACTCATTTGGTCCCTCATCTTAATAATAAATATCATGTATCATCAACCTAATAATAATTTATACATGCATTCGAGCTTCATTTATAACTGCGTTAATTATTATCGATGACTAATAAAATACAATCGATCGTCTCGAATTCGACATGCTCCTTTCTTAACACTCATAACAAAATATTTAATATAATCAGTTGATTGCAGGATCTGCCATGTGATCCTTCGTCCTTTTCTTCATTCAACTTTCAAGTGCTGCTACAATATTATTTAATAAACACAGTGGCCGGATAGATAATAATAAATTTCACTCAATTATCAAATAGAAGCAAATAATTTTAGAACTGATTCACTATACACAGGAATGGATGTAAACAGAGAACACGCGGTAACACACGTTCCCTTTTCCCTCCCCTTCGACGAACTCGATCACATGACGTCTGACGTCACCGCTCAATGTTTCTTACCAGAGAGAAACCTGAGAGCGGCCACCGCAATTCAGTGACAGCCGCCCTGTCGTATCGGGATGGGGATAGAAATTCTTTTCTAAATTATTCATGTATATTTTTATCACTGTGTGTAAAAAAAATATATATATTTCGAAAAAATATATTTAAAAATATATTTGATTAAAAAATTGTATTTCTTGCAGCTTCAATTTTACGCAATTTCAAAATCTTGATAAACCAATTTACATTATACTTAAAATAAACGTCATTTTTATCGAGATCTATTTAATAATTTTTAAAAAAATTTAATACATACATAAATCAATAATAATGAAAGATTTCTCTCTGGTTTTGATAAATACAAAATCTTAGGGCAGTTTTTTTTTCGTAGCAGCAAAGTTGGCAGCACTGCGTTATTAAAGGTGAATTTCGAAGTACGCGAATCATTTCGCGCAGTCAAGAGTCAAGATGCACGATCAGGATCAGGGTTAAACAAATGGACGGGATATTTTTGGTTAGATTACGATTCGTTAAACTGAGAAATCTCGTGTAACAGTTACTCCGTCGTAATACGAAAATGCATAATTATTTAATTAATTCATGCAAATGACATGCGCGCTTGTACGCTTTGTGTAGAGACGTATGCGAGCAAAGGTCGAAGTTGACGAAGAGCACATTTCCTGCTGTGAATTGCTATCAAGATTTTCCATCGAACTTAGCGAATAGCTGTTCCGTTATTCTTTTATTATGAAGAGACGTCAGAGGAGGCCAGTCTTGACGCTCAATAGAACTCAAGGGAATTACGTCGAACATGCGCAAAGTATATCGAACCCACGTTTCAAAGCGATGATTTTAAATAATAATTTAAAATATGTTAATCACTGTAATTTATTTCCAATATTTTATCACATTTTACAAAAATTTATGTTTATATTTGTATTGAAATAAGAGGTTTAATACACATGTGTTACGTCACTTGATTACATTATTCTTATAAATTTTATATAGATAAGTGCAAGCCGGTGAATAGTGTACAACCTATGCAAAATGAGGCCAACAATCCATTGGCCAACTTGTGCCAGTACAATTCCGATAGCGATACGGAGGATTCCAAGAAAGATACGCAAAAGTTAGATGATCAAGTCAACGATTTCTTTAAGGTAGTTAATTTATGATTTACTCTGCATGTATAGAAACTTTATTCCTATTTCTTACAGGAAATTTATGATATACTCTGCATGTATAGAAACTTTATTCATATTTCTTACAGGAAATTCAACTTATTGCCCCAGAACAACCTGCTCCAAACAATGTTAATGATCCAAGCTTAGCAACTAAGTCAACTTCTCAGTCTGTGCCTCATACAAGTCAGCAAACATGTAAGAATTTAGAAATAGTAGAAAAAAATTAAAAATATTTAAGATACTTAAAACTATATATCTTTTAGTATGGCAAGAATGTTATGATGAATCTACTGGTTATCCTTATTATTGGCACATTGAGACTAACGAGGTAACATGGGACATGCCAGAGGAATTGCGTTTACTAAGAAAGCAACCTGAGAGTGCATCTGGAGTGAAACATCCAATTCAGGGATCACATTGGGATTTTTCGTCCATTGCATGTAATTGTCATTCTTTAAACTTTTGATTCTACTTTTAATAATGGAGAACACTATTGAAATGAACGATTATTACAGATCGACAGTCACAAGCAAATATACCAGAAGGCATGATACCACAAGAAGTGGTGGCAAGAAATCGCAACAGATTTATGCACAATGAAACTGCTAAGAAATCTAATTCGGAAAGCAAACTAGAAATTAAGAACGAATCTCCTGTGAAGGATGATGATTCGGATGATGGGTACGGCAAATAAATAAAACTATTACTTATATATTCGAATTAAAATATATTTTTTCGATAAATATTTATAATAATAATGTGAAAATATGTCTTTTTTTATTTAGACGAATAGAGATGATAACATCTTTCGGTAGCGACGGGAGCGACTCGGAGGATGAGAATATGTCCTCAGACGAGAAAAAGGCGCCGACACCTTTAGCTGAATCGGGAAATTCTAATTCTGGTCCATATTTAAAAGCTGGTGAAATTGGACCTGCTTTCTGTCCAACAGGAATGCAGTCCCCTACCAAAAATTTGTCCCATTCATATAAACCTGACTCTACTAACATATCAAATTGTTCAAATCAATCTGAACAATTCGACAACAAATGTAAAATAACTGAATCTAGTAATAAGAATAGTATAGTTCAAGGAGAAAAACAATTTGCCATAGGAAACAAGAATAGAAAAGATATTATTATACAAAATGCAGTTCCGAAACTGGATTTTAAAGTGTCCTTAGTACCTGGTTATGGGGATGATTCAGATGGAGAAGAGGAAGTTAAACCCAAGCAAGAGATAAAACCTTTATTTCCCATTGCACAAGATGAGGAATACATAAATGTGATAAATTCATCAAAAATTTCTCATAGTGTTTCTGCAAAGAATTCTAGCAATATACAAACAGGCGATCAACATAATGACAACAATGGAGATAGTCAAGAAACGAAGAGTGAGCATGAAAAAACGCAAGAAAAAGAAGTAAAAATGGATGAAGATAAATCTAAGACAAATATATTTCTTGAAGACATACAGGTGTGCGGCAAGGCCTTTCAAAGGAAGAAGCGAATAGCATTTGAGGGTAATTATTACATCATAATAATTACACATAAGAAAAAGTTTTATATTATTTTTTTAAATTATATCATAAATGTTTGCAATATAAAAATAATATCTTTATGTTTAATTAAATAATTCCTTTTATAATTTTAGTTCCATCAACGAAAGCTAAACAAAATAACGTTTATGACACTACAGTTCAAGATGATAATAACAGTGATCTCACAAATAGTGAATCTATTTCGCATAATACTGAAGACGATGATGTGGGAATTCAAAATCAGCCGTGCTCAGAGAGTCAAGAAGAATGCAATGAAGCGCGTGAAGAGACAGAACAGTGTGTTAGTGCGAAGACTGAAGAAAAACTCGATTCTAAAGACGAATCATGCGATTCAGAAATATTTACAGAAGATAAACCAGTATCAAATACAATTGAAGAGAGAGAGAACGATAAGAAGGAGATGAATGATTTATCTCAGATTATAACAGAGAAATTAAAATTTCTTTCAGAAGGGAGAGAGAGTGTCTCTGCTGTTCAAACGATGCAAATTCAATTACAAGTGAGTATTTTTGTCCAGATTTTGTGTGTGTCTGCTATGTGATATATATGTATATATATATTATATTGAAATAATTATGGAAGAGAATTATTAAATATATTTAAATATTGAAATTAATCAATTAATAATCTATCATTATTATTTGTATAAGTTTGGCACAATTATCAATATATAGAAGTTTATACAGATTGATTATTCTGTTACAGACATTATCTACTGCTTGGGCGGCAAATAGCTTAGAGGAAAGTTACTTTCAAAAGTGGCTGACTAATACAAATCATGAATTGGAAAGATTAGAGCAAGATGCAGCACCAGCTGGCTGGCTATGTCAGTGGGATAGGTACGGTATTCCATACACAATTTGCACTATTATTTTTCTATGTAAATATAGGTACTCATTCACGACATTTATGTTCAGTGGCTTTATATGTGTATCATTAATTTATACAATGAAGAGATACACAAAACACATTATTTATTTATTTATTTATTTATTTATTCACATATACATGCAATATTGTACTATTACATTATTCCATTCATCATGGAAACGTTTATTCATTTGTAGCAAGTTTATAAATGCAACTAGTTAATTAACAGATTTAGGAGTAGGCTCACTAATTCTGAAAAAGTATTCAGTAGTTTAATATTTATGAAATTTTGTAGGACACACTAAATAAGTTCCTAATAGTTCAAGATTTAATTTAAATATTCTGTGATATTCTTAAATTTGTTTTTTGATATATGAATCATTCTTTCCAATTAAGTCAAACTAAAATTTACCAAGTTACTCAATAATATTCGTGATAAAAAATTGATTACCGCGATATAGAATAGTTATATATAGTGATTTTAATGTACACAGATATATTCTTTTAAATTTTAGAACATTATATAACGCAATTGATACATTTCATACATAAAGCTTAGCTTAAGTGAAGGTGCAGAGTCCCGTAAAATTACGGTTTTTTAAAAGTGTAATATATTCTAGTGCTAAATCAAGTGATATCATCTCTTATATAGTCTTAAGAAATCTTTTATCTTGTGATATTGTCATTGTGATAATCTATATGTGCTGAGTGATATATTGCAATCTATTAATGTAATTCGTTGCAAGCGATAATCCAGTAACAACATGTTACTTGGATTAAAATCACATTTGTGCCACGAATAATTATGAGATAAGTGCGAAGTCAAAGTAAATTTGATTGAAATGAAGATAAGAAGATACCAGGAGAAAAGTGAAATAATAATCTTTTGATTGCAGCAGGCCTTTAATTAATTATTCACGCTTAATATAATAATGTATAAATAAATAGAGAAAGAAAGAGAAAAGAAAATAGAGAAAGAAAGAAAAAGCTTTAATAGAATATTTTTGAAGAATGATTATAAAAGTAACTAATAGAACTATTTTATCATTGTTTTCTGTAGTAATATTATTTAAAGTTTAAAGCAAGAAAATTTTTTAATTACAATTTGTAAAAAAAAGATTTTTAAAAAAAAGTTTTATATATTTAGATATGTAGATTAATTTTGTGATATTTATTGAAACGAAGAAATATTGTAAAGTTTTATTAAGTATACATTTATCTGCTGGATATATATTTCATTTTTTTAATAAAATGTGGGAAATATATAAAAAAAACATATATATATTTTATTCTTTAATACACACACGTTCAAAGTGTACTCGAGAAATATTTTATCTGGCATTATAATTTCGTTCGTTTATCTATTCTGATAGAGACATGAACGATGATTAACAAATGTAAGTATTATCCTATCTATTATACTTTATCAATATCTGGTAATCTCCTTGGGATATACATATACTAATCGCAAAATAAACCAGATATTATATTAGGACTTAATATTTTCATCATTATTCTCCCCACTTCAGTCACAAATACCTCTTTCTCTCTCTCTCTCCCTTCACTTTGCTATAATTCTCTTATTAATATTCCCCGCAAGAGAGAATACATTTTTGATAATTACATAATTACATCTCCCATCTCTCCTGTAACAAAAAGGCCTTCGTCGAGTAAAAACGAGACACGACATCGCAGGTAGGAGTGATTACTAGATTATGTTCTATTAATTTTTGCTTTCGTTTAAGAAACTGGTGACGGACGCGACCGAATGTTTCGCCACGGAAACATTATTTAAGCGTGCATTGAATGTAACATAGAGAATTACAACAGAAAATATGGTGCAACCGTCAATAATATTGTCTCATGTGCTCTCCCTTTTGGCCGGGGGATTTTTCAGATCGCACAAGAGATATTACTACCACAATACATCCACTGGAACGTCACAGTGGACTTATCCCGACACCGGTATTGCCGGTGGCACTGAGGAGATGGAATTGTGTACAACTCCGCCACCAGAATCGGAAGAGTTAACAGTCGCAGGTACATAGATATTACAATATATTAACAATATAATAGATCTATTTTTCTTTTTCTTCCATTTCCTTTTCATTTTTCCTTTTTTTTTCTTTTTATCTTTTTTATTCCATTGGAAAGGAAGAGATAAACTCTGAATTAGTACCAGTTCAACTGAAAAGAACAGACCTAATAAAAAGATCATAAATAAACTTTTCATTGTTTTTGCATTAGAATCACCTGGAACGAAAAGAACGAAGGAGAAGCAAGCCGAGGAAATGGAGGATAATAAGACAGATGAAGCGGAAAGCGTAGCGGAGAGACGTCCTACGGATTTGGAAGCACCACCTCCACCACAAATATCTAATCCGAGTCCACCGCCACCACCGAGAATATTCGCGGAAGACCTGAAGAAGGATAAGAGGAAAAAGGAAAAGCCCGACGATAAATTGGACGTGAAGAGGAAGCGTTTGGGGAGAGGTAATTGTGATTATCATATATGATAATCAAAATTGCTGAAGACCGATTGGAATGTAATAAAATAATTGTATTTTTTTTTACAGACAATCTAATGACTCTAGATTCTACGGCACATATGGTGAATCCTGCATTAGAATCTTTGTCTTACGCGCATCCACAGGCGGCTATGTCACCTCAAACCACGATACCTTCGACTCACGCGAATATGGAGCCTTTGCCACCGGGTGTGGACCTGCCGGAAACGTCTTACGAAGCGGCTACCTTGAAAGGGATAATATATAACGCAGCATCGCAGCAAAGTAATGCGATTTACGCGCCTTCGATTGGGGATCCAACAATACCTATTCTAAGCCACCATCAGGCGGGTCTGCTTCAAGAGCCGTTTGTTCATTATCCAGCCTTTCATCAACATTTGCATAATGTAAGCACGCTTCCGCTATGTCAGGAAAACATATTAATAAATTAGTGTATATTTATATCTTGAGGCACAATTTTACTCGGTGATAAACAATATTAATTGAAGTATAATAATATAAACAATATAAGGAACTAACGTTTCCGTGTATTAAAAATTGATTATATTAAAAATTTAGAATACATTTTATAAAAATTATGTGCAATTCATATATTTGTATTTGTTAGCAGACAATCACAGTTGCGAACAAACACGGCGGACAAAATGCAATTCAGTTCATGGTGGGATACACGCCGATTTACACGAATAATAAAATCATTGCCAAACCGCCGGTTAAAGCTTCGAAGGAATCTCTGGGATCCGCTCTCGATTCTTTTTACAACGACATCGCGCGCATTGAGAAAACAGAAACGGAACGAACAGCACAGCAACAGGATTCCGTTGTCGCTGTAACGGAACAGGTGCCCGTCTCGATCGAGGAAAGTAAACCGGAAACGGAACTGGAAACCATACCGAACGATACAACGATGAAGGAACGAAAAAAGAAAAAGGTCTCTATTTATATATCGTGATGCTTGGCACTTTTTTCGATACTTAATTTTTTTACTTAAAAACAGTATGAATTAGAAAAGTTATTAAATTGTTAACATATTTTAATTCTTCATGTTACGTTGGATTAAATGGTAATTTTTGAAATTAAGAATTAGCTCTTTTGTAACGTTTTGCTTATTACTTTCTACTTATTAATATGATTTTTTAAATATTTTTTTGAGATATAATATTCCTGATATTTAAAGGGCGAAAAAAAACTGATATTTATATTAAATATATTTCACATATACATGTATAATATGTAATGTATCGAAAATTAAATGTTTTATGTGATTTTAGGCGAGGATCAGTATCAGCAAAAAGCACAAGGAGATGTCGACTATGGTGGCAAAGTGGCAAAGGGTACAAAAAAATCTAGAAGACACTGTATAAATAATAGAGACCGATCGAAATAAAATAATTAATTGTCGTATAAGGAATAATAAATTACATAGATTATATTATTAGTATAATTTTAAATTTCTCATTGTGTATATATACGTTGTTAGGAATTTCTTTTATCATAAAATATTTTAAGCTTTTCTATGTATGAAACACGTAATGCACATATTTACTAAATTGTAAGATTAGTATAACAATATCACTAGTATCAATTTAAATGCAATTCAAAGTACTTAATTCGTACCACTGTCATGTATCTGTTTTATGATTAATCATGAAATTTATAATTAACTTACAAAAACACTCGAGAAAAATTATAGTATATATAATCATAGTAAAAAATATATAATTATATACAGAATATTGTATAATTTAATCGTACTTTACATTTTTTAAACAATGCAAATATTTTTCTGATTATTTTATAATTTAATTTATTATTTTTCCTAAATAAAGAGATTATATATATGAGAGAAAAAAAACATTAATCTTCTCTTTAGTTGTGATATTTATGTAGATAACTTTTCCTGGATATCTATTTGCAATAATAACCAGCATTAATGCATTTCGTTTTCGGGTTAAGCATATTCAAGTATTGTGTTGTAGGAAGTGTAATGAATATTAAAATCGTCATTGTGTGGCACTATCACGTCGACAAGAAATCACAATCATTGAATGCAGATTTAGAATATTTTATATATATATATATATATATGTAAGATTGAAAAATATATAAATTTAAGAAACATCAGATGCCGCGTGCTCTTACATCTGATAGTAGATAATAAAATTTATAACACATGTTGTTTTAAAGATAAGAGCAGGTATTGACATTCTTGAAACTTTTAAGCAATCTCTTGCGACCGATAGCTTTTTTAATTCTCTAATATGGATAACTAAAAGATTAAATTGATTATGGACAACGCGTAGCAAATCTCGAGATATTTGAAGATTTCTTGATATATATAGATGTATGATATATACATATACTCATGATGTAAAAAGACTTATTACAAGTAAAAGTTTTATTACATCATACATATACCGCTTATACATATAATATGTATACAGTTTAGAAATTGCAATTGTTTAAACAATAAATTGTCAAAATTGATTTCTTTTGATTTAACCAATTTTTTAAATATGCTTTTTCCTTCAATATTAATTTAGATTGTAATTGCTACAAACAACTACAAAAGATTCTAAAAAAGACTGCGCAAGCGGATTTGAAATACCTTAAAGTGGAGTAACTTTAATTTTTTTTGCTTTAAGATCGCTATATAGATCTATCTCCCCTTAAAGACATACTCGAACTTAGAAATCTCCCGCATTCGGTTATATGAATCTGGCACATAACTCAAAAATTAATTTCTTTATATGGAAAAAGATAGTATTTCGTTTGTAGTCAATGTAAAAATAAAAAGATATTAAAATTATGATCGGCACCCGACTTTAAAGATATCACAAAATCGATTATACAGTCTTTCTTAGAATCGTTTGGAGATGTTTGTAGTGATTTTCGTTTTGTAAGTGTGACCTATCGATCATGTCATATTTGGTGATTATTATATATATATATATATATATATATATATATATATATATATATATCTTTGTAACACCTAAATAATTAATAAACACATTGGCCCTTTTAGATACACCATGATGAGCAATCTTGCAAAAATGATGTCCGCACATGTAAGTGAAAGTATATTCTTATTGTTCGAGCAGTGTTGATATCAAAATGTTACAATTTTACGAATAAATTGTATAAAAACCGCATGCATACATGAAAAAAATATTTATACAAGTGCAACCGCACCTTTCATGCAATTAAAACACTCGGTAACTTTTTTTTGTTAGCACAGTGGTGTAACGTATTTTATACGTGACCTTTATATATATATATATATATATATATATATATATATATATATCTTCTTTGATTAAATATTTATATACTAATTTTAATCGTATGAAATATTTGATTATACAAATATAAAACTAACTAAAACATATATTGAAAAACGCAATATATATATATATATATATATCTTTCTTCGATTAAATATTTATATACTAATTTTAATCGTATGAAATATTTGATTATACAAATATAAAACTAACTAAAACATATATTAAAAAACACAATGTTAAACATATATATGTTCCACATTACGCATACAAATAAACTTTAAAATTAAATTCTTTTTTTAAATGGATCGATAATATTTTTATAAAAAAAAATCATAACCAGTGAAAAATGCTGATAATGACGCAAATGATAAGGCCGAAAAATCTTTTATTTTCGCGATATTGATTATGATGTAACGCTTAATCTCCAATTATTGAAACAAAAGTTATTACACATAAATTAGCATATGGTTCGATAACATTACAAAAAACCGGCATATATTTATTCTAAAGAGGCGTGGTCATACATATATATATATATATATATATATATGTCGTGCAACTTGAGAAAATTTGACGATACGTCTGGATTTTAAATCTGTTTGACGATCGCATTAAAAAGCAACGATGTTGCTGCCGATCTTTTTTCTTCCGCTCTTGACATCCTCGAGTGCGCTACTGATAGACACCGTTTTAAAGAATATTATATTCGATCCATTAGATCGGATACAAGCATTGCCAGATAATGTCGGCGCTTTTGCAGCCGGGCCTGAAGATGCGCAACTTTCGACTGTGAGTGCAACTACCAATTTTTTAATCATAAAAGTTTGTACTCCAAACGAATTTGTGAAAAGAAATAAACAAGCGACACGTAAACTGCATTTATTTTATTTGTTTTTTTAATTTCAACGCTTTATTATTTCTCTATTGATTTTATAAGAAAATAAATATGTTATTGCGGTTTGATCGACCCTATAAAAATTTTGTTTGTTTGACATTTTTATTTTTATCTATCTTAAATTTTATATCAATTGTGTATTTTAATAAGTTTAACGTCAAACATCATTTGACGCTAATGATTTCTTTCTAATCTCTCAATTATGCGATTTACAAATCTATTATTTTATCGCGCAGATGGAACTGATAAGAAAATACGGTTACAATGGTGAGCTGCATAAAGTAACCACTCCCGATGGATACATCTTGGAATTACATCGGATAACAGGACGAGCAAATTCCACCGATTCGCAAGTGCAAAAACCCGTTGCATTTGTGATGCATGGTCTTCTATGCAGTTCGGCGGTTTGGGTCTTCGCTGGGCCTGAGAAAAGTTTAGGTAAAAAAAAAAAAATACTTTATAAAATATAAATATAATAATATATCTGTGTGATACTGATCGCGCACAAATCAGTAAGTTGATTATCACCAACTTATTTTTCTACATTTTAGATAAGATATTATTTTATTTTTTAAGTATATGCCCTAGAGTAAAATACTTTAATGACTAATCGCTGCTGAAGAGATCCAATTAATTCTGCGGATTTGTTTTTATATTATCTCTCCTCGAAATAAATAGAGAGAAATTAGCTCGAAGAAATTTTTATCCATTTTTTTGCTCTGTCAGTTTTCTAGCTTATTTATTGTTAATATATTTTGGGTATCCTCGATACTTTAGGATTCCTTCTTGCGGACGCGGGATATGATGTGTGGCTTGGAAACGCGCGAGGCTCCTTGTATTCCCGTGAACATTCGCATAGACGAATATCTACCGCGAAGAAAGATTATTGGAATTTCAGGTGAGAACTATATGATGCGTGAATAGAACGATCACTGTAAGAAAATGCGAATCTATTACGTTATTTTGATACATTTGGAGATAAAGTTTAAGTTGACGTACGCGACATATCTATAGTGTAAAAATTCATAACGCAAACATGTTAATATTTGTATAAATATACACTTATATGCTATTATCGTCAGATAATGTATTATCTGATAAGGGAAGTTTAAATACGCGGTAGGTGATGTTTATTGTTTATTTTATTAATCTAAATAATCTAAACGAATAATCACGTTCAATAAATCATGATCATGAATAATCGCATTAACTCTTACATGATAGTATTAAATAATTTCAGATAAATTTTAGGTAATTATAAACGAAATTCATAAAGATATTTCGAAGATTTTATAGGATGTCCTAACATCCTTCTTGTCACAGATTTTTACGTCAACTTGAAATTAATTTCTCTCATATGTGATAATGTCTACAGTTTTTTAATTAATAATTAAAATGTAAAAATGAGAGGAAAACATAGGTGATATCATTCATCTTTATTGTCCGCGTTTCAATTTTACGCTCAAAAATATTAATTTTCTTATATGTATGATTTATTTCAAAGCCGCTTTGTGCTAATAAGTGTACCTAATTCATATTTTTCTACAAATATACGGTCGCATATTTTACAGATAAGTACATAAAAAAACTGACAGCTCGAGAGGTCTATATCTATCTTATAAAAAACATTGTCCTATACTAGTAATTTGTCGTGTTATCTAGTAAAAAATAATTTAATCGTACACTCTCAATCTAACATTTTTCTTCTATCTCTGAAAACGGCTCAAAACGAATGGCTGATATTATGATATTGAAATTAATATCTTCAGCTTTATCAATAAAAGTAATCGTAACAAAAGTGTAAAAATCGATAAGAATTCGCACATAAGTGCAACGAGATACAATATTTATACAGATGCAATATTTTATCGATAATAGCAGGTTACTTATAATTTTATGTTATATCTTTAATATCTTTTCTTGATCAAATATCTATTAATTAAATATTTGTTTTGTCCAAATATGAAATATTTGCACCAAAATTGTTTTCTCTCAACTTTTTTAAATTAAATTATTCTTAAAATCAAAATTGGGGGAAAGCTCGTATACATTAAACAAATTATTTAAAACATAAAATGATATTTAGACTAACTAAATTTAAGAGATGATATTCTTAATTTATTCTTATTTTCAGAAAAAAATATACTAAAATTTAGAGAAATTCTTTAAATTAAGAGGATTATTTTGGCGCTTAGAATACAATTTTTTCGGTGAATAAATATCGAGGAAATGATAAATAATTAATTTACGGATAAATTCTTTTCGCAGCTGGCATGAAATTGGTACGCTCGATCTTCCGACGATGATAGATTATGTTCTGCAAACCACCGGTCGCGAGAAATTATTCTACCTGGGACATAGCCAGGGTACCACCTCCTTCTTCGTCATGTCAACCCAATTACCTGAGTACCAGGAGAAGATTGAGGCGATGTTCGCCATGGCACCGATAGCCTACTGTGGTAGAATGAAGAGTCCCTTCCTGCAAGTGTTCTCACAGTTCACCAATACCGCCGATGTATGCTAATTTTGATCTAGATTTAAAAAAAAAATCATCGATGTCCAATATTTTTCTTGAACATGTCGTTGCAGACGTTAATGTCCTTATTCGGAGTGCACGAATTTATGCCTACCCCCAATATTATTCAAAAGTTCATGCAATTAATGTGTGCGGAACAAGCTATGTCGCAACCAATATGCTCGAATGTGATGTTCTTAATCGCTGGATTCAATCCTGATCAGATGGACCCGGTATTACAGTTTTTTCTACATTAGTATTAATTAATATATTTGTAATTACAAGTTAAGTAATCATTCATAATAATCTATACTATTATTAATATTATCAAATAATATTCTATAATATCGTTTTTCCTAACATTAATTTTAATAATAAAATAAAATATATAAATGTTTAATTAAATATTCATTTTTATAATATTTTTTTATTTTCGCAGAGTATGATACCAGTAATCTTAGGACATGTTCCTGCTGGTGCATCCACGAAGCAAATGCTTCATTATGGGCAACTCATACGATCTGGTGAGCATTTACTTAAATTACCGAACATTTATTATATTCAAATAATGCTCCATAATATTTTCTAAAATAACAAATAATAAAAAATAATGGCACTTTTATCATCAGGTGCACGTATTTCACCGGGCAGATTTAAGCTTTTTGATCATGGATTAGTCAGCAATAAAAAAATACACAACTCACGTGCTCCACCACATTATGAACTAAAGGAGATCAAAGTACCAATCTCACTCCATTATAGTGAAAATGACTGGTTAGCAAACGTCAAGGTTTGTAATTACTTTACATTATCTATGGTGGTTTGTTTCGAACATTCTTTCTTTTAATATCTGTTCAAGTTAAATGAACTATTATTTATAATATTTTAATTGCTCGAATATTTGTATTCTCTATACTTACATTATTATGATTCTCCGACAGGATGTGGAAAAATTGTATAGCGAGCTAGGCAATCCTTATGGTAAATTCCTAGTGCCAGATAAAAAGTTTAATCATTTGGACTACATGTGGGCCAAAGATGTAAAGCCGCTTCTGTATGACCAGATATTAAGTTTAATGGAGAATTTCAAATAAAATAAAATATCAGTTTGTTCTTTCAAATTATGTATTTAATGCATGAAATTTAATCGAGATTCTAGTTTCTTCATTATAGTGGAACTATTTTGTATCTTTGAATAATTCGATGTATTATTATATCGACTTGAGTTAGCAATCTCTTGTTTCTCGTAGAATTAATTGTGTGTTGCATGTGTTATTCTATCTCTCTTGTCATCATGAGATATTTTATATCTATTTGAAATCTATTAATGTATGAAATATATTTCATCTGCTTGAAATTTATTGATTGTGCGTATATCTTTATTGAATCACATTCATCTCGATAATAATATTTTTCCCGTGTTTTTTTATCTTATCATCTTAGATCATTCTTTCTTGCAGTTTTTTTTTACTTGCTCTCTTTCCTTATACAATTTATTTTGCTTATATATAATATATTTTAAGAATATATACACACAAAAATAAAAAAATCAATCAATAATTTAAATCTCTGTGAGCTCGATAGATTTTCCTGCGAAACTTTACACAAATTTATTTGACGTGCATTAGTAATATTTGACATTTTATATACATATACACTTATTATATACATATACACTTCATAATTATTTATATTCAAAAAAAATAATATAATTTAATTTATGATCGATTTTTTATTTTACTTTATAATATTGATTTTAAAATCTTCTAACCATTTATCGAACAAATCTTATCTAAGAAATATGAGTTTTGACGATATGACATCTAATCGACGTCTAATAATAGTGATAAAACTTGAATGCAATAAATAAAGTTATTTTCTCTCGCTTTTACAATATTTTCATCGGAAAGGTAATCCATAAAATAGTTTTTGAAAGAATCCACTGCATCAATTGATGTCAACAACGGCCAGTTTCAAATAAGGTTTATATAAAGGTAATATATATTATATATTATTGAAAAAATCTAAAAGTCTAATTACAAACTTTGCCTTTCTTGTTGTAATTTTATTTTTATTGGTGAATTGATTATATGAAACAAAATACAATTTTATGGTGTCGCTTGTCGCAGCAACATGTGATTGATTTTGTCGCTATTTTATTGTTGTTAAAAAGTTGAATTGGACCCAATTTTTAGCGACATCTCTGCCACACAATAAATTGTAAAAATTAGTGCGTAAACATGGAATTGCAAGATGTAAGTACAATAAATAAATAAATAAAAACATATATACAGATTTCTTATATACTTATTTAGATTAAGTACTAATAATAATATAATATATAATTCAAATATAATATATTAAGTATAATTAAATGTAAACGACGAGCGACACCGTGAATACGTACCTTATAGATGTGATAATCAATTTTTATAATATTTTCTGTTGTTTTTTTCCAGATATTCTTCAGAATAATTTTCAGATAATCTCGTAAAAAAATCGTACAAACAGGTAAATCCGCAATTCGACTATTTGCATGCAAAAGATATGTAAAATGCTATATCATTTCGTTTAGGGATAAACAATCGACCCACCTGTGCTTCATTGTGCGAACGATAAGAATAATAAATCTCTTTTTGATGTCTCAATATCTTAATATCTTTTAATATATATCGATCGCATTATCAAATCAGAAGTTATGGCAGATGAGATGGCATTCGATAAGATTGTATAAAACATGAAACAAACTGGCGATATATTTAGTTAGGTTCTATAAATTCGAGAAAATCGCATACAATTATTTATTTCGAGTTCATAATCCATCCAATAGTGATCTCATCGAATAGCAACGATGTTACTGTCAATCTTTTTCTTTTCGATTCTGATGTCCGTCAGGGCAATGCCGAATCGTTTAATATTGAATCAACATGATATTTCGTTAATAGACCAACAGATATCGACAATCAAAAACTTCGATCCGCTACTTCTCAAAGCACATCCAGACGCGGACCTTACCACTGTGAGTATAAATCTTTCAATTTTGTGTATCAAAAATAAATCTGAAAAAAAGAAAGAGAAATTGTGTACGTAAACTCTACAGAAATATAAATTTTCGTCGATTGAATAAACAATTTCTTGAATTATTTATATTTATTTCGTTATTAATAAGGATGTATATCCCTTGTAGAAATTTATCACTAGTAACGTCAATTAATCACTTATTTCGAGTACTTAAAATACTGATATACAGTAATTTAAGTACTCGAAATAAGTGATAAATTGGCGTTACTAGTGATAAATTTCTATAAGAGATGTCATACATAACATTGATAAAAGTGTAAATTTTTTATAAATTTTATCGTTATTCTTTTAGATACTTACTTAAAATGTGCAATTTTCTCTGATCAATTAAAAACTCATTTAATTATTATATGCTTGCATTAATTTTTTTTGTCTTTGTAATTATTTGTAAAAATTATTTGTTTTTTTTTTATTTCTTTTTATTTATCCAGTTCTTAATAATCCTTTAATTACACGATTTGAATGAATAAGAAGCTGTTTATTTGTAGCAACTATTCACTATATTTTATAGCTGGAATTGGTGAGCAAATACGGCTACGATGGTGAGCTGCATAAAGTAACTACTTGCGATGATTACATCTTAGAGTTGCATCGGATAACAGGAAGAACAAATGCAGAAAGAACAAATTCTAGCAACTCGCGAGCGCAAAAGCCTGTTGCTTTTCTTATGCACGGTCTTTTGTGTAGTTCTGCTGGTTGGATCCTTGTTGGTCCAGAAAAAGCTTTAGCGTACATATTGGCGGATGCTGGCTATGATGTGTGGCTTGGAAATGCGCGAGGCTCTATGTATTCACGTAAACATAAATCGTTATCCGTATTGGACAAAGAATATTGGAATTTCAGGTGAGTACACTGAAAAAAAATTATCAAATTCCAATAAGTATTTATTTATTTATTTATTTTTTTTATTTTTATTTATTTTTATTTATTTTTTATTTATAAGTATTTGAAACTAATGATATTAATTTGATGTGATAAATGATAAATATATATTTAATATAAGAAAATCCTTTTCAAAACAAATAAATATTTATTTGTTTCAAATAAATGATTTATTAGACAGTATTGAAATAAATATCTATTAATTTAATAATTTTTCTCAATGTATATACACATATATATGTAGATAAGAAAAAACACGATATTCTATTATTAATACTAAAATATTTCAAGATAAAATTAAAATCGAGATCCTAGAAAGTGTAAAAGTATCGATACAGGGTTGTTACAACATCTTTCATCTTATTTTTAAACATGCTTTATATTTTATTCCCGTCAGATAAGAGAGTTTAAACTTAAGCACTATGCTAGCTAATTTTAGCTAGTCTTCAGTGTTAATAATAACTTTGTTATATCTTAAGATTGTGCCATTGCCATTGTTACCTTATAGATATATCACTCGATAAGAAATAAGGAACGCTTAATTTCTTCTTGTTAAAAGTTTAATTTGACGAAAAATTATCGCAGAATTTTTCAATTTTGCGTTAAAGTGTTTTAAATAATAAAATCTTCATTTATCACATGTTTTGATTATTCGATACAATATCAGATACGATATATATGCAGGCATCACGATTAAATATAATCAGAATTAATAATCCAACATTTTACAAATAACGTAAATTTGCGTAAACACAATTGTATATATATATTTTGTTATATCGCATTTATAAAATTAATTCATGCATATGTATACGATTAGATAAGTTACAAAATACAACAGAATATTTATACAGGTGCAATAAAAAATAGCGACAAAAATATTCCATATTCTGTTTTTGCTAGTACTTAAATTATTGATCACATATTAAATATTAATTTCTTGATTTATTATTGATTTTGTGATATCTTTTTTATCTAAATCTTTATCTGTATTAAATATTTAATTAGATATAAAACAGATTTGCTAAATATAAATATACCTATGAAAAATGACATTATTTATATATAGCACGTTATGTATTTAGATTTTAAATTAAATTCTCTTAACTTATATATAATTGAATATCCCGAAATACTTTCATAATTAATTAGGATCCGGAAGTAAATCAGATTATTTATTCTATTCAGAGAATATCAGCAAATAATTCATACAAATCAAATCTTTTTTTTCTATACATTTCAGTTTTCACGAGATCGGCACGATCGACCTTCCTGCGATGATAGATTATACTCTGAAGACCACCGGTCAGAAAAGACTATTTTACTTAGGACACAGCCAGGGTACCACGACGTTCTTTGTGATGGCTTCGCAGTTACCTGCATACCAGAACAAGATCGAGGCGATGTTTGCCATGGCTCCGGTCGCTTATTTAGGAAGAATGACGAGTCCAGTGCTGAACTTCTTAGCAAGGTTCACTGATTCCTTGGAAGTATGTAATTCTAGTCTCGATAAAAAAATTTATACGATCGTAATAGACTTCAAATATTTGATGAAATCGAACGTTTCGTTATAGATCCTGATGGAATTAATCGGTCTATATGAATTCGAGCCTACTGGCAAAGGGATGAAAATATTCCAAGATCTTGTGTGCGCGGACGGCTCCATTACGCAACCTTTGTGTTCGAATTTGATCTTCCTAATTACTGGATTCGACAATGATTTGTTTAACAGTGTATGCCTTCAATGTCACTTTTAATTATACTTAGAAATTTATAGACGATTATTTGCTAAATAATATGATGGCTTTTCTATCATAACACTCTTGCACTATATTAATTGTATAACGTAGAATACATAATTTCAAGAATTAATTAGAAAATTAGTAATATTGAACTAAAATATTTTAAATACACACGATATTGATATAATATTAATCATTATTAATTCGACTTCTATTTTTAATCTCTCTCATCTTTGCAGACTCTTTTACCGATAGTCTTGGGACATCTTCCTGCTGGTGCATCAACGAAGCAAATGATACATTATATGCAACTTTTTAATACAAGTAAGCAATTATTCATGTTAATGTTCCCGCATTATACTTAAGAAAAATATCTCTATCATATTTCAAATAAACACTTTTCGAAATTTTATAAAATGTGATATAACAATAGTACATTATTTCTGTTATCAGGATCAATACTTAATTTATCGGGAAAGTTTAGACAGTACGATTACGGATGGGTAGAGAATAGGAAAAAATATGGTTCGATCAATCCACCGCTTTATGATTTGAGCAAAATTAGCGTCCCAGTGTCTTTGCATTATGGCAGCAACGATTGGTTGGCGCACGTCAAGGTTCGTAACTTCTTTTTTTACGTATTAATTTATTTTGAGTATCTTATATGTCAGGACACTTATTTTTTTGTAAAGAAAAATGTAGGTCAAAATATTTGTGAAGAAAAATACAATTATATATAATGTTACATATAGGAAAAAAGAGATGAAAAATAATCGAAAATTTTTACATTTTATATGTTACAGTCTTGGAGAGAATAAAATCTCTTGATAATATTTTAAGATACTCGAGATAAATGAACTACCATATGTACGATATGATTTTAATTGCACAAATAATTGTATTTACATTACACTTTTTCCATAGGACGTGGATAAATTATACAAAGAACTTGGCAATCCTTACGGCAAATTTCGGGTACCACACGATTCTTTTAATCATTTAGATTTCATGCTGGCTAATAACGTAAAAACGCTTCTGTACGACAAGATATTGAGCATAATGGCACAATTTAGGAAATAAAGCGTCCAATTATTTAGTGAAACTTTAAAAAAATTTTTGGATGAAAAGAGACTACAACAGCGTCCCTCGATATTCTTCTTTTGACGCACCTTAGATCACTGGCAAAGAAATGGATCGAATGGGACTCGATTCTTATCACAGATAAAATTTTATCGGATTAACGATTATTCGTATTTCTCTGCCACCGAATTAACATCAAATTCTTCTCTACTTATCTGTATGCCCTAATAGCGTATTATATAAAGTATTCTATCAAAGAAACTCGCGATAGTATTTGTGACAAATTAACAATTACTCTTTCCACTTATACATCTATGAAGAAAATCATTTAATCAATAATATAATTAAAATTTCACTTTCGAGTGAATCTAAGTTTAACCATAGTCGATCATGCATAAGTATTATTTCAATATTGGTGCAATCCGTCTCTCTAATTGTCGCACTTTTCAATTATCAAGAATAATGTGATATAGTAAATTAAAAAAAATATAAAATATTTTCTGAAAAAAAATGTAATATGTTTTGTAGCCTTTTAACTCATAAATGTTTTTATAAGACTGAAAAGTATGTAACTATATGTTAATAATGTATCAATAAACTGATTTAAACAATGTTACTGATAAATTGTCGATCTTAATTTTAAATAAAATGAGAAAAGTGCATATATATATATATATATATATATATATATATATATATATATATATATATATATATATATATGTCACGAAAAAATTCGGAATAATTAAAAAAGTTACAAGGAAAGTCTAAATAAAAGTAATCATCGCTTTTACATGTACAAGGCGATACATATATAAATAGAAAGATGTGCGTGACATTGCAAAAGCGTCGATATATTGGTAGTTGTTAGGAACGGAAATGTGAGATATATAGGTCAAGTTAACGAAGTCACACAAATTATACAGAGAACACAACAGGTAGTCACCTAGTCCCGGACATTACGCTGTGAGTCGCAAGGTTGAATTTTATCGAGAGAACACGCATTATTGACGTTTTCGCAATACCATGTGCGTAGGTGCTCGTGTGTGCGTAGGTGGATATACGTCTGTGTGCACTCAAATACGTGTATATATCCGTGACTACAATTCTTCTCCTCTCTGTTATTTTAGCTTCGTAATTTCAGAGAAAATTCGACCTTGTGACATTTAAGATCGTGCTCCTTTTATATAGAATAATTTCGCTCTTTCCGTTCTACCTAATAAACCACCTGTACATTGCGCTTCGCAGAAAAGGAAAATACATCGTTTCGTTGTGTGGAACTGATTTTTTATTGTTAAGCACAATAATATCCATCTGCTTTTACCGCATCTTCTGCATGCAGACTCGATCGCGAAAGTATTTCTCGAGATCGGCGGTAGTGGAAAACACAGAACGATTCCCACGTCGAGAAGCTCGACTCCCAAAAAGTACATATACTGTCATACTGGTGACACATTTAGTTTTTTTTTCCACCTATTAAATCGTATCTTTGAGAGATAGTACGAAAAATATTTTAATTTCAGATACTTTGCAATGTGTTTTGAAATTTCGGCAAGCGAGTGTGACAACCACCGCCTAACAGCATAACAGGTTTTCTTCGGGGTCGGTTCATTTCGAAGACCTTATTAACAATATACTTCTTGAACTAATCTCATGTAGCAAGTACGGCGAAAGCATAACGTACATCATATAACACCATAAAGGTACAGCTCATCCTGTATGTTACTATTTATATATGCAATATTTATGCATCTCAATAAAATTGCTGGAATATATGTACAATATAAATAAATTAAAAAGAATGTAATAACATGTCAACTCAGATATTTTCAGATATATTCGCGGTAACAAGTCGATTTTCAGTATTTGATTCGATTTTTTTCCTTTGTATCTGTTATGATTTTACTTTTGAACACTTTCTGCTACATATGTTTGCTGCTTATAAAAGTGGCATTGTGTGAATATATTTCTATTTAAAAAAAAGGATTATGCTCGGTGTAATAGTACTTTTGTTATTATTTAATAGTCAGTCTAAAATTTGAACAATGTAGCAACGTTTACGATAATCAAATACTGGATGAAAAATTGTTTGTGAAGATTGCACTCTATATAAATAGTATATGTATAATCTATATTTATTTTATATATATTTATATATATTTATATATAAGTACCATAATATGGAGTGTTGAATATTACATAAAAGATAGAATTTAATATGAGCAGAAGGTGATATTTTTTTCTCTGGAAACGAATATAATACTCCAAGTATACATCGTCTCGAGATAAAATGTTCTCTTTTTTTTTTGCATTTGTAGTGCACAATATAAAAATTGTGAAGGTAGAGCAATGAACGAGTCAGATATTATTCAATAGCATGTTAGTTTTATATCGATCGAAATAAAGTAGTTATTAATAAGAATACGTGTACGATGATGATATCGTACGATACGTCGAGAGAAAGATTGAGCTCCTTTTTTGCGTTCAATCATGTTAACAGTTCTTAATCTAATCAAAAATGTCAGTCGCTGTAGGAAATACAAAATCAAGTTACACAAATACATAAGAGCCTATGGTTTTTTTTCCGATTAATATAAAATAACAGTTGCAGAGACAATCAATCTCGTTCGGGCTTACATTCATTATTGGCGATTAGCTACGGATACCATGTACTTCCAGTTTTACGTAGAATATAAAGCAGGGCACACTTCGTTCGTGAACCCGTTTAACGCGAAGTATATGTAGTGCACTTAGAGTGTTTTATTTGAACACTATATATTAAACAATTACGCTAAAATTTGCTAATTTAAAATCGCCAGTATTGAACTCAACCGTATTTTGTATATTTACCTAATAATATAAAACAAGAACACAACAAATCTGTTGGCATACAAAATACATTTTAACATGTAAGGTTGTATGTCATTTCTTTTTTTTTTTCCCAGTTTATCTCCCTACCCTTCTGTGTGTATGTGTGTGTTTTTCTAGAATTTGTTTTGCGTAACGAACAATATATCAAGTTAGAAACGTTGATATTTCTCTTTTACTTGCTTATCGGGCACATGCGTTGCTTTTTAAAATAAATTTTTTAATGTATACATAATGCATAATGAAGTTTCTTTTACACATGGTGGTGATTTTAAATGTGTATATTTTATGTAGTGAGCAAGGGAGGGAGGGAGGAAGGAAAAAGGAAGGATGGAGTTTAGGAGGATAGAGAAACGAGCTTATCCGCTCTTAAAGAGGAGAATGGCTACCTGACCAAGGTAGAAATAGATAAAATGTCTTGTTTCGTGCGTCACGTAGCTACCGAAATTACGTCCTACGATGCAGTGCCACGTCGGATTGTACTTCTTGTCGAATTCTTTCTTGATAAACGCTGCAATGTCCTGAAAAGCAAGATATTAAATGGTCAAATCAATAATGATATTGATCTAACAATTTCATGATGTACAACTTGAGAATTTACATATAATGATGCTTATATATATAATGTCTCTTTTCTAAGAATAAAACCGATTTTCAAGATAATTAAATTAAAATATTAGATTTTTAAATAAAGTTATTATCTATACTAAGTTCTAGAACAAGTTATTCCAAATATCAATTAATATTTATTTAGTTCCTTAGTTTTTATTAAATTACAGCTTATAAAAATAGACAGATGCAAATATTATATTTTCTGTTAAGGTGTAGTTTATTAAAATAGAAATTACTGCCACGTATAAAGACTCCAATGAGTCATTTAATGACAAATTAATTAAATTATTGTCTATGAAATATAATTTGCATTAAAATTTTTGAAATCACAAATACAAAATATAAAAATAGATATTATTAGAGATTTAATATACAATTACACATCTAAATAAAATGTATCTCTATCACAAATACACATCTGTGCATACTCTGATATCCTTAATATTTTGTTCCAAGTAGAACAAGTGCAAGCAAATAATATTTAGTTGAAATGATCAAATTCAACCATACACATCGGATAAAAAAGTATAACAAGTGCATACCTTTTCTATGTTATATTTTTCAAGAGCTTGAGTAGCGCAGTCCACAGCATCTTGCTGCATCTCCTCTGACATATCAGCATTCTTGATCACTGCCTTTCGGTCTGACATCTTGTCTGTGCTGCAATATAAAAATAATAATCATTATTATCCTTCATTGATGTCAATTTTTACCGTAAAGATATTATGCGAGAGATATTTTCCAATATACTTTGATACGACAAAAATAACGTAAATAAAAATAAAAAAAAAAACTATTTTGAAAGTGGAGTAGGAAGGTTTCAACTGGTGCACCATAAATTCCAATAAATCACGAATATATACGATCGCGGATCCGTATCATTTTCACGTCTGGATCTCCACCACTTTCAAAATAAATAATTTATTTATAAATGACATTATCCGTGCTTTTGAACTTAAAAGTTAAATGTCACGCGCGAATTAACGGCTGTTTGGCATTCTCCACGCCGCGTACAGCCTGTTATCGAGAAGAGATCGAGAGAATAAACCTGGACCGAGGGAGGCGCACGACTTTGACAGTAGCGCAGACCACGTTCGAAGCCGGCATGACAATACGGCAGTAAATTAAATGCGAGTAATGTTAGACAAGGAGAGAGAAGAACGGAGAGCAGAAAGTGTAAGAGAGAGAGAGAGAGAGAGAATTGTCGTTCGCGCAAATATCGGAGCGCAAGAGAGATAGAAAAAGAGAGAAGGCTAACTCGAGAAAGAGAGCGAGATAGACACGAATAAAGCAAGGCATTCGAAAAAAAAGGGGAGGGTGGGAGAGAGAATAAGAGAGGGAGGACACCAGAACGAGAGAGTTAAAGAGGGAGGGACGAAAGGCGCGGGAGGACGGTGTGTTTTGTCGATATGAGACAATAAAGAAACAGCAATTTGGCCGGCACGCGAGGTGTAGATAACAAAACTGGGTCGCGCCGACGAAGACGAGGAACGTCTCGTCGACGTTTCTCCAGAAAAAATCCTAAGAACTCGATTTTTTTTTTTTTTTTTTTTTTTTACATAAGAAAAGGATCCGCTGACTGCTCCAAATGTCGGCGAAAAGGGAGATTGGGGGATATAAATACAAATATGTATGTATCTCTGTTACGAGGTAAACGTAGCCGGGGAACGACGACGCTCTCTTTCTCCCGCGCGTTCAATTTCTCTCTACCTTTTCTCGTTGACACCGTCTGATCCAGTGGATGATGATCACGATACAACCTGAGCTCGCTCTCCTCTCCGGTCCACACGAGCGACTGACTGACTGACTTTGAACTGGGGGAGCCGTTTATTTAGCGCGCGCGTTCGCGGTAAAAAGGGCGACGAAGAACTCGCGATGCCGCGAGTCGAGAGTCGCGACAAGAGAGGGCTGACAAACGGATCGTCGATCGTCGATTCCTGTGTCGTTGCCTCTCCACACGCTGCCGTTTCACGCTGCCGTTGCTTCGCACACTCGGGAAATTTTGGGCTCGCCGATCCTCCAGGGGCCGAGAGAGAGACACGATAACTCCGCGAATCGGGCTCGAGACTGAGAGTGCGGCCAGTCGCCGCGCGATGCCGGGCCGCGATTGGCCGGCCGGTAGGGTCTTCTATCAGGAGCCTCTATCGGCCCGGCGTGCTCCGCGCGATGACGCGCGAAAAAACAAAACGCGGGAGCGACGCGCCGGAGCCGATTTCTTACGAAATAAAGGCGGTTTTTCCATTTTTTTTTTATCTGTTAGATTTATATTTTCTTTGAATTATATTTTATAAGTGAATAATCATCTACTTTTATACATCTATTTTAATATCAAGCATAATTTATAAATCAATTTTTAATTATATGAATTAATAATTAAATGTATTAATATGATATAGTAATTTTCATATAAGTCATGATATAAATCATTTTTGATGCAAATTATATCTATTTTAATATAAATATCTCGTAATAATATTTATTTGTATAATTATTTTATATTTAGTTCGAATACATTTTAATGCAAATTATATTTTATAGATAAGTAAAATAAGTACAAATAAATCAATTTTTAAATATATGAATTAATAATTAAATGTATTAATATGATATAGTAATTTTCATATAAGTCATGATATAAATCATTTTTGATGCAAATTATATCTATTTTAATATAAATATCTCGTAATAATATTTATTTGTATAATTATTTTATATTTAGTTCGAATACATTTTAATGTAAATTATATTTTATAGATAAGTAAAATAAGTACAAATAAATCAATTTTTATAAATATATAAATGAATAATTAAATGTATTAATATGATAAATATAGTAATTTTCATATAAGTCATGATATAAATCATTTTTGATGCAAATTATATCTATTTTAATATAAATATCTCGTAATAATATTTATTTGTATAATTATTTTATATTTAGTTCAAATACATTTTAATGCAAATTATATTTTATAGATAAGTAAAATAAGTACAAATAAATCAATTTTTATAAATATATAAATGAATAATTAAATGTATTAATATGATAAATATAGTAATTTTCATATAAGTCATGATATAAATCATTTTTGATGCAAATTATATCTATTTTAATATAAATATCTCATAATAATATTTATTTGTATAACTATTTTATATTTAGTTCGAATACATTTTAACGCAAATTATATTTTATAGGTAAGTAAAATAAGTACAAATTATAGTAAGCTGTGATCCTAAAAATAATTTCGAAGGAAGATGTAGAATTTTTTCAAGAAAACAAATTGATTATTAAAATTAAACAATGTACAGAAATGATATTACTGTTCCACGTTCTTTATAAGATAATATATATTTAGTTTAGTATATTCATTACAAGATAAGAATTGGTGTCATTAAAATACATTGAAGAAGATTATCTAAATTAGCAAAAAGAGGAACATGGACAGCATAACTTTTTTTGAATTTACATGTTATTATATTTTTCTGGTAAGTTTTAAATATTTTTCATTATTTTTTATTGTTTCCAAAATACGAGCATATTTTTGCATTATTTTAATATGTAACAATTGTAAGTAATGTTTCATTATTTGATATATCGCACGTGCAACGTCTAATGCTGTTCAAGAAATTAAAATTCGAACGAAAAATAAACAATTCCTATATCTCAATCGAGAGTTTTTCCTTTCATTAATCGATACTTTTAATGTATTAAATTTTGTTTGAATATAATTATCAATGTATGATTTTTTTCACATCTCGATAAATTTTATTTTAAATAAATTAATACTAACGAAATAAAATACAGTTTTCTGTCATACATTATCAATAATTTTTAAACTTAAACCAAACATTATTTTTATTACATGTATTTATGTGTGTATTATACTATAATATATGATCTAAGATATCTAATATTCTTTACATTAAATTAGAGAATTATGAAATATATTAGACTATCAAAAATATCTCCTATTTCTTTTCCTAAATTCTTATTTAAATTATATATATGATATGTATATAATAATTAACTTGCATAAGTATATATCAATATATTAATATAAATATAAATATATAATAATAATAATAAACTCTATTGATTTTAATTAATATAATTGTGATTCTTTAACTATATTTACCAATTAATGCTTTTCAGCAAATTTATTTTTAAAAACTGCTTGTAAATAATGAAATTAAAATATAAATTGAAAAATAATTATAATAAGTATAATTAAAAATATTACTTATTACTTAAAATAAATTTTATTACTTAAAATAAATTTTTCCTTGCATATGATGCACTTTGAACTTTTAACCATACATACATATATGTACTGTAATATTGGAAATCTCTAAATAATTAATTTTACTTAAGAATAAAAAATTAATATCGATACTTCTATATTTTTAAATTATAATTAGTGCATAAAAACAATTTTTAAACTAATTTTTGAAAGTGATTTATTTTTAAACATTGTTTATATCCTTAATTAGAAATCGCTCTTTTATCAAAATTTCATTAAGATGAATAAATGCACATACATATATTAATGGAGGCAAAAGATAATAAAATAAACAAATATAAGTCTTTATCAGGATAATAAAAAAAAGGTACAAAAACAGAAATTTTTCAAAATAATAATCGACTAACTGTATCACAAATTGGGACAAAAGTGTATCAAATTACAATTAAAAAAACTATTTCATCCTCTTTGTCATGTGTATTTTGTCGTCAGTCCTATATTAAAATTCATCCTTAGATGTCTCGACGAAAATATTTCAGTCTTTTCTTATCGTCTACCAATAAAGTTTGTATGCTACCATAATGAATTTTTGCATAATTTATACATAATTATACATAATTATGCATATTTATACATAATTATATATAATTAATTTTAAATAGTGCAATACTTTGCAACTTTATTGTGAAAGTAACTAATATAAATTTATTTTACTGCTAATTACAGTACTGCTTCACTTCTTATCAAAATGTCATATGCAAAGTCTATTGTTTTATAATTGTCTATATCTAGTCGATGTAAACAATGTACTCTTTCGATGTGCTCATTGCTTTTTCTCATTAATCATTAATGATTTATTTAAATATACGTTGTAGTAATTTAAAAATCATGCATACAAAAATAAAATATTTTTAAATTTAATTTAGTCCACAAAATCCATCGGAAATTTTTAAATATTTCACAAGTATTTAAATATTTAAATATTTCGGTTATCACCAATTTCTTACCACCAGATAATCACCAATTTCACTACCTATAAGCGCAGACAATATATAACCGTATATCGATAAATGTTAGCAGAGGAGTACTAGTAATTGGTAACGCTTTATCATTATATTTTTTGCATATCCGGTCGCAAGAAAGAAATTTGACTGTAAAAATTTCGTAATTCGAAAATCTTTAGTCGCCGAAAAATTTATAAACATGTTTCGCCTTCTTGTGCTAGCCACAGCGTTTTTTGTGTTAATCAACGCGGAGCTTCAAAGGTATTTTCAATACATTTGTATATTGTAATGCACTGTATATCGATGTGATAAATACCGAGATTATAAAAATTGATCTGTCTTTTTTTTCCTCTCTCGTGATATCTGACTTTTTAAGATCATCGATACAAAACTTATAACAAAACAAAATTAACAATTGCATAAAACTTTACAAAAATGTATTTTTTATTTATAGATAAAAAAAGAAGAAAGAAAAAATATTTTATTGAAAAAGAAATTCTTTATAAATTCGTAAAGTTTGCTTTTGTTTGTGTTATTGCTTCTAAATGAGATTAGTTGGAATACTGTGATTACGATCAGAACAGTTAATTGTAAATTATTTTGCAATAGATATATAAATATATAAAATTATTAATACTAATAAGTTGCTTATTATTTTTTATTATTTAACTATATACATATACTCTATTTTTACGAAACATGTTTTTAGTAGTAAATTACAGTCATTTTATTGTAAGTTATTTTATGTAAAATTGCGTGCAATATTATTTTTAACTAAAAATCAAAGTTCATTAAGTTATATATAATTTTATAATTGTTACGTATAATTTTAAGACTTTAAATTGTAAATTTTAAATAAATTTTAGAAATAATTGAAAATATTTTTATATATAACAATATAAAATTATATACATATAATTCGCAAAATTATATATAAAATTCCATACATATATGACAAATTATATACATATAAAGCCCATACATAATTAGATAAAGTGTGTTTTATATATAATTATATAAATTTATATAATATATATATATTATATATATATAATAAATAATTTCTTCATATATAAATATAAATGTTTTATATATAATTTGACATGATTATATATGAACCCTTATATATATATATAAATTATTATAAAATTATGTATAAAAATAGACATATTATTCAAACATATAATTTTACGATTATACATATATAAAAATTTTTACCGGGTAAATATATAATACGTAAATCATATATTATAGAAAGATCAGCGATTTAATCAAAGTTTTTGACACACGCATATATGTGTAATATGTATCTGTATATTTATATGTATATAATATATATATCAGAATGTTCTATATTTTATTAAGGATTTCATTGTACAAGATGGATTCTATTCGACAAACTATGAAAAAGCTGGCATCAGCTTAGAAGTCGAAGCTGTAGGTACTTATTGAACAATTATCAGGACGCTCAGTACTATGGCGTTATGTCCATTGGAAACTCCACCACAAAATTTTTACATATTATTTGATACTGGTTCGTCAAATCTTTGGGTATCATCGGTAAAGTGCGACGGAAATCAGGCTTGCCGTAAGTAACTTAATGTTAATTAAATTGTGTTCACGATAATTATATTTAGATTAATAAAAAATGAGTCAGAAAATCCTGAAAAAATCCTTTTTCCCATGATGCTTAACAGAAACGAAAATTATTAAATAAGTTTCAATCAATTAGTGCCCTTCTTTAAATGTATACATCTAAAGATGAATAGTACAATATATAACTATGTATACACACCACCACCAATCGCACCAGAGTAGTTACGAACATATATATAAACAATGTTA